ATTCTGATCAAGCAACTGAGTTCGTCAATAGTACCTTCCATTTCGTCATGGTTGGCAATTGGCATGCTTTCTTTTGTTTCTGTGGTTCTAAGTTTCTATTGAGGTCTGTTTTCATGGATACAACTTCATTCTTTGATGGCGATAATTCACACTTGGATACATTGTGCCAATGTAACAGCTATACCTTTGTTAAAAGCTGACATTGGTTTCTATTATTGTCTGCAGGTTCTCCTCAGGGGTCCCAAGAATGCTCGCGAGGCAGTGAAGCACTTTGGCCCAGCTCCTGGTGTGCCTCACAGCCATAGCAAGCTTTATGTTAGATCGAAGGGAAGGAAGTTTGAGAAGGCTAGAGGAAGGATAAACTGATATGATCCCAAGTTGCCAACCATTCACGTCACAATTACTTGACAAAGAAGCTATCGAAGTTGGGAAGAAGAAAGGCAGAATTTGGCTAAGTCAAAATCCGTGTTCAGGGTACATACTTTGGAGGCATGGTTCTCTCAATTGGCTTGGTGGAAATTCAAGTTTAAGGGTTTGTTTTACAGATAAAGTTACCATGTTTCCAATGGTATGCTTGTTGGATCTAGAATATGTCATTAAGGTTGTTTTCCAAGGCCTCAAAGTTACTACCTCAAAACTGGAAAACTGCCAGAAAATGGCTAAGGCAGAAAACTGTTTTGTGAAGCCTACTTTGGAGCTCAATTCAAGGAGCATGGATGGGATTCAAGTCAAAAGGCTTCCACAACATGAAACTAGATATGTTTGTGAACAAAGGGAAGGAATTTGATGAATAATTGGAGTTCGGGAAGGCCTCGAAAAAAAGGCGCGAAGTTAGTACGAAAGCTGCCTTTTGACTGTTTTGCGGGCAGATTACTTGTGCGCCAAGAAAGGAAGTTTATGGCCGAATTTTGAGTCCTTTTTAGAGTTTGTTTTTACCTTAATTGTTTCCTTGTTCATCTAGATTTGTATTAGGTTTTATTGGCTATAAATAGCCCTCCATTTATGTTGTAAAAACATAAGACTTTGTTGAATAGAAAAGAAACCGTTTGGTTTGTGCAAGTTGCGACTTGTTTTGGGTTTGGTAGATTCCAAACTTGCTGAGCTTGTGTATCGATTGAATAGTCACTTCAATCGTGGTCGAGCAACTACCCTTTTATACCAATCGAGCTATCCCCAGGTGTGGATTTGTCCTTTTGGTTCCGTTTTATCCAAGTTCGTTTTAAGAACGCGTTGTTCTTGATTCGAGCTCAATCGATTCTTCGATTGAGTCTTTTGCTGCGTGACTTTGATAAACATACACCCCCAGAGCGTATTAGAAACAGCAGGGGTTTCAGGGTCTAATTTGTGGGGTGTTTTAGTCTCTCGAACATGCAAACCTTTCGTGCTGTTTTCTTTATAGTTCCAAAATTTGCTAGAACCCTGGGAATTAATCAAACATCTTTTTATGCTTGCTGTTCAATAGTTGGAAATTTTGTTCTTGTTGTCTGCAATGAACAACAATGCTTAATTTTGTCAACTTCGTCATTACCATTGCAAGATTTATCTTGCCTCTCTCTCTACACCCATTTTAAGTAGAGAGATGAACTACAGGCCTGTTACCATGCCGTTCATCTTTTTCTACTTCTTCCATGTGTACTCTACTGATGCATAACCCTTCGTCATTTTCCATATCTTGTCCGTCGTTCCCTTAACGATAATGGTAGAGTAAGCAAAATTAACATACTTCGAAACAGAAGTTGGATAAATCCCTTGCTATGCATTATAAGGTCGATAATGTTGATTCTTAGGAAACCCAAATCGGCCGGATTTACGTGGTATAGTGCTTATGTTTAAAATGTGGTTGTATTTGTGAAACAATTATCTATATCACAATTATCCTTGATATAGATTAGGAATGGCGATAGGCAGACCTAATTGTCAGAACAGAAGCGTGTAATCGATAATCCAGACCAACAAGAACGAACACAAATTTAACGTGGTTCACTAACACAGAACGAACACAAATTTAATGTGGTTCACTAACACAATGTGTGCTAGCTAATCCACGGGCAGAGGGAACAAATTTCACTGATTTTGAGGAGAGTACAGGTTACAAACCAAATTCCAAACGGACAAACCAAACAAACTAACCTGACTGACCTTACTACAGACTAGGGTGATGAAGAGTATTTATAGAACTCTTCTCCTAATCCCAAACAGAAAACCAAACACCTTTTCCCAAACATACAAGGAAAAGGTCAAACAAAGCCCAATCCCAAACCCAAACAGAATAGGCCTAAAACACAAAACAAACCCAAACCAAATTCAAGTCATATTCTAACAATCTCCACCTTGACTTGAATTCTCTCTCAAATACCAGATGTACCAGACGCAACCAAAGTTGCCAGATGTACCAAACTCCTCCAAATCAGTTGTACCAGAATCTCCCCTGCCTCCAAATGCCCCTAAGGGCGGTCAACAACTCAAACCATTTGGCAAATCCAACTCATGTTGAGACTTGCCATTCAGAACCAGTTTGGTGCACTTATCACCAACAGAACATGTCAAGACAGAACCTTGTAGATTATACAAGGCACCCCGTTTGATACCTTTCAAAATCACCTTAGAACCCTTGTAGACAGACAACACTCCACCTTCACCTTTGAAACTGAAACCCTTGCTGTCTAGTAGACTCAAAGATATCAGATTCTTAGTCATCTCTGGAATATGTCTAACATTGTTCAAGGTGCGAACAGAACCATCATGTGTCCTCATCCTTATGGAGCCTCTTCCAACAATCTTACAGATAGCACCATTGGCCATAGAAACATGTCCTCCATCTATCTGCTCATAAGTTGAAAAACTCTCCCTGCTTGGACACATATGATAATCAGCTGCAGTATCCAAATACCACACATCCTGATGATGTACCTGCTCATTCACTGCTAAGGCTAAACCATCTTCAGAATCAGAGTTAGTTTCTTCCGCCACAGCAGCAGATGATTCCTTCTTCTCCTGATATTTCTTCAGTTTAGGACAATCAAATTTCCAATGTCCTTTCTCCTTGCAGTAATGACAGATATCATCCTTCAAACCAGCAGAATTCGAATTTGTATTTGCCTTCCTATAACCAGATTGTTGTCTCCTACTACTTGTAGCAGCCAACCCAGATGCCTGATTTTCCGAACCAAAACCAGACGCCTTATGTCGAACCTCTCTAGTATGTAGAGCAGATCTGACATCTTCCAAAGACAAACTATCTTTCCCAGCAATAAAAGAATCCACAAAATTCTCATATGACTGTGGCAAAGATACTAACAGAATTAAGGCAGCATCCTCATCATCTACTTTAACATCAATATTCCGCAGATCTAACAAGATAGTATTGAGTTGATCTAGATGATTCCTGAGAGATGTATCTTCCTCCATACGCAAACTGAACAAACGTTGCTTCATATGCAACTTGTTGGTTAAAGACTTTGTCATGTATAGACTTTCAAGCTTCAACCACAAGCCGGCGGCAGTCTTCTCAGCAGCAACCTCAGTGATGATGTCATCAGCCAAACAAAGCAAGATTGTAGAGTGAGCTTTCTCCTCCAAAGTAATCCACTCTTCTTCACCTATGCTTTCCTTCTTCGATTTTCCAGACAACGGAGCCCACAAACCCTGTTGTTTCAACAGTGCTTGCATCTTGATCTGCCACAAACTGAAACTGTTTCTTCCGGTAAACTTCTCAATCTTCATACTGATAGCAGCCATTCTTACTATCAAACAAACTCCAACCAAACTTCTCAGCACAAAACTTCAGTCCAACACCAAATTCCCAAAACCGCAACCAAAGGCTCTGATACCACTTGTCAGAACAGAAGCGTGTAATCGATAATCCAGACCAACAAGAACGAACACAAATTTAACGTGGTTCACTAACACAATGTGTGCTAGCTAATCCACGGGCAGAGGGAACAAATTTCACTGATTTTGAGGAGAGTACAGGTTACAAACCAAATTCCAAACGGACAAACCAAACAAACTAACCTGACTGACCTTACTAGAGACTAGGGTGATGAAGAGTATTTATAGAACTCTTCTCCTAATCCCAAACAGAAAACCAAACACCTTTTCCCAAACATACAAGGAAAAGGTCAAACAAAGCCCAATCCCAAACCCAAACAAAATAGGCCTAAAACACAAAACAAACCCAAACCAAATTCAAGTCATATTCTAACACTAATCTACACCTATTTAAAGTTGAATGTGAAAACTTTTTGATTATTTCAAATTTCATGACTCGAGAGTGATTCTAAAAATGCCATTTTCATAATTGTATCTTATTTTTTATAGATTAAAATTACATTATTGTGATTCGAACCCAGGTCACTCAAATATAGAAAGGGCTTCATAACTATGAACAATCTAGACACCACAAACATATTTGGTCTTTGATGCTTTATATTTTATTTGAAGTTTATTTGTATCTTATCGAATGAGAATAATTTTGAACTCGGAACTCAAGTAACGAATATTAAATATTGAAATTTACATGTATTTATATTTTATTTGAATTTATTTATATCTCATTGAAGGAGACTAATTATGAAATTGGAACTCAAACAACATTGATTTGAATATCAAATATTGAATTGTATGTATGGTTAAGTTAAACAAAATACACATGCATAACCATAACTTCAACGTTTACCAATATAGTCTTTTTTTAATAATAACAAATATAGTCATTTCATCCATGAAATCAGTTAGCTTTGACATCATCATCAACAATGTTGACTAGAACGAAATACACTAGCATTGCATTTTTTTGTGTTAACTTTCAAGTTAATTTTGGCATTTTTGTTCTAATAAACTTAAATAGAAAATAAAGACACAAAGGAAGGAAAAAAATATTGTTCCTTCGCAAAAAAAAGGGAAAATTAATATGAACAAATGAATGATCATATGACCACTCCTTCCAACCTCTTGTCTATCTTTGTTTTCCTGCTTCTTCTGCATCTATCGTCGGTGATCAAAATCCTAACCGATGTCGCCTCCCATCTAGCAACACATTGGAGTTCAATAACATATGATAACGCTTCGTTCATCACGTAATAACGAATACAAAATGACTTGCTTCATTCAACGATGAAATCGACACACAAAACCCCAAACACGAAACAAGTTGCACAATTCCCCTTCAATATATATTAGCATCTCATTACATAATCCATGAGAATGCTTCAATCTTAATATTCTACAATTATCTTATCCCTTCTCCAATATTCAATTTCCCATTTTTTTCTATTACAAGATTTTACTTGAACAAATTCGTCCGCTTTCTAGAGGTTGGGATCTGAATACCACGTTATTTCATAGGGATAGAGCTAATCGAAGGAAGGGATGGACGAAGGGATAGAGAGATGAGGGCGTTCACAAGGAAGTAGCACTGAACCGAACCCATCCAAATCCTAACTTTTGAACAATGCTTGCAAATCGACAGACGAATGCTCAATTGAGACAAAAAAAAAGTAAATCTTTGATGTCAACTCGATTGGTTAAATTTCAAATGGTTTTAGCATAAAATCTCCAACAGTTGATTGACAGGGAGGAACAAAGCAAAGCAGAAGGTGTCTATGTCATTTGGAAGACGGTTGGAGTGTTGATTGATAAGATAGAGTGACATGTTTGTCCATCGAATCAAAACATATAAATGACAATGCAGTTTTGTTGGATTTTTATTTAGGCGACGACAATAGTGACGATGATGGATGACGAAGATATGAGGGTTTTATGAGAAAGGAAAGAGAAAAATAAAAAGAAAGTAGGAATTTGAAGTGGAAGTTGATGGATGACCGACACGTGGTATGACATGTCGATTATGAGCTTACATGGAAGTTGAAGTGGTATCCACCTCAACTTGCTAATGTTTCTAACGAAATTTCTAAAGTCATTATCCTTTCTAGCAAAAATGAATAGATTTTCGGCCGAAAATCCTATATATAGTTATATGGGTCATTACTAAACCATGACTACATTGTGAGTATATATTAGGTTCTTGGTATGTTAGATTTCCAAAATCACTTCTAGTGAACTTTTCCAATTTCATCATGCAAAAAAATTAGGGGGGAAACTTCTATATGTTTTTTTTTTTTTTTGACAAAAGATAATCATATATTGATACCAAAATATAGATAGTTACACCCTGGACCCAAGCCAGGTCCGAAAATCAAAAGATCGACTCATAGTCGGGTACAAAGAGAGGGCTTTCCTAGCCACCAAATGGGCTACCCTATTACTACTTCTATATGTTGGACAACATGTTTTGTATACATTTTTATGATCTTCAAATGGAAGAGTTAAATAAATCTCATAGTTTTGGATTTATAAATCAAACTAAACACTAAAATCCTTGATCCAAATGCCTCATATAGTTCTTTTCTATTTTTTTCTAATTTTTAAATATCATATCTTTTCTAATTTCTTTATAAAAGTACAATGTTTTTCGAAAATTCAGTTTTCACAGCAAGTGATTGTATATGTGAGACATAGAGTGATTATCTAATCAAAAGTCTAAAAACATACGTTGAATATTTGAGATTTTGACATTAATAATAGCCTTGGATTATCATCATATTTTACACAAGTTTTTAGAAACCATAACTATTTTTGAAGATATACATTAGTTACTAATGAAATAATATTTTAAATTTATAATTTCTTAATTATTATATTTTTATGGTTGTGAGCCATAAAAATTGAATCCATTATATTATGAATTTTATAATTCCATATACCATTAGGATAATCCTTTGTGGTAATTTCTAGTTATTATTTTAATGCACAATTCTCTTATTTTTGTTTGGTTTTAATAGGAAAAAATTAATAATACTGAATCTTATGAAGAAATATCTATGATGAGGATGACAATGGTGAATAAATAGGGAATCATCGAGCCAATCTCAATCGAGATTTGGAAATAAATACACAACAACCTCATTTTGCTAGTTTTATAGGAAGTAAGTATCATCCACTCAAATGTTGTTCTGACATGATTTTGGTGTTGATATTTTTGCAAGAGAAAAAAACAGTAATTAACTTTGGATTACATACAATAAACCAAATGGTCACTGGGGAAAGAACACTAAATATTAAAATGACATCATTTTTTGGTTTTGTGTTTTCTTCTTCCATATCACTCTAATTTAAGTGGATCAACTTTTTTGAGGTGCAAATACCCAGAAATGATGACTAACAAAGGCAAAACATTCTAGACATATTAATATGGAGGTCAAAGTTTGTGTGACAAAAAAGACTTTGATAGGTCTTTACTTATTTTAGGGAGACGAAAGAAAGGATTGTAATGGCCCTTTACTAAAATCTAAAATAAGTTTAGAAATTTTTGAAAAATGGTAGAGATTGATGCTCATGTTCCTATTATTGAGGATGTATGTAGTAGGTATTGTTCTTAATCATGCACTAAAAAAAGAAGACACTCTTCAACAAGATTTATTTAAATGCTTTGGATTTGGAATTATTTCTCACTTTTCTCCTTCCACATCACATTCGTTGTTGATCAACACCAACATGGAAAAAAATTATATTTATTTTCTTTTCATCCTTATTTGAAAAAAATATTTTCATCTACCGACTCAACCATTACACAAACATGCACCTAGTATTGAAAAAAAAAAACAAATAAAAAACACGTTAAAATAATTGTTAAAAAAGGAGGGATATTTTTTTCTTTGATAGACAGTACTAAAAAAAAGACGATCAGGTGAAAAGCAAGCTACAAGAAGAAGAGAAGAGCCGAAATGAAGGATTGCCATGATTTCTTAACGTCTACATTGCTGAAGAAGTATGATAAATTTTGAGTAAATAGCATATACAACCGGTCATGCTCCTACTCTTACAGAATTGGTAAGGCTATTCCTCTTCCAGAAGTTCTATGTGTGAATTGTGCCTGGTTTTGCCATCCTTGGGATGGTTTCTTTGATAGCATGTAAAAAAAAGTAAAAACTCCTCATAAAGATTTGCTCCAGTTCTTTGAATTTGGGATCTTGTTTCATCTTGTTTTCCGTTGATATCACAATCTATCTCGGTAGGAGATAAAAAGTATTCAGTTTTGTGTAGACACTGGAAGATCTCAATTGTTCAATGCTTGGGTCTTGGGTTCGCTGTAATAGATGGATATTCAGTTATCGTATCTGAGCTGCTCAAATTTCTAGTGAAGTTCAAAATCACCGTTTCATGACTATCGTAAGTAATGAATACTAGTTTGTTATGTCCGTAATTATGCATTTATTTATGTGACTTTTTTAGTGCTATTTTTCGTCATTTTTTCTTTAGGACTGGCTGTCATTGTTGAATCTAACAAGCGATTTGATGCAGGAGAGAATTTTAGAGAAGATGTCTTTGTAGCTATTCAATCTAATGGGCACTAATCTTGTCTATCTCCCGAAAGAAATAAACTTTTTTATTAAATTTATGTTAGTAATCAATGTGACAATCCGTAGTGGATTACATAAAGGTGACAAAAAGGTTGAGAAATGAAACAAATAAAACATAAGTAAAATTAGTGATTGAGGTTGGATGATCTTAGTTTACTTTACATTAAAACTATTTTTTCTTATCTATTTGTGATTAAAATTATGACCTAGTAAACCTATTTTTTAGTTATCAGTCCAGTGGTAGTAATACTTTTTTTAGACTAATACATATATTTAATGAAGTGAAACTTTTGCTAGGTGGTAGCAAGGAGTCCACTATAGGAAGTCTGCCGGAGGGATATGTTTGGAGGAATTTTGCCAGCAAAGAGTGGGAGATAGGAAAAAAGGAAAAGTGAGAGATAAGAAAATAAAATAAAATTTTAAGTAATGGATGATTAAATTAAAAAATAATGTAATTAATATGAGTTTTTAATTTTCATAAGTACAATTAATACAAAAAATCTTAATATCCAAAATACATGTGACAACTCTCTTGTCACCGTATCTCGTCCTTTTCATAAGCCATTTCCTTAATTGGATTTTTTGTCTTGATATTTAGACAAAGCATTAGCAACATGTTTCGATGCAAATATATCATTATTAAAATATAATATCTACAATATATATCATAAATTATTTTTATTTGTCTAAATAATTTTATCATTATGTTGAGTCTCTCATTTTTCGTTTTTATTAATATTACTAAAGATTTATTTTTTTTAGAAATTTTACTATAGATTTCAATTTTCAAATGCATACTTGTTTATCTTTTACACATGTGTGAAATTATCGATTTCAAAAGTGTCAATTGTTTTTCAAGAATTTTAAACTGCCACTAGTCTTGAAAAATATAATTAATCTTAAACATGAACGTCAGATATTCAAATGAGTTAAATTGTACCTAAACCATAAAAACAAAACTTATATCGCCATTATAAAAAAAGAATTTTAAACTGCATGAACTATGGCGAGTAACATAAGAAAATAAATTATATAAGGAGCAATGTAGGAGTACAAGCAACGCCTTAATGTGTATACCAAATAGATCATTCAAATTTACACAATAAGGATAGGATTTAAGCTAGTTGTATTTACATCTCTTTGTGCACCTCAGGTTCATTCTTTCTCGGTGCCCTCTGCCAACAATATTCCTTCGTCCGGTATGCCATTTGACGGATTTTTTTCAAATATCAAAATGCAATAGTTTTTAAGAAATTCTCAAATTACACATATTTTGGGACTGGTAGCTTGCGAGCTCAGCAATATGTGACAGGTCGCACACATATCTCTTGAGAGCTCAGCCATCTATGATAGATCACTTATGACCTGATTCGGGCTCAAATGTACACATTTTACCCCTCATTTCTTATTCGTTTAGCTTAGCATTTCATCGTTCGTCGACATATTTCACGCTAGGTTGTGCTTGTTTTGATAGATTTCAGGTCCTAGCATGTATAGAAGGGTCGAGGTCGAATTTTGGGATAATTGGAGGTCAAAAAGCGAAAAAACCAAAGAAAAGTTCGAAGTGTCCTAGAAATAGCTGTAGTTCACGACCGGACAAGGGAGTTCACGGTCTCCTTAGACCGTGAACATGGACCACAAGCCGTGAACTGGCCAACGCGTCCGTGAACTGATCACTTTCGGGCAAATATGAAGACAACAACGGAGAGAGAGAGAGAAAGGAGAGTTGGTTTTTGGATAAGAAACACTTTCCTCCTCTAGGGTTTCAACCTAATCACCAAAGGGGAGAGAGAGAGAGAGAGAGAAAGAGAGAGAGAGAGAGCTAGAGTGATCTTGGAGCATCATTGGAGGCTTGTGTGGAAGATTCAAGCCTAGAAGAAGAAGAAGAAGAAGAAGAAGAAGAAGAAGAAGAAGAAGAAGATCTTGAGCTCAAATTTGTAATCCCTCTCTCTCTCTCTAGAAACTCGCTCTTTTCTCTTGGGTGTTGTAGATCCCTAACTAATACTTTGTAATTACTTGTTTAGATTGAATGATTGATATTGGTTATTATTCAATTTAATGTTTGAGGCATTATCCACCATGATTGTGCATGCTTGTGCTTATCAACTTAGGGGTTGTGCATATTTTGTTCTTAGCATCCTAGGGATTGTGCATAATTGTGCTTAGCACCCCCTAAGTTTGTGCATTTAGGTGCTAGTAATCTAATTTGCCACCTTAGCCTAGTTTAGAGAGGAAAATCCCCCTTTCAAGGGAGACTCAATCGAGTTGGTTTTCCTTCCGCTTTCTAAGCCACCTAAACTAGGTTGAGTTAGGGCAACCCTCAATATTGAATTAAACAAGTCGATTAATCGTGGTTAAACCGTCCGACCTTAGAGTTGAGTGAGGGTGTAAGTCGATTACTGATTGTCTAAACCGAGAGGGTCGAGTGACACGGCCTTTCATCCTCACCTCGGTTTAGCAAATGAGACTGTGGCCTCGGACCACATACGTATTCCACTGTGCTTCACGATTAACGTGGCCAAGGCAAGCATTTCAATCCAATGAGTCATGGTAGCTAGTTAGGGGGAAGCAATTCCTAGGTGAAGCTCCCTTAGTTAGGATTTTCCTTCATTTACTTTTGCTTGCTTGTTTAGTTTGTAGTCCCAATAAACCTAAACCCTAAAGTTTCTTGTTAGATAACAACTTAAGTGATCTAAGTAGGGGTACATGGATCGGCCCGGGTTGACAATTTAAATACTTGCTCTATGCTGCACCCTGCTAAAGTTTAAAAACTTGGGCTCTAGTCGGGATTAATTTGTGGTGTAGTTTCGTGCGAGTCATGACCTCATCTATCTATGACATATTTCTTTAGACTTCAGCAATCAGTATGTTTTATACCAAAAAAATAAACAGCAATAACTTTGTACTCGGTTATCTTATCAACATGATTTTGTTTTGTAGAACTTTTCGAGATCTTCACAACCACGAATAATCGAAAGTGGTATGTTTGAATTTAGTCGCCAAATTAGGTGATTTGTTGGTTCAAATTAGCCATTTTGCTCGGTATCTTATCAACGTATTTTGTTTTGTATAACATTTTGAGATCTTCACAACCACGAACAATCGAAAGTGGTATGTTTGAATTTAGTCTCCAAATAAGGTGGTTTGTTGGTTCAAATTAGCCATTTTGTGATTTTGCATACCTTTAGATGGTCTTTAACTTTGTGCTCCGTCATTCAATCATCATTATTTTTTATTTTTAGTATCTTTGTAGAGACTATATAATTTTGTAAATTTCTTATAATTTTGTGCTTAATAATAAAAACATGGTATTACAAGGCCATGATTTTTGTGTATGCTAAGATCTCGAAAAGTTATGCAAAATAAAAAAAATGACTAATTTGAGAAAATAAATGACCTTATGTGGCGACGAAAGTCGAACAAACCACTTTCGATTGTTTGTAGTTTCTACATATCTAAAAAATTTATGCAAAATAAAAAAAAATGTAATGTTGATGAGATAATCGAGCACAAACTTACTTTCGTTTGATTTTTTCCGTATATAACATACTAATCGTTGAAATCTCAAACAATCTGTCGCAAATTGTTGAGGTTGCAAGTGCAATGTGTACGAGCTGTCATAGATTGCTGAGATCTCAAGCCATATGTCATACTCATACATGGCTTTAGTCTCGCATAATCTACCCAAAATATGTGCAGTGTGAAAATTTTTTTAGAAAACTATTATACTTTGAGAATTTTTTATAACAATTTCTGTCATTTTGGGGAAAAAAATCATTTCTACGTGGTAGTGACTTAGCCTGACCTCAGTCAGAGTAAAAGTTGCACTCCATGTCTTTCTTCTTCTTGAGAATGTGAATTGTGATATGGATGTATATAATCTTACCAAGAAATCAGCTACTGCGTATTTCAACATGCACCATTCCGAATAATTCTCGCCGCAATAACACCCTCAACGGAAGCCATATCATCGAAGGAACGCAAATGCTTCTACAGTAATTTCGAACGAAAGAGTAGAGCAAACTCCCCACAATGCATAAAAGCAGTAACAACGGCGGCTCCTCTGGTTTTGAGAATTGTGATTGTCCTGCTGCTGCTCTGGATGAACCGCCATACCCAAGTTCCGGGATTGGGTCATCATTGATGGCTAGCCTCTTCCATGATCCATTCCTGAAGCTATACAGCTGAATATCCAACTCAGGAAACAACAATGTAAAACTAAAATCATTTTTGGTCTCGATCAATCTAGCATATGGATGGATTGGAACTTGGGATATTGGTTCCCAACTCAGGTTGATCTATTTTGCTGAGCCGGGTCTGGGAATGGTAATGGGACAGGTCGGGTATTTCGGTACACCATACTGTCCATAGCAGGTTGAGTTTAGATCATGGCAAGTGCCATTCGACTGGTGAACATCCTTTCAAACGAGAAACCTGCCGAGGACTGACAAAGGATGATCAAATCTGGTAGCTATTCTGCCATGCCGTGGAGAACCAAAGCGGAATCTAGTCAGAGCCTTCCCAAGTGTGGCACGCTATGCTAGACATTTGATTTTACTCAGACACAACATAATGCATATAGATGATCAACTTGAAAAGGTACTAGTGAGTAAAGTTATGCGTCTAACATATTATCTACTGTGGCAATAACATATGATCTACTGGGAGCAGGAGTTGGGGGACGTGGGGCGGCTGCGACTGTATTTTTTAGGCTTTGTTTTGGCAACATCAACTACTATCAACCATCCATTGATGATCTGCAAATACAGTGCACATACATGCCGTCAGAGCACCAGAAGCAGCCTTCCAGCTTTCTTGCAGAAAATCAGAAGCAGACAATAAAAGAGATGAACTGAGAGCCCTGCTAACCTTGCCATTCATCTCCTTGAGAGCGGCGCTTGCTGCTTCCTCCGTGGTGTACTCGATAAATGCATAACCCTTTGACCTTTTCGATATCTTGTCCATTATTATCTTGACTGTCACAAATAGGGGTAACCACAGTTTATCATACTAGCTTGAAACAAATAGTCAATAATTGTTTCGTTTCGTGCCTTGTTATGCATGCCTTACCTTCCACCAGCTCACCGAAAACTTCAAATGCTTCCCTCAATGTCTTCTCGGACGTGTAAAATGACAACCCTGTTGAACAAGAAATGATTGGTCATTCTTATGAGACTACTGACCAACCCCTCAATTGCTGCCCACTTAGATCATGTCGCTCTGTGCGTGAAAAAGAGGCAACTTACCAGTCACAAAGAGTTTCTTCGTTCCTGGCGGAATTGCTTGTAAGGAATTTGGTCCCTCGGCTGAATTTTCAGCAGTATCAACTGGAAAGCAACAAAATTTGGAAGAACCACTATCATAATGAGCATATAGCTTTCACTGAAGATGCCTAGTGATCCATAAATCTGTTCAGCTTATCAAGAGTCGAATTGGCTCTCTGCTAACCCCAGCGTGAAAACATCAGCAAACATAACTAAGACCAAAAGTTTTCCAACTTATGAAGAGATAGATTCACCCTATAACTCCCCTTCATTATCTATCAGTGGTACTTAACATCTCTATCAGATAATCAAATGCATCATTCAAACCGATATGTGCTGAGAGGCTGGCTTGGCATAAGCTGACTATGAAGCTGGAACATTATTGAATGTGGGACTGAAAATCACCCAAACGAAAGACCATAAACTTAAGGTACAGCGACACACGAACTCCATTATGAGGTTGAAGTTCAAAGAATGGCTCTAGAGCAGAAATAGATTCTCCAGAACCACAAATCAGCTAATGGAATTCAGAAGAACTACCAAAGGGGATTCCAATGTTATTTGACTGCTCACCCGATTGACAATCGATAAGAGGTGCGAGAAAGATATACATACAGAAGAAGGGACAAACCTCCATAACCCTCAACCTTTGATTTGAAGTTCTCATCTGGTTGAACAGATAAAACACCAGGAACACCTGAAATACAGAGCATTTCTATGTAAAACAGCAAAAAGCTCCTCAAATAAGGACGTAATTCAGGAATCAAAATGTACCGGCCAGCATGCGTGCAGAATCTTCATCTAGCTGACAACAAAACCCGAAATCGGATTGCCAAGAAACATGATACACACACATCTGTGCATCTTTCTCACTGCACAAAGAACAGGTATTACAGACATCAGAAGAAAAGAATACAACCAAGAAACAAGGAAATCGCAGGATTTCCCAAGCCACTGGGAACTTACTTCCCAAGAACCTTGGTTAATATCCGTGTGTAGTAATCAACTACTTGTGCCTTCGTAAGCACACCGATTCCAGGTGTAGTCGTCCTAACTAGCCAGTGCTTGCTCGTCCCAGGAGGAAACAACCACATAGTTGTAAGTGGGTTGAAACTATCTTCCAACCCTGAACTCGAAGCAGAAGTCTTTTTGGTAGAATTGTAATTTGGGTCAGGCGTTACAGATAAAACCCCCGGCAAACCTGCAACAAACAAAGATCATCTTCACCTAAACCTGAAACAATCTTAGCACTTAGGGCCAATGACGAAAAGCTTACGAGCTAGCTCGGCGGATTCTGTTTCATCAATGTCACAGCAGAAGCCAAATTGTGCAGCATCACAACAGATATGGTAAATAGACCTCTGAGCATCCTTTTCACTAGTTCAAACACCATCCCAGGATCAAACTTGAGAAATTTAGACGCCATAGAACTACACAGCGCTAAAATTGTGGAATTACGTTTCGAAAAGGTAGAAACAAACCTTCCCAGAACCATCTCAAGGGTGTTGACGAAGTAATTGACGATATCGGGTTTCGAAGCGAGCCCCTGCGGTGGCCTTTCTACCAGCACCATCCAATTGCGGTTGCCATTGCTAGAGGAAGACGAAGTAGAAGCGAGCGTAGCAGATGCAGTGGCGGAACAGGAAACTGAAGGGCAGAGAGTAGAGGACGAAGAAGAAGAAAAGAGGTTAAGACGGCGGGTGTTCCTCTGTTTTTGGTTGGGGAGTGTGAAGGTGGAAGGGAAGGTTGTAATTGCCACCGCCGGCTTTTCAGAAGGGACGGCGGAGGGAAAGGGAGGACGGAGAGCTTCCATTGCAGCGTATTGCCGTAGTGCCTTTTCTTCGTCTTCTTCCAAATTTCAAATGATCATCAGTTGTAGCCTGTAGGAGTGGGTGAGAGCGTAAAGCTGCTGCCTTTTCTTCGCCTTCTTCTTCGCTCACTACTCTGAGCTCTACTCAGCTGTTAAACCAACCAGCGGTTGGGGCTGTGGTAACCGGTTTCACAAGTAGCAGGTCTTTTCTTCCTTATATGGGCAATTCCATTGTTTGTAAGTTTGTACGGCCTAGATTTGGTTGTTTCTTTCCTTATCCAACCATCCATCCCTCCATCCAATGCAATTCTTTTCTACTTCCTTCCAGTTCCACCTGCCAACGAGGACGGAAGGATAATCAGTCTCATCACTGCGCCTTTTCCCGACTGAGCTGTGGCAGTTCCAGGCAGCGGCAAGTCGGCAACCACCCAGTACCCCTCGACAGCGAATTCCGCCATCGCCCTGCAAGCTTTACTCTTAATTTCCTTCGTCTGGTGAGTAATCCGCTTATTCAGTTAGATATATGCTTTACGGATTCTGCATGGCCGTTTTGGGGGCGATGGAGCTTCTTGGGTTCTTAGGAGAATTGGTTATGCCGGAAAGTTTGGCTGATGGGTCTGTTTCTTCCTTGTTAGCAAGTGGGTTGCTTGAGAGAAAAAAAATTCCGGCCTTGTGTTCATTGTGATTCTTCTCTCTTGCACCCGCACACAATTGACTAGGTTATTCGGTTGTGGGACTCGTCTTTCTCATTTTACAAGGTTCTCTGAAGAGCTCTTATCCTTGAATACTGTCAATCGACATAGTTATAGGAGTCTCCAACAGTATTCTAATTATCATGAACTGCTAGCAGTACTAGTTCTGATCTTTCTGTATGATGTTTTGGCTTCTAAAGGTAAGAAGAGCTCATGATCTTTGCTCTTTTATGCTAATAGGCCTTGCTGCCACTGCCGACCTTGCCAATACAGTCATGGAAATGGCCTCTCTATCAGTTTACAGAAGACTCCCGCTTAACATCCCCATTTCATGTATCAAGGGCCTCCATCCCCTGAAGAACAGGAACCAAGCTAATCTCTTCTCATACTCTCTTGTTTCTCTCTCGATTTCTTGCGTTTCGTCGTCGTCATCAATAAAGACACAAACTTTAGTAGCCTCTAGTTCACCTGTCCCTAGAACTAGCAACTGCTTCATAAGAACTTCCCAATGGGTCAACCACACTCCAAGAATCACTGAAGATATAGTTATATCAAGGTGATTATCTGTCCTATAGGTAATTTGTGTATATATTTTATCATGTTGCTGAATGATGGGGTTTTGATTTTCGTTTCTGGGGTTTATCAAACAGTGAAGAGGATGCTCCAGGGCCTGTACCTCATGCTCCTTCTGATAGCCACTATCCATTTCTCTATGGTGAGACATCCACCCACTTTGGTAGTAGGTTTTTCTTTAGCATCTGTACTTATTCGTGTTAATTGCGGTATTATGTTGCAGAATCTCTGAGGAACCTTGAGGACAGTGTAAGCGTGAGAAAGCTAATAGCTTTGGCATCTGCTCTCTCGTTTCATTTGTCCTTACCTGCACAAGCTGCAAATGCTAGTGAAGGCATCACCACACCAGCTGCACTTTACGAGGTAGGAGCGTTATTCGAGCTAGGAATCCAGCTCTCCTACCTTCTATTGCTGCTGGCACTTCTTGGAGTTGGAACCTTCTTTGTGATTCGCCAGGTTCTTGTGCGTAGAGAACTTGATCTTTCTGCTAAGGAACTGCAGGTAGGCACTTCTTTTCTCTCTCTCGTCCTTCACTATCATTCTGTATGTTGTTGAGATGTTCATTGCTTGCTTGGTGATTGAAGGAACAAGTAAGGAGCGGTGATGCAGACGCCACAGAGCTATTCGAACTTGGAGCCGTGATGCTGAGGAGGAAGTTCTACCCCGCTGCAACCAAATATCTGCTGCAGGCGATTGACAAATGGGATGGCGACGATCAGGACCTTGCGCAGGTGTACAACGCCCTTGGGGTGAGTTACATCAGGGACGGGAAGACGGATAAAGGCATAGCTCAGCTGGAGAAGGCCGTGAAGATCCAACCTGGGTATGTCACTGCATGGAACAACCTGGGAGACGCGTACGAGAAGAAGAACGACCTGAAAGCTGCTCTCAAGGCTTTCGAGGAAGTGCTCCTCTTCGACCCCAATAACAAGATTGGCCGGCCCAGAAGAGATTCGCTCAAGGAACGCGTCGAAATGTACAAAGGGGTGCCTGTGAAATACCTCAAGGATAAATCATAGTTGATTCCCTTCAGACTTCTCTGCTGCGGTTTTTGTCATTGGGAAATAGTTCAATGGAAGGTTTTAACTTACAGGCAAAAGTTGTAAGTGATGTTTGTTTGTAGGCACGGTTGGAGAGGGGAGAGACTGGACAGGGGAATTTGTGAACTGAATGGAGAAATTACATAGCAAACTTTCTTCAGAGCTTTTATGAGTTCTGAAAGGGTAAAAGCCCATTACATTCAGAGCTTCCAAATCATGTGAGGTATATTGTTCAACATCTGTAACAATCTATGTATTGATGAATGTCTATATATATACACATGAATCTCAATTCCAAACCCTTCAACAGCAACAACAAAAAGACTGAAAACAAGAACTCATCATTCAAAGGACAAACAAGAAAAAGACATTTCCTCCTACAAACTAATCCCCATTCAATCACACTTGTTCATTTCAGCATAAATGTCCAAATCACTCCCAAAAAAAAATCAAGTTAGGGAAATCATTCACAAGGTTGAAGTTGCAGGTGGTGGTGGTGTTGGCCATGAGCTTGGGCAGCCATGGCGAGCTCAAACTGCTTGAGGGAGATGGAAGGGAAGGAGATGATCTCAGGAGGAGGTTTGAGGTTGTGATCCCAACCGTCCTTCATGGAACTGTTGTCCATGGTCGTGTTGCCATCCAGCCCTATGTGCGTCACGTGCTTTACGTCGGTAGGGAAACCAATCTCCATCTCTATTTCTTCATCTTCTTCTTCTTCGTCTCTGTACACTGCTCGAAACAAATTTCAACAGCAAAATATGAAAATGTGAGACCGCCTATTTCATCAGGTGATGTCAAACACCAATCTAGTGACGGGCTTGAGAGTCTGGGCTGGGCCTGAGCCCGGTTAGTGTGGAAAGTGTTTATTAGGCCCACTCGACCCAGACGGATCAGCTGACCCACCTACTCACACCTAACTTCCCCCAACTGCCCCCACTTTAACAGGTGGCAGGTTAACATTCATCACTAATGATCATGACAATTTTATTAATTAATTCTGACACTAGCCGACTTTTTATTTTAATGGGAATTAACGATTTTAAAAATATAATTTTAATGGTTTAAAGAAAACACTGATGAGAAATTACCACTAGATCAATCTCTCATTCGTGAAATTCATGATATAATTCGAAATTGTGATAAAAATTATAATTAGTATCACTAGACTATGTGACTGAATTTTATTCTTAGTATGTGGAGAAGCACAACTAAATTTATTAATTAAGAAAGAGGGGAATTAGTGAAAATCAGATTACCGAATAATTGAGTTATGGAAGCTTTGATGGTAGTCACGAACTTGTTGACGCCTCCGCTGCCGCCGGCGGCGGCATTGATGGATTTGTTAGTTGTTGGTGGCACGGTCGGCTTTTTCCTCTTCTTCTTCTTTTTCTCGATAGCTCCACCACACCACGCCGCCGACGACCATGGCCGGCTGCTTTCTCTCCCTTCTTCTTCATCTTCATCATTTCCTCCTCTTTCCCCTAATCAGCAATCAATTAATGTAATTAAACAATAATAATAATAATAATATAAAAATCCATTAGCCAGCTATAGAACTTAATCCAACAATATCGGATAAAAAATTCCGCTTAAACATACTCGGGTTTCCGGCCGGCGACTTCGAGGGAATTCGCTTCTTCTTCTTCTTAAAGCGGTGGTGCTCAAGATGGTCGGGAGGAGGTTGGTCGGAGTCCGGGGGAGAATCGCCGGCGAGCTGGACGCTGGAGTGAGAGTTGCAGCCGATGGAGAATGGAAGGAGGACAAATCTTGATGATTTGCTCATGTTAAAGATGATGGTGATGATACTGTTGATTATTGAACGGCGGCGGCGATGGTGGTTTTCTTCATCTACAGCGGCGGCGGCGACGGGAGGGGGAAGATGAATGAATGAATGATTCTTTCTTATGAGCTGCTTCTTCGCTGGTGTGAAAATGAGGGGGCTTTGGTGTTTAGTGTAAGGAGTTGTTATATATAGACATAAAAAAAAGAGGCTTAATTATTGTTGTGCCCAATAATTATTCACTAGATCCCCAAGAAACCAAAATTCTTTGAATAATTATTAATAATTGCTGCAATAATATTAATCAGGATCATGTATGCGTGCGTGGAATGGTTAATGCTTAATACTCAAAATATACATAAAATAAATAAAAGATGTCCAAATGTGTGTGTAGTGTGTACACTTTTATTTTTGTCACAAGAAAAATGTGTAAACGTAGAGAGGTTCAAAAGCCTCTATCCCTTCCCTTTCTTTAAGTAAAAGGTTGTATTTGGGTTTATAAACAATTCGTAATATGCAGCTATAAGATTTAGAATGTGAATTTTACATACATAAAGAAGTGTTTCGTTAAAACAAACTATGATAGTCCGATTGGAAGGAGTCGAGAGAAATTTTTTTACTTCCGTTACCAACTTTGTTACTGCACAAGCGACACACTACCTTTATTATGTAGTTCGTGATAGGTTCCTAACTCGATATATACCAACCATGCATTGTAAAAGTACCCTAAAATCCCACGTTTAATAAAATCATTATGAATTGAATCAACGTACCAGAAAATCATTTCGTACAAGGGGGGCGAATCATGAAATAGGAAAATCATAACGCTTAATTCAAGCGCAAGTGATATTTAATTATATTTTTTTTTTCTTGTCATGAATTGATTCAGGAAGCACATTCATCTCTCTTTTATGTTCTTGTGTTACATAGAACAAGAAATTATTTAATTAAAGAAAGTCTGGGTTTTTCCTAATGTAATAGTTGGCTTAAATTCGTAGCTATATACTCAAATCTAATATAAAAAATAGGGAAAATATATGGATGGGGAAGAGAGACGGCATAGAGTGTTGGTGTGGAGTGGGTTGAGTTAGTTGAAATCAAACTGCTCATCATCATCACCATAACCTAATTGATTTGTCCTTCTCTCTTTCTTCCTGATCCACCCGTCAACCCTTCCATCATCCAATCATAACATTATGTGTAGATGATAACAATAATATAGCCATTGTTGTTATTGATTTAAGTACACCAATTCATCATTAAGCAACAATAGTATTGCCAAAGTGATCATCGATAAGTTGCTCATGAGGATGGTTGTGGGTAGTTTGAGATGAGTTATTGTGGGATATGATTTCCGTTTTGTTGGTAAAGTAAATAATATGGTGAACTATTTGTTTGTCGTTTCTTCGTTTTTTCACAAGTTTTTATTTTCCTAATTGATTTTTGCTAATTATATGAACATTTGCATCTAGAGAATGGGGGGGGGGGGGGGGGGGGTGGGAATCTTTGTGTGTGTGTGTGTGTTTGAGATGTAACAATAAAATTAGCCCCTATGAATACTGCTCCTACAAACCCTTCTCAAGATAAAACATCGAAATACAACGCATATAGACAAAACATTAAAAAAAGGATTTTAGATGCTACTTTATGGGCAATTTATTCCCGCTTCTGAATTCTAAAATCAGAACTCATATCAAGGTGAATAAAATTCTGAAGAATTGAAGCTAGCGCATTCGAATCAATACCTCTCACAATCTAACGAGCTATGAGTCTCGAATCTCCTTCAATCCTAACACCTTGCAAGCTGTCGATTGCACACCGAAAGTAGATCGTCCCTAGAAGCGAAGACTAATTCGACAGAGATAACATTTAAGGATTCCCAAAAGACGAGATCTGGTTGTGAGTGCCAACACTTATGTGAGTAGTACTCATGAATTGTTAATTAATAAGTTAAATTAGGGTTGCTGGCGGGGGTTTACTCATTGGTGAGAATCCGTAGAAAGTAAGGCATGCCTGCCTGCCTGCCCATGTGTGAAACTTCCATTTTAATTCACTACTAATCACACGGGACTTTAGATGGAGACTTTGTTTGGCCAAATGGGTCGAAAGGAGGTTGATTTAGAGGCGATGGAGTGGTGCACAAGGAAGCAATTATTACCTTCTTTGAAATTATTTCACATTCCTTACAAATTGCACTAATTAATGATGATGAGAAGCTCCCTATATTTCATTTGTGCTTGTAGCTAAAATTATGATAAGAACGCTATTAATCTTTGACACGTAAGTAAGTAAGTACGTTATCAAGCACTTAAGAGTTACGATTATTGTACGATAGCTCCTCATTCGTCATATTTCATCGGTAATGTCAAAAGTAACAACTGCGCCTTCAACAGTTCCTCTAATGCAACTAATTTGATAAACACATTGAAAAAACGGAGAGAAAAGAAATTAAACAATACCAAGACCAAAAAGGAAAAAAAATTACAGTCATCATCGTCGGGCCTACGGAATTGGAGTCCTGATGACTTGCAAGATCTGCACAACCTCCGCCATCGACGGCCGGCTAGAAGGCACGTGCGAAGTACAGACCAGCGCCAGCTTCAGCACCGGCAGAACCTCCTCCTCCGGCCAGCTCCCTCCCATCGCCGGATCCACGCACTCCAGCACGTTGTTCCCTTCCTCCAGCAATCCCCTCACGTGATCGCTCAGTATCACCACGCTGTCTTCTCCGTACTCCACCGGCCGCCGCCCCGTCACCACCTCCAGCGCCACGACGCCGTACCCGTACACGTCACACTTCTCGCTCACCCTCAGGCTCCGGCACGCCACCTCGGGGGCCGCGTACCCGACGACGACGTGGCTCTCCTCCCGCTGAGTCAGCAGCCTCGTCAGCCCGTAGTCGGACACCTTCGGGTTCATATCCGCGTCTAGTAAAACGTTGCTGGGCTTGACGTTGTAGTGGATTATTGGAGGGCGGAACCCGTGGTGTAAATGGGCCAGCCCATGGGCCGTTCCGGATAAAATCTTAAACCTCTCGGCCCAAGTCAGCGCCGGGGTGGACGGTCCCCGTTCGTGGAGCTTCCCCTGCAAGCTGCCGTTGGGGGCGTACTCTGCTATCAGAAGTTGCAATCGCGGCGTCCAGTAGAATCCTTTTAGGGAAAGTAGATTCTGGTGCTTCACCTTCCCGAGAAGTCTGACTTCTCTGTCGAAATCGTCGGCGAACTGGACGATTTTCGACCCGTCGAGCTTCTTGACCGCGACGGTTCGTCCGGTTGAACCGAGGGGGAGTTTGTAGACCGTTCCCAGCTCGCCTTCCCCGATCTCCGCCGCTTTGCTGAGCAGCGACTCCGGGTTGTTGGTCTCGTCGTCGGTCAGATGTCGGCGAATCAACGACGACGACGATTTGGAATCGAACAGGACGAGCCTGCTGCCGGCGAGGTTGCCGGACGATTTGGAGACCGAGCTGGAGCACATGCTCTCCAGCGCGTGCTCCACAAACGCGAGCCGCTTCCTGGCCGAGGCGTTGAGTAGGGTGACCACGACGACTCCGACGATGATGAACGCGGCGGCGGAGATGGCTATGATGGCCGAGGCGGTGAGGAACATACGGTGACCGCTGGAAGAAGAAGCGGGTGATTCCGGGTTTCTGTTGCGGGTCCGGGTCGGGTCTCCGGCGTTGGCGAAAGGGTCGAGGACGAGCGGCTTGGGGACGTCCAACTTGCAGGGTCCCTTCAGCAATGGGGAGCAGATCCCTAAGTTGCCCTGCAGCGCGCTGGCGTCTAGGCTGGGGAAAATTCCGGCTGCGGGAAGCCGGCCGACGAGCTGGTTGTGAGATACGTTGACGGCGAGGAGATTTTCCAGTGCTCCGAGCTCCATGGGAAGTTCTCCGGTCAACGAATTGAACTCCAATTTCAAGAATTCGAGCTTGCTTAGCTTGGAGATGGAGCTTGGGACTGAACCGGTCAGGTTATTGTGGGACAAGCTCCTGTTAATAGAGCAAAAAATGGTTAATTGATAGCATTAAGGCGAAATCAATAGGGGGAAGAGTGAATTGGACTTACAGCAAGTAGAGAGAAGAGCAGTTTCCGATTTCTTCAGGAATGGGACCGGAGAGGGAATTTCCGTCTAGTTGCAAAATGGCGAGCTTCCCCGATTCGCATAAATCTGCAGGGATGGAGCCATGAACCGTGCTGTATCTCAAATCCAGAACCTCGAGGTTCTGCAAGTAGCCAAGCTCAGGAGGGAGAGTTGAATGGAGGTCGTTCCAGGACAAGTTCAAGTGTTTCAAGCCGGAGGAGATTAGTCCATTCCCCGCCGGGATGTGTCCGGTGAGTTGGTTGCCGGATAGATCCAGAATCTGAATGGAGTTGAAGAATGCAGGGGAAGCCGGCGGCAGGGCTCCCACTAGTTGGTTGCCGGAGAAGTCCACTTCCACCAGGCTGCCGAGATTGGTGAACATTTGATCAGGTATGGTGCCGTTGAAGTTGTTACCTCGCAGCCTAATCACGGAGAGCCCGCTGCAGGAGACGATTGAGCTCGGAATGCCGCCGGTGAGGCCATTGTGGGAAAGGTCGAGAAACTCGAGCTTCGTCAGCTCGCTGATTCGGTCAGGGAGATTGCCGGTGAGCAGGTTGTTTGAGAAGCTGAGATGGGAGAGAGATCCGAGCCTCAGGAGATACTCCGGAATCGGACCGGTGAACGCATTATCACCAAAATCAAGCCGATTCAGGTGCGGGCAGAGCCCCAAATCCCAAGGAATCGTCCCGGCGAAACCATTCCCCTGCAATCGAATCTCCTTCAAGTTACGCAGCCTGTACACGCCTTCCGGGACCGACCCGGAGAACGAATTGCCGGAAAGATCCAGAGTCCGAAGCCGGGAAAGAGACCAAATCCCGGAAGTAAAATCCGGCGATCCGGAGAATCGGTTCCTCGACAAAACCACCGTGTTGAGAGCAGAGCACCCGTACAATGTCGACGGAATGGAACCCTCGAGCGAGTTCCCGGACAGGGAGATCCAACGGAGAGACGAGCAGTTCCTGAACAAGTCCTCCGGAAGAGGGCCGGAGAGCAAATTGTGCGAAAGGTCCAGGAACTTCAACGAGTCCAGGTCGAGAAACGAGGCCGGAACGGCGCCGGAGAGCGAGTTGCGGGAGAGATTGAGGGACTGGAGAGAAGGGAATCCGAGCGAAGGAGGGATGGAACCGGAGATGTTGTTGTTGGAGAGCGAGAGCGATTTCAGGTGGGTCAGCTTCCGGAGGCCGCGGCCGAGCTTGCCGGAGAGTGACAGGGAATCGAGGGAGATGGAGGAGACGCGGCGGGTGGCAGGGTTGCAGGCGATGTACCGCCACGAGCAAGGCGAGTCGTCGTCCTGGTTCCATGACGAGAGGTGGGAGGATGGGTCGATGAGGTCGGATTTGAACGCGATTAGGCCGAACACTTCGTCCAGCAGCGGGATGGCCGCCTCGTCAATGGCGGCCGCCAAGGTGGGGGTGAAGAGGGTTAGCAGGGCTAGAATGGGGAAGAGGAGTGGATGGTGGTGTGAAGCCATTGATGGAAATGGTGCGGAAGGAGTTCAGCGGCTGGAGTTGGGTTTGGGAAGGAGGGAGGAGGAAGCCATTAGTGAGCTCACGAGGAGGGGAGATAGAAAGGAAAGGACGGGGTAAGGTGTTTTTTTGGCTGGAAATGGAAGTGGGTGGTCCAGTTTCCAGTGCTCGTGAAGGCAAAGCCAAAAAAAAAAGCCAGAGGACAGTGTGGGTAGTGGGCTTTGGAGTTTGGACAGAAAACAGGGGAATATGTTGTTTCCTGAGGAAGAGGCTATTAATTAAGTCATCATGTTACAATGAGAATGAAGGTATGGCTCTGTTTTTGCCCTGTTTTCTTTCCTTTTGCATTATTTCTTGGTGTGTGATAAGGTTGTGTACTATTGGCATCTCCAATTCCAACTCATAATAATTGGTGAAGAACAATAGAGAATCAAGACCTATAGCGACCGAATGGTAAAACAGTTTGAATTTCGAGTTGAAAATCTCAAATGTTGAATACACGAGAGCTGATATTTTTATCTCTTCTAGTGCAAATGCCCAGTGTTGATTAGATATGTTGGATCTAGATGATCCATTTGACATTCCGTATATAGGGATTGTTTCGTAGCTAAGACAAGTTACAACCTACCGCATAAAATTATCCATAATATATGCCCTAGATCAGTGGCATCGATGCTCTATCAACAATATGTCGGTATATCGAGGCGATGATGATGTATTTACTCGACATGCAACTTTGTAAGTGTTTTTCGTGCATTGTAATATCCATCTGAAGGTTTTGATGCTCACAAAATTCGTGTTCCAAGCTTATTCAAGATTTGTCTTAAAAGATCTTGAGAGAAGATAATTTATTGACCAGTCAGTAGTGAAGTTTGTCAAAAACCAGTTGATTCCAATCACTCGGGTTGTTGATAGAGGTTTGATAATGCCTCTTATACCACATACCAACACGCCCCTTCAAACGAAAATCACTTGTAAGGACTTGAAGTTAGCACCGATTTGAATACCATGGCTTATCAAATGGAGATCGTGGGAATTCGAACACAAGACCTCTCGATCATAAAAAGCACTGATACCATATCAAAAACCAGTTGATCCCACATACTAACAAAGCCGAAATTTAGAATGAGGGGGTTAGAAATAAGAAATCACAATAACCTATCAGAATTGAATTTCGATTTTCGGGGGAGAGAGGTTTTAGGCTATCAACCAGTCATTTACCATTGTCTATCTACGATAAGGTCTACACTTCGTAACGTATAATCATATATTGATGAGAAGTTATAGCTATCTTGACTTATATGTGATATAAGATTCATTATTACACCTCTCCAAATTTTCGGAATCAATTGATTATTTACATGGTATCAGAGTATTCTGTGATCAAGAGGTCTTGAGTACGATTCACTACGATCCCCATTTATTAAGTTATGTGATATAAGATCCATTATTGAACATTTCTCAACAACTCAAATTAGGGAACGAGTAACTTTTTTAGGATCATTTGGAATAGATAGATGAAAAGGAAAAGAAAAAGGCAACTTGCATGCAACATAGACGACTCAAGTTCACGGAAAGAAGTACAGGTTGATGCTGCGAAAGTGGGAAAACAGGGCACGGCCTTTTCCATGAGAATCGTTTGCATTATTGTTTGGACTCCGGTGTCGTTTCCTTCGTCTCTCTCGTCACTTCGCTTTCCCGCTCCACTTTTCAAACCTAATTACGTCTCATTCTCTCTGTGTTGTTATTGGCTTGATTGTGCTTGGACTTAAATATATATTATTAAAAGACTGATTAGACGTACACTTTTACAGTCATTTTGTTGATAATTTAGTTAGATTTTTCCAATAAAAAAATACAATGGATTTGAAGAAGAAAACACAACCTTTGTTGCGACATAAATCACAATATAAGAAACTTAGACTTTTTGCTTAATTTTTGTTGTCTGGCCTGCGTGTGTTACTGTGTTAGTACTACTATATTCTTAATATAACTTCAATGAGAGCAACTAGGATGAGGTTTGAATGCTAAGTTTTCTACTAATCCATTGATTGAATAAAATTGAAATTAGGGGAAGAGGATTTGATCTAATGGTACTATCGTTATAGATCATCCATTTTAATTTTACAGTGAACAATTTTAGTTGAACTTGATCTGACCTATATGTTCATAACAAATAATAAAACCAAAAAGCACCTTTGTTAATGGTTATGGACTTATGGTAATAGAAACAAAGCTATATTTTGTACCACTGTGTTTGGGAAGAGGTGTAAATGGGAGGGAAAATACAGTTTTCAATACATTGGGGCCCGTTTGGTTAATTTGTAACCATAGCGGGGTGTAAAGCGGAATTGAAAAATTAATGTTTCGACTTACCTCACAAATTGGGGTGCAAGGGAATGAAGAAAGAAAGGGAGAGAGGGAAAGAGGGGAACTTTTTTTTTCTAATAATTTTTTAATTGTTTGGCGAAGAGGAACGATAATACGATATACCCCATCTCACCAATAACCAATGGTTGTTTCTTAAGAGAGGGGGAAAAACGGACAAAATATCGAGGAAGGCTATAGTCCACCATGAACTATACATAGCTCGACCACTAATCAATATAAGAAGGGAAAGAAAGTCCAACAAAGAGAACAGGGTGATGGGTGTTGCAAAGATTTCGCAATCCGCAATCAACAACATGTGCATGTGACGTGGAAAGTGAGAATCGAAAGAGAGATGTCCATGTATAGATCGAATGATCGATCGACAATTACGATTCATAATCTATCTATATAACATTATTGATTCATATACGAAACATTAACATATGGGTAATATTTGTTTCTTTCCTCCACAAAATCCCAAATCATATTCACGGGAATGCCTATCCCTTACCAAAAAAAAACTTCATTTTTCTATCTTTCTGTGGCTGATGGATGATATGCTGATTTACTCTGTCATTTTCCCAGCAAACAAACAGTCCGCAAGATTACAAAAGAAAAACAAAACATCCCACACCATGCTTCATATGATGCCTCTCCCTACTTTCCTGGCACTAATAAATCGAATCTTAAATGAATTTTTTTCTTCTCCCGATTCCCGGTCCATCAATGTGATTGGGCCGGGCTGAGCCAGTTACTTACCCCTTTTTCTTATGGGCTCAAATGACCTCTCAGTCTTCAGTGACCAGGCCCACCCACCGTGCCCGTCTTTCCCTCCCTTTCCCTTTGACTTGGGACGCCAAAATCCCTCAGAAATTAGGGCGAAGGTTCTCGCCGTTAACCTTCCCACCTGAACCTGATACTCACTGAGCGCTGCCGTAATCGTGCTAACTGGGCGGGAAAGCTTGATCCGATGGGTCGGCAACGGCGGCGCTTCCTCCCCGAATCGCCACTCCTTCCTCCTTTCCGCCGCCCCTATCCAGGTTTCTTGATTTTTTTGCTTGTTGACCTCGTTTACGTTATTAATGGGACGAAATGACAATCAAATAGCTGCTGCCAGCTCTTGCTTACTCTTCTGCTTTGACTGGTGCTCGTATTTAAGTTTCATACGGTGTGGTTGCCAGGACTCGCGTTTGGACGTGGGGGAGACTACTTGATGAACTCCAATTTTAGGTATTGCTCTTTTGCCTCGGCTTCATAGTTCCGGGATTATGACTGTTTGATGTTATAGGAACTGTTTTGAAAAACCATGATGATTGTGGCTCGACTGATAATGGGGCAGATAAATTGGCGTTCATGGGACTTTGCTTGAATCCTTCAGTGGTAGCACTTGACGGATGGTAGTAGCTTAGGGAACAGTCGTGTAGTTCTTCTCTGGTGAAGAAGACATGTGGTTTTTGCATGTTCTTGTATATTTGAAAGTTAACATCTCCTGGTGGGTTAAGAGTTTATAGTAGAGGCATGTCAAGGATACCCTAACAAGTAGTTCTGCTGACGAAAATGTAGTCAAGGATCTCACAACTTCTTGGAAGAATGTTCTGCATGTGGTTGAATCTATGAAGAGTAATTCACCCAGTGCGGGAAAGTATAAGCAGAACTTCAGTGTGTTGGTCAAAGAAGTTCGACGAACTAATGCTCACCTCTTTACTGATGAAGAGAAAAGTATCTTGGGTACTAATTCCAATACCTGGTGTTGATATTCTGCTGCCTCTTGACTTCCCTCATTGACAGATTGTGACACAGTTGACAGAGTCATTTGCAATAAAAACACCTGCTGAATTTTCATATTTCTCATGAATCATCTCTCCCGTGCATCTGATCACATGCATATAGGATAGATAATGCCCCGTACTTCTTCAACTGATGGAAGCACACCATCAAGCATGACACCAAGAAAACATACTGCCAATTGGAACTGCTGCCCTAACTTGTTATGAGTATGCATAAACATCAACAACAGCCATCAACACTTATATTACATATTATATTTGTAGATACTGTGCCTTGGAAGTCGACTCAAATTTTGTTTTCTGTCTTAGAAAATAAACTGGAGGTCACTCCTATACAAGTTGGTGTTGAATGCATGCCATCAAGCATGAAAGTGGGAACTAAGGCGCTCTACAGAGTCTGAATTTGCATCTTCAAACTGCTTCATGAAAATTTCAAGCTCTTTCGGTGTTCTAGTTAACAAATGAATTTCAAGTTTCACACAGTGACTAATCATCATTGTTTAATTATTCCAGGTCGTTGGTTCCGCATGTCTCATGTTTCCTGCCACTGCAATTTTGAATCTTAACGAAGCAAGGAGTGAGCTCTCCGGTACTTTCAAATCTTCGTTGAAGTTTGCTCTACCTTATACGCTCAATATGGAAACATGGACTTGAAGTCAAAATTTTCAACTTTTTTCCCATTGCAACAAAGGGTTACATGTTTTGCATTGTGCATGCAAGTGAACTTAAACACAGCAACATGGAGGAGATTCTGAGTTTGCTATTCCGTAGCTGAGCTACGAGAACTCTGTGGCATGTTTAAAAAGGTATTTGAACCACATTTTGTTGTTGTTAAATGCATATTGTCTAGAATAAAGAAAGTAGACCCGAAGAATGAAAAATGAGAACATCAGCTGGTAGCAAGTGGAGAGCCATGTATACAATAAACAAAATAAACAAGAGAAGAGAAGATCACTGTTCGTATTTTGTTTATATGGTGTCTCTTACTGGAACCCAGTTTTGGGGGAGTCTTGCAATGTACAAGTGCTTCAATTATGGCTCTAGATGGCTGGCACTTTCCAATCTGAACTACTCTAAATATCAACTGTTGGGTAGGCTCCTCATAGTAGAATTTCAGTTTGGCTGGTAATAGTTAAATTGCTGTCAAGTGTTAATAGTTGAGAAATATGGAGCATTTTGGGTGGATTCTTTCTAGCTTTGATTGTGTCCCTAGTTTTGCTCCGAAAACAACCTTGGCTTCTGATGACTACACAGTATGAGATCTCCTGTGTGGACAGATACGGGTCAAACAATTCAAAACCTTGTGTTCTATTCATTGGTTGATGGATTTGGCTGCTTAACTGAAGAGGGTTTCTTAGCTCCAAACTGGTGTCTGCTTTTCCATACATTATCTTGCTTCGGTTAATATCTCCTTTGTGGACAGATACAAGTCAAAGAGGTTAAATTTTTGTATGCTGTATTCGTTGTTTCATTTGTGTTTATAATAAAACTTTTATACTTCAGAACTGTCCTCTCAGTACCAGGAAGCAGGATATCATAGCAGAGCTTTCCTCGTTACGGAAAGGATGGAGTATGGTACTTAATGATTATGCCCTTGATGCTGCTGTGAACATCTTAATGTGCCAACACAATGTTTTGACTCATGCTGTTCTAGTGGGATGCCAGACCTACTACTATGGCGTGCTTCCATGAAAACTACAGAGGACAAGTGAAGCTGGTCGAGGTGAACCGTGAAAGGCCTCTCGAGACAGTCTTTCTGAACAGCAGCGAGTATGGCTGCTCCTGCTAATCAAGTCCATTCGTTATCTTGTCATGTGAAAACATGCATTATTTCCGGACAGAAGAAGTTAATAATGAAATGTGACTGTTTATGGAGCAAGGAAGAAGAGCTGCTGTTGGTAGCTGGTTCATCGCTTTCCTTTCTAGGAAAGGAATGTGGTGTTGCGGTGTGCTGTCGCTTGAATAATTCAATTGGGTTTGCAGCTGTGCAACATAAGATAACAGGGGAACAGGCCCAACTGTACCCCTTTACGTTGATTGAGTATGGTTGATTTGTAATATGTACATAAAGTTTAAGTCTAATTTAAGGATACACGTTATCTGTTACGAGTCAATTTTTGATGATATTCAACTTTTTTTCAATATGGAGATTTCAAGTTCAAATTCCAAGGCTACTTTTATAGCTCATGGAGAGTTTTAATCTTTGTAGATTGAGATAAGATGAGGTTTGTTATGACTAGTTAGTTGTTTTGGCGGGCCTCGCCTTTGTGATTGTTGTTGTGGTCTATGGATAATATAATTGCGTCAAATTTAGCCAGCTTCTTATTTATTGTTGTACTTATTCCATTCACTTCTTTGCTGACTTAAGATGTGTAACATTGCTGAGTTGAATTAGAGGATTTCTCTTGTTGATTGGATCTGAGTACTCAGATAAACTAAAGTTAAGTAAAATTGTTATTCAAGTGATGATGCATCATTAGCACATAAAACAACAAAATATGTCTTAAATATATGTGAAATGTTAATGGAAAGGGTGGGATAGGATAGGGTGGGGTATAGAGAAGCATGATTAATTTGATGGCGATGTGAATGATGGTATTTCTTTAGGTACAACAACATTTTATATTTCAATCTCAATGGGTTAATACTAACATGGCAATACCACCCCAAGAGAGTTCTAAAAAATGACTCTATAATAACAAAATGACATGGACATACATAAAAATAGACAAAGAAATGATGAATGAATTCGGAGGTTTTTTTTTATTTTGGTGTTGGAATACGTAGTTCTAACTGATCTTAAGTTGTTTATGTATATTTTCAAGAGTTCGATTCCAAAACTTAACGGTATTTACCTTGTCATGTTGATTTAGATTTTGTACGTCATATAACAACTAACTAACTGTAGAATCTGTCAATTTTTCGTAAACTTGGTTTTGGAACTACCAAAATTCGGAATTGAGCAAATTTAGTGACATTTGGATTCTATAGACTTTCTAGTTTTAGTTTAGAGCATGCAAGAGTATAATTTTTTTCTTTCCGCTATTGTTATGTTGGTCAATTTGGGAAGGGAGAGAGGTTTGGTTTTGGCATCATGTAATGATGTGCTGTTGGGCTATTGTGTTCCTCTTATCATGAAAGAAACAGAGCATCTTTCACACATAACAGCAACCAGCTAGCTCTCAGTTCAACAATGCAATTACATGCTCTGTATTATTGGGATGAGTAAAAGTGATATGATAGGAGTAGGTGGTGGATGTGGGGAAGAAATGTTACCTTAGCCAAAAAGATCATGTTGTCTCCTCATCTCCCCTTATCTATTATGTGGCTCACATGACAAATCACATTCAATCTTCTTGTCTTCTTGCATCATATGTCCCTAAACACACCAAGATAAATATCACACATTCCAATTCATGCAAAAAACAAAGGCCACCACTTCCCTAATGGTAGATTCTCTTTTGGCTTTCATGGTGTATGATAGGAAGGATTACAAGAAGCAAATGGTGACTAGCTTTTTAAAGATCTTTTCATGGGTAACCAATCTTGTTGATAATAAGAAAGAGTTATTTTCAGGGATTGGAAAGCAAAGGAATAACATAAGATACATGCTTCAGTTTTTTTTTTTATTTATAAATTGAGTTATTGAGAGCAGCAGTTAGTATCTTTACATGATATCATGTGATGATTAAAATACTTTGTGTTAAAAACCTTGCTACCTTCAATATTAGCAATTGATCATTTAAGGGAAGGCTGAAATCCTAAAGAGTGGGAGGAACAAAGGAAAATATGAGGAAACTAGCTCATCACCCTCTACATGTATTAAAGAGAGCTTTCTAAGTTTGCTTGTGATGTTGAAAGGGTATCCACTAAAGAGAAGCTTAAGGAATGAGGAAAGAGTATTGATGACCATTGTTGCTTCTCTAGACTCTAGTTATGGACTAGAAACAATGGATCATCCTCTTCTTTATGACATCTTACTTTTAGACCATTGTTGTTGTGACCATGCAAGAGCTCTAACCCTATCATGTTGTTTGGTACTTGGCAGGTTAAACTCATTGGGCGATCAACGTTTTCGAATGAAGTTATCCTTGATGCTAAGCTGACTAGTTGAATTGGAATTTGGTTGTGAGTTTATATTTGCGAACAAAAATGCGCTAGAATTCAGGGATCAATATTCAAAGATGTACACTAGACGATATTGTGTTTGTGTTAGCCAAGTGTTTGTACTTAATAGGTGTTATGAGGATCAAGTTCAATGATGCAACCTAATCTATATAATTGGTAATTTTCTCATAAATAATTTTATTTTTTTGGATTACTGTTGGTTGATTTGTCATTCAACTGCTTGATGGATTGCAATGTTGTATAAAATTTTCATTTTATAAATAATTTGCACAACAAATTTGTCATGCTAAACTATAACAAAATGTAGTCATTACTTACTAATAATTTTTGTAAATAGTTAAAACATTATTAAACCTCCCAAAAACAACAAAACCCAAGGTGCCAAAACTCCTAAAGCATGAAATCACCCTTACCCTTCACAATTCCACCCTTTCCTTCCTTCCTCTCTGTAAATTTACCATTAACCAGGCCAGGCAAAGGCTAACAAAATCTCAAGAACCGTCCTCTCTCCGTCTCTTCTTCATCCTCTCTCTCTCTCGTTTAGTTCATCGCCAATCGCCATCGCCATCAATAATCAATTCTGTCAATCTCTCTCTTCTTCCTCGCCGATTTATTCAACGAACTGTATTGGGCAAGTAAGAATCAGAAGGTAAAACCTTATCGTCCCTTCCCCGCTTTAGATCTTCCTTTAACTTGCTTCCCTCTTTTCTTAGATCGTTTTGCTCCAATTTTACATGAATTGGCAAAGGGCTTCTTCTCCATTCCTTTTCCTGTGTTTTTTATTGGGTTGCCGCCATTCCATCTACTAGAATCAAGCTTGTTAGATTCTCAATTCATTCCCTTTTTAGAAGGTTAATTCCAATTGATTTTCATGTGCTATGTCTTCTTCAGGTTGGATGGATTCCTCAGAGCGGGAGAGGATGAATTGTTTTTCCTTGTTTTGGGTTTCTGATTTTTTTTTTGTTAGGGTTCTGAATTTTGGGAATGATACTTTTTTTGTACTTTTTCCTGTTAGTCTAATTGGTTTTTGGTTACGGATGTTGTGAATTTGATCGCTGGGTTTTTGCAAAGGACTTGGCTTTATGGTTTCTAATGAAGTGTCGTTGCTTTGATAAACGCAGGAATCAGCCATGTCCCACCAACGACATCAATCGGGCGAGTTGAATTACATGGCAGAAGAGGCTGAAATGGCTGATTTCGTTGATGAAATTGATGAAGACAACTATGGGGGTGCGGCAGCCGGAGGTGGAGTTGATGTGGAAATGGAGGCAGATGAATATGACATGGTTTGGTTTCCTTTCTTCGGTTCATCAATCATCATCCAGTTATGTAGATGTTGTTCCCCAAGTGACAAGCTTTTTGATTCTTTACGTTGGAATTCTGTCTGTAGCTTACCAAGGTGACCGACACATCTTCTGCCCAAGCTAGGATGGGCAAAGATATACAAGGTATTCCATGGGAAAGATTGAATATAACCAGAGAGAAGTACAGATTAACACGCCTTGAACAGTATAAGAACTACGAAAACATCCCTTTGTCTGGGGAATTCGTCGATAAGGTTTGTTAGTTCTGCCACTTTTGGTTGAAGTAGTTTGGAGTATATAGATAATAAGGTCATCTGATCCCTCATGTCTTTTTGCTTGTAGGCATGTAAACCAACAGATAAGGGGGCCAACTTCTACGAGTTCTTCTACAATACTCGATTGGTCAAACCCACAATTCTTCATTTCCAGGTTGGTTATCGCCTTAAGCACGCACTGCTTGTTTTGGGATACCTCTTGTCATGAGTTGTTTGGTATGTTTCTCTGAGTATCTTCTCTGCATTGTGGAAAAGAAGCAGGCAAGCAGCTTAGCGGCTCCTTTTCAATTTCCAAACATATCTGAATCTGAAGACATATGGGCATATGTTGTGCTATGTTCTGTTCCATGTTTTAGCCATTTCAAGCTATGTAGTGCGGATGCCTGGAATTTTAATGATGTGCTTAATTCAAGGATGTTAGCATATTGCTACTTGAATGCAATTTTTTGTACTTAATGTTAGACATTCTGCTAAATATGATGCGTACTCCACAAAGAGGCAAGTAAACTGCTGGCAAGTTTTCCTGTTCATCCTGTAGAGAAAAAGAGAAATGAGGCTACTTTATTTTGTTTTGTTTCCCCATTCTAGATGAATGGGTCTTGTTGTTCCTGCAATTAGATTAGATGAGTATTGATGTCCCTAGAATTGTATTTGACCGATTCCTCGTTAAATGATTCTGCAGCTAAGGAACTTGGTCTGGGCTACTTCAAAACATGATGTGTATCTGATGTCTAACTACTCTGTCATGCACTGGTCATCATTGTCTTGCAATTTATCCGAGGTCATCAATTTCGCAGGGCATGTAGCCCCTGATGAGGTACTTTTTCTTCTCTATAGTTCTTACAATGGGTAGAAAATTGAGTTTTTTCCCCTTCTTCTTTTAGTAGTTAACAGTGTGTGACTTTGATCCTGAGCATTACTTTTTGCTGTTGGCTGTTTTGCAAAACAGAAACATTCAGGAAGCTTGCTGGAAGGTTTCACACAAACTCAAATAAGCACTTTAGCTGTTAAAGATAATTTCTTAGTTGCAGGGGGCTTCCAGGGAGAGCTTACTTGCAAGGTCAGTTGATTTGTATTTTCTGTCTCTATTTTGCGTTTTCTGTTGCTGTCTTTCCTTCCTGTGAAGCTATAATTGGCAATACATACCAAATTCTACAGCTATATTGTGAGGTCCTTTGATGGGTAGCCTACTGGTTTCATGATCTTCAGCGATTAAATGCAAGAGAACGCTTTGTGTACTACCTAGTCTGCCTCTTATATGCTTGCTGTTCTAAATCACAATTTCATTAAACTCCTCAATTCTGGCGCCAATTTCTTGATGAATTTAGGTGTACTTTTCTCTTCTACCTGCCTTTATCTTGAATCCTGGAAATTGGGAAAGCTTGTTAGGGAAACCTTTCTTAGGGTACTCCTGCGCAAGAAGTTATTTAGCAAGCGATATATATATGTGTTTTCCCAGGATATTCTTCGTGCTGTTTCTTTTTTCAGCGTCTATTAACCTTTTTGCTGGTTTAATCTGGTGCAGCGTTTAGGTAAACAAGGAGTTAGCTTTTGCACCCGTACTACTTATGACGATAATGCCATTACAAACTCAATTGAAATATACGATGGCTTGAGGTAGGCTGATCGCTTCGATGAAATTAAGTGTTTTCACTTTGTTTAAGGCGAATATGATTAACCTGAAGTACTTCTTGGTTATTTTACAGTGGTGGAATTCACTTCATGGCAGCCAACAACGATTGTGGTGTGAGGGAATATGATATGGAGAGGTTTCAGCTCTTGAATCATTTCCTGTTCCCTTGGCCGGTGAACGTGAGTCCTTTTGACCAACAAAATGGCCGTGGGTTGGTTAATTTGTTTAGTTTGCTTAGTCTCTTTGTAAGCAGCTGACATGATGATGCATGCTTAACATTATGCAGCATACATCAATAAGCCCGGACAAAAGACTGGTTACTGTTGTTGGTGATAACTTGGATGCACTGCTGGTAGATTCCCAAAATGGAAAGGTACGTGGAGTTGCCTCTTTTGAAACATTTCTGGTTGTGTTCAGTTTTAGTTTCTCTGAAGATATTCGTGTATTGTTCCTTTTCTGGAAAGGGGGATTGCTGTTTTAGTGCCAGCTCAACAAAGCCTGCTATCTTAACATTTGGGAATCTGGAGAAACAGACCAAAGTTTTGCTTTGAATCTTGGTTACCTTGATATGAAGAAAAGGAATTGATTTCTGAATAATTGGCCGTTTCTTATGCAGACGGTATCCACGATGTCAGGCCATCTAGATTACTCTTTTGCTTCGGCATGGCATCCCAATGGCCTTGTGTTTGCTACAGGGAATCAGGACAAGACATGTCGCGTGTGGGACATACGGAACTTATCGTCCCCTGTGGCAACCCTGAAGGGCAACCTAGGAGCAGTGCGGTCGATCCGATTCTCGTCGGATGGCCAGTTCATGGTGGTGGCCGAGCCTGCTGATTTCGTGCACGTGTATAGCACGCAACAAAACTACCAGAGAAGGCAAGAGGTCGACTTCTTCGGTGAGATATCAGGAGTAGCACTTAGCCCAGATGACGAGTCGTTATACATAGGGATATGGGACCGGACATATGCGAGCTTGCTGCAGTATAACAGACGGCATAGCTACGGGTATCTGGATTCATGCTTGTGATGATGTTAGAATAAGAGGTCTGTTGTAGTGCGAATGGAAAGGACCTAGGGAAGGGTTCAAGGGACGAGATGTTTTGATTTCTTGTTTGTGTTGTAATCCTTTAGTGGTTGGGGGTCCTTATAATTTAGGGTGGTAATCCTTTGATTGAGGAATGTGGTTAAGGTGAGAAATGAGATGGTGACTGGAAAAAAGTGAGAATAATTGAACTTCAGGGTCCGTCTGGTTGTTTAGACCTTCTTGTATAGATGATACCATATAACTACATAAAGCAATTGTCATGAGTGGAATGGGTGATGAGTCCTTGAACTTGGGTTGGAATGGAAGGAATGATTCTGTGTACTACATATTCATACATCTCTCTTCTATCTATTGCATTCCATGCTGCGAAGTGTTTGCTTGTTTGATGTAATATACGGGATAGCTGTAATTCTACGCCGAATGAGTTCAAAGGGATTCGTCGAGATTCGAATACCTGATCGTTAGGTTCTTCTGGTGCCAAGAAAGAAAACCCAGAGAAAACGAAAAGGGCCTTTGTTTGTTGTATTGATGAGTTCCAGAACTCCCAAATTGAAAAGGATAGAACCAACTGTGATCTTAGAATTTATATAGTGTACTATGGCTTTCACTCTTGTTGCTTTTCCAATTACGAGTTTCATACATAAAGAAGTGGACATTGACTCGAATATATAGAAGATCTGAATTATGTCATTACAACATCCAAATGATATATTCTTACAATCAACTGATGTATACAATCAGCATAGTCTGAAATAAATACTATCTCGAAGTACAATCATTTATACTTCGAATGTCTGATGCTAAATGTAAGGGAACAAGAAATCGCGAGCAAAATTAACCATATAAAAGTGAATGAAATACCTGTTTCAAAATTTTGGTTGGTTAGATTGGGAAAGCTTGAAGAAACGCACAAGTTACTCAAATACGTGAAGCTTTCATCAATCTCCTCCAAAATCCAAGACAGTTGCTTGCAATATCACGTGCCTTCAAAACCAACTCCTATGAACTTTCCTCCTAGCCATCATTCATTTCCCACAACTTGCCTTTGCTTCCCTCCTCAGAGTCCTTAAATAAGTTCTGGATTTGAGCTCCATGGACGATTACTTCAACATGGGTAGTTCCCCCCAACAGCCTAAAGAAGAAACTGCAATGAACCATGCTGTACCTGAGAGTTCCACAAGCATCAGCATGCGAATTACCGAGCATCGCCTTCCTGCCTACACCAGCTCCAGCATCTCCCTTGATTCCATACAACTCTCTATACAGAACATCGTCAAGCACTGGACCACACGGCAGAGATATTGGAACCCGTTTTTCGGAGCTGATCAAGAGCAGCGGCGCTTGTCGAATACGACTCCACCATGGAGAAGGAAACTAGCAAGCTTCCTGGAATCGATGCCCCTTCGAGTCACTGTAATCATTCTGCTGATCCTTGACATCACCTTGACTATTCTCGACCTGTCCTCCTCGATGCTCAAATGTCATAATCGAGGTGACGGGAGATCATTGGCCGCGGACTGGTTCCACTGGGTTGAGATTGGGATCCTGAGCCTGCTCTGTGCGAAGCTAATTGCTCTAGCTGTGGCACTTGGACCCAAAGCTTTCTTTAGCAGGCCAGGGTATGTTGTTGATGGTGTGGTGGTGGTGGGAGCTTTGGTTCTGGAAGGGCTGCTGGATATGAAGGAAGGAGGGTTGATGGTGGTGGTGAGCTTGTGGAGAGTGGTGAGGGTGGTGGAGAGCGCCTTCGAGTTGAGCGATGAAGCCATCGAGGCTCAGATTGCAAGGGTAGTGTTGGAGTTTGAAGCACTCAAGGCAGAGAACATCAGATTGTTGGAGACGATAGGTGAGAGAGATGAGACCATAAGGATGCTGCAAGAAATGGTGGAGATGTTAAAAGCAGAACTAGATGATGAGCAATGATCAATGTGTATGGTGGCTCCGGGGTAATGAAACTCGAAAGTATTTCATTTTTCTAATGCTCCATATAGAAGTAATTCAGCTCATTAGTATGTTTCAGGAAACGAGGGTCAATACATAAATGGTCACTGAACTTTGGAGTAATTAATGCTAAATCATATACATATGGCGACATGGACTTTTAACCCATACCTGATCCACACAAAACCAGTTACTCACATTATCCAGGCCTCCTTAATCCCTTCGTCTCTTTACCGCAAAGAACATGAAGAGGATGGACAAAGTGGCATTATGTTAGTTATTCCATACTTTAGTGACAAGTTTGTTATAGATCAAAGTTCTTAGGCTGTACTGTAGTGTTGATAACCTATACGTTAGGTGAACATTTATGTACTTGACCCTAAGAAATGTATATATTTGACAAATCATTAGATTTTTCTGCCTTCAAGACTTCAATTGCTTCATCACCACAAAACCAAATTACCGAAATGATCAAGAAAGAAATAAACCAAGTACCTGATCACCAGAAATCATTGCAGGAACATCTTCCGTTAGCAAAATGATGATACCGGGTGGCATCTCGCACAATAATGTCTCTCCTTACAATACTGCTAATATGTTTTAGAACATCATGGCAATCCCCACACACACGAAGATTCTTCACAATCCTTATCACCGTCCCTGGGACACCTTTGAGCAATCCATAAGCCACGGCTACCCTCTCACTGTGCCAAAATAGCTGCTTTTCTTTCTCTTGCTCTTCCATGTCTACTAGAACGCAGCTAGTATCTGGAACATAGCCTCTCCTTCTCATCTCTTTGTCAAGTTCCTTCAGCAAATGAAGTATCTCACCTTTGATATCAGGATCACAAGTCTCCCCAGCATAAAACACTTGCCTTTCTTTCCCCATGCTAATGCAACTATAACCAGGTTCCTTTTTCACCTCCAAACTCGTCATCAATTTCCGCACGGTTGACACACTTTCCCACATTCCAGCACTTGCGTAGACATTTGACAATAGGATATATGTCGAAGGATCTTGTGGGTTTAAGCTGAGCAGACGATCGGCAATTCTAACTCCCACTTGTTTGTTCCCATGTTTCTTGCATGCACTCAGTAAAGCTGCCCATGTGGGCTCATCAGGCTCAAATGGCATCGTACTGATAAGATTCTCTGCTTCTTCAAGGTGTCCAGACCGACTGAAGAGGTCCAACAAGCATGTAAAATGCTGCAAAGATGGAGTAATCCCATAATTCTCAGACATGGATTCGAAAAGTTGTCTCCCTTTCGCAACCAACCCAGCATGACTGCAAGAATAAATCAATCCAACAAAGGTCACCTCGTTTGGCTTAACTCCTGAAAGAACCATCTGATCATACAATTCCAATGCTTTCATTGCTTTTCCATGCTGCGCCTCCCCAACTATTAAAGAAGTCCAAGAAACAACATCCCTCCAAACCAGAGCATAGAAAATTGTCCTGGCAGACAAAAGGTCGCTACATTTAGCATACATATCAACCAATGCATTACCTATAAACAAGCTAGATTCATACCCTAGTGCCACAGCCAAACCATGGACTTGCTTCCCAAACTCTAGACAAGCTACACTAGCACAAGCAGCAACGATAGTGGAAACAACTAATGGGTCCACTATCTCAATTCCATCCCTCCTCATTTCAATAAACAAGTGAGAAGCATCGGTTGCAAACCCACTTTGCACTAATCCAGATATCAATGCAGTCCAAGAATACAGATTCCTAAAAGGCGTCTTCAACAACAGCTCCATAGCCTCCGACTTTAACCCACTCCTAGCATAACCTGATATAACCGAAGTCCACGAGATTGAGGACTTCACCATAATCGAATCAAACACAGCACGAGCCGCAAAGGGTAACCCACATTTTGCATACATATCAACCAACGAAGACTTAACAACGTCGTCACGGTTATACGACGATACAACGAACTGAGCGTGGACCTGCTTCCCCTGCCTTATCGCACACAAGCCGGCACATGATTTAACAAGAGTAGCGTACACGAAATGGTCAGGCAGCAACCCGTCGCGAGAAAGCATGGATGGGAAAACGGAGAGAGCTTCAGCGGGGAGATCGGCCTGATTGTATGCGGTGAGGATGGATGCCCAGGAGACGTGGTCTCTCTGGGGCATTTCCTCGAACAGGTTGTGGGCGTCATGAATAAGGCCGCATTTCCCGTAGGTATCAACCAAGGTATTGGCCAGGAGATCGCAGCCATGGAGGCCGAGCTTGATGATCTGAGAGTGGAGTGTCTTAGGAGATGACGGGACGTGGGATTTTGCGCAGAGCCGTAACTGGTGAAGGTAGCGAGAAACTAGCATGCATGTATCTAGAGAAGCTCCGCTTAGGCTCTGTCAATTTGGCTTCGTCTTCAAATTGGAATCGGGCCGCTGGGGAAAGAAAGGTTATATGTTATGCCAAAATAGTTGGGCTTACGGAGGGAAGAGATCCAGTGGGTTAGGCACCTATTCAAGGCCCACTCTACTCTCAACTCCTAAATAGAGAATATAATTTCAATTTAAAAAAAAAAGATTATAAATCCCCCTAACCATTTTTTAATTATTGATGTTGATGGCTATGTTTGTTAAAACTTAAAAGTGTAGTAAATATTGATTATAAATTATTTTAAATCAATACATGTGGGTATTCGAAGTACTATGCGTGATGAACAACTGAGAACCACGACAACATATTATTATTGATTATGGTTTTTTTTATGATTGGTTATCATGACTGAACATTTATGGTAAATGGATACATATGAATTTGTAAATAACTATAAATATGTTTCAAACTAATTAATTACTTACGTACATTATACATAATAACTATTTGATGAATGTACATTTTATTGAGAAGGATTGTATATTGAGTGGCAATAATTAATTTAGAAGAGACAATGAATAAGGATATACTCGATAAATTGATTTCATGTTCTTTCTTATTTTAATTTTGAAACCCAATTGTCCATTGCAATGTTCCATAAAGTACACATTATACTTCCTTATAATATCTCATTTTATTATAATCTCAAGTTTTACCACGTACAGCACGTCCAAAACAAGATTGCAAAGCAATCAAAAGTCAAATATAAGCCTAAAAAAAGAGGCAAAACCCTTCCAATTATTCTTATGTTGCACTATATTCAACAACTAAATTACAACCGGGATGCAACTGAAGACAGTATCCCTCACTCAGCAACAGGGTTCCAAGAAGAAAGAGGTGGAGTCTCAGAGTGCTTGAACGTTGGCATTCCTTCTCCATACCTATCACCTTTAACTGCATCTCCACCAGCAATGGCCTCCAGTTCCGCCATCTCTTCACGAGTGAGCTTCACGGACAGAGCTCCGATGTTCTGGTTGAAGTTCTCGACCTTGGTGGTTCCTGGGATGGGGCACACATCGTCTCCCTGGTGGTGCACCCAGGCAAGCGCTAACTGTGATGGTGTGCATCCTTTCCTCGACGCCATCTCATTAACCCTGTCGAATATGGCCCCATTTTGCTCCAGATTCGCTTGCTGGAACCTCGGCAGATACTGCGAGTAGACGAGATAAGAAGGGAAGTTTAGAATGCAAGTTGGGCAGGACAGTCAAACAACCCCATGAAACATGCAAGAAAGGAGAACTGTGAGCTGCCAAAACCTGTCTAATGTCACCCTCTGCAAACTTCTCAGCCAGCTTAGCCCCCGACGAAAAGAATCCGCGCCCTAGTGGACTGTACGCAACAATACCAATCCCCAGTTCTCTGCCAAGAAGAAGATCAATGAGTTTCAAGTGTCAGAAAACCGAACTTTCAGGATCATGCAACATAAAGTTTTCTCTTTGACAGTGAAACATCTAGTACCTGCAAGTTGGGATGATGTCTTCTTCCACATCCCTTGACCAAAGTGACCACTCCAATTGGACAGCGGTTATGGGATGAACAGCATGAGCTCTTCTGATCGTTGAAGCAGATGCTTCCGATAGACCTATGTACTTGATCTTACCCTCTTCGGTTAGCTTCTTCAGCTCCCCCATCTATATAAAGAAAAAAGATGCATCATGTTAAAAGAGACTTGACTTTCCAGACCTCATTCGACACAAAGTGAGAAGAAAGAGGGTCTAGAGTTTAAATACCGTGGCTTCAATCGGAACTCTGACATCAACACGATGCACGTAGTAGAGATCGATACAATCAACTTCAAGCCTCTTCAAGCTGTCCTCGCAAGCACTCCTTACATAAGCAGGATCCCCACGAATCTCTCCCTTCCCGTCCTTCAGGACACCGCCGAATTTGGTCGCGAGTTCAACCTTCTCCCTCATCTCCCCCTTCAACGCCTGTTTGGAAATGATGATGAAGGAACTTCAGAACCCCAGAAAATTTTTCAGAGAGAAAGCAGAAAGCTTGAGATTGATATGATGGTACAAACCTTTCCAAGGAGGATCTCATTGGTGTGAGGTCCGTAGATATCAGAGGTGTCGAGGAAAGTGACGCCACTGCTGATGGCGTGATGGATGAGAGCAATCATATCAGGCTCCGGCTTCGGAGGGCCGTAGAAGGCAGACATGCTCATGCAACCGAGTCCCTGAGCCGAGACTTCAAGACCCTGCGAGCCCAACTTGATTCTCTTCACCATTGTCGCCATGATTCCCTGCTAAAGAAAAACTGTGGTACCTGTGCAGGATTTGAGTTTCAGAAATAGTGTCCCGGTTGCTAAGTACTATATATGCAGAAGGTGCGGAGATGCTGAAAGAGAAAGAGGATCGAACCCAAAGAAGAAAAGTCAAGCTACAACTCTCTGCAATAAACAAGTCTCCAAGTGGATGCTGTTTATACGTTGGAACTTTCTTTATGAGGCATGTTCACATTGAAAGTCCAACTTGGCTGGCTGCTTGTCTATTTGCTTCATTTCTTTTCCTCGTATAAAGCTGGTCAAAAGATAAACAAAGACGTAAATGAGGATAGTATTCAACTCTCATACGAATGCAAATGGTTTATGGCCTACAATCAACAGCAATATTAACCACTCACAAAATTTACTTCAGGACTTTTCACATCCTCAGGAACCCAGAACAGAACAAAGAAGACGGTTCAAGTTAACAAACTAGAGTGGAAGTACACATTGCCTTAGGAAATTATTCGCCATTGGGTTTCCACCACGAAAGAGGTGGAGTGTCGGAATTCTTCAATGTTAATATACCTTCTCCATATCTATCACCCTTCAGAGCCTCTGCTGCAGCAATGGATTCAAGCTCGGACATTTCTTCTGGTGTCAGTTCCAACGAGAAAGGTCCAATGTTCTGATTGAAGTTTTCAATCTTGGTTGTTCCTGGAATCGGGCACACGTCATGTCGTCATCTCCCTGGTGATGCACCCAAGCAAGTGCCACCGGAGATGGAGTGCATCCTTTCCTTGTTGCAATTTCAAATATGGCTTTGTTGAGCTCCAAATTCTCAGGTTGAAACCTCGGAAGACACTGCCAACGTGGAGAACTAGATTTAAGGCTTTTCTAGGAAATAGAGATATATGTAATGGCCAAAGACTAAAACGAAATCTGATGATGGTAGTGTGCAAAATCCCCCTCAGCAAAACTTTCAGCAACCTTAGGCCCCAACGGAAAAGAATCCAAGTCCTAGAGGGCTGTATGCAACAATCCCAATTCCCAATTCCAAGTTCTCTGGCAAGCAGAACATACTATGAGACAGTGAACTTTTTCCCCAGTTTGAAAGATGTGGGTGATCATCAATGGCCGACCTGCCCGTAGGGACAATCTCTTCTTCCACATCCCTGGGCCACCAGGATCACTCCAACTGCACAGCCGTTATGGGATGAACAGCATGAGCTCTCCTAATTGTTGGAGCAGAAGCCTGAGGTAGGCCTATGTAACTTGATCTTACCTTCCTCAACTAGTTTCTTCAACTCCCCCATCTTTTCTCCCATAAAAGAATATAACCAACTTTAGAGATCAAAAGCTGAGATCCTAGTTTAACTAAAGTAGAATGGGACAAACAAACGTGGCTTCAATGGGCACTCTAGTATCAACTCTGTGCTGATAAGAAAGGTCAATACAATCAATATCCAGCCTCTTCAAGCTCGCCAGCACTTCTTACATAAGCTGGATCTCCACGGATTTCCGTCTTCCCATCCACAAATACAGCACCGAATTTGGCACCCAGTTCGACTCTTTCCCTAACCCTCTAACAATCAAAATCAGCCCCTCTCAAAAGAGCAAAAACGAATCAAAGCAGACCCAGAATCAGAATTGGACTAGGAAGTCTGAAAACCAACCTTCCCCAGAAGGATTTCATTTATGTGAGGGCCACAGACATCAGCGGTATCAAGGAAAGTGACGCTCGAGTTGATAGCGTTGTGGATGAGAGCGATCATTTCAAGGTCGAGCTTGGGAGGGCCATAGATACCCGACAGACATGCTCATGCATCCAAGTCCTTGAACTGATACTTCGAGCCCCTGCGATCCCGAATTTATTCTCTTCATCGGTACTGTTCCCGCCGCCATGGTCAATCTGGGCAGTTTTTCCGGCCAGCAGAGATTATAGGACTGAGCCGGCGAAGACACGCAGTCTGCGGACATAGAAGGTGGAAAATAAAAGAAATTGATTGGCGGGCTGGGCATGGGAATGGGCTTGAGCAGAGGTCTAGTGGCGGGGCAGGCGGGCTTTCAATAGTAAATTAATATTCATGGGCTTATCTAGTGCAAAGTGGTTAGAGTTTAGTTGTTTTAATCACCTGATTTATACACTTCGATTATGAAAATATTAAATTCAAATTCCACCCAAAACATAAAAATCGTACAATCTATTTATGATTGGGTTCGGTTAAGTCGGATGAACTATATTTTTAAGTAAAAATTCATCCAAATACTAATTTTTTATATATATAACTAACTACAATTTCAAGCATCAAAGCAAATAAATCAAAATACATAAAAAGGGTAGGTTGGATATTGTGAATTTAAATTTGTTTGAACATATATCTAATATTTTCTATAATTGTTTATCGAAATAAGCTAAAAACCTGTTCATTATAAACTAATGTATCCATAACATGTTATTTCTCTAACATTGTATAGTATATAAACATGAACCATAGCATATATTGAATACGTCCAATATGACAAAATATCATAATTCCCTCACAAATATGCTAATATAGGACATAACTACATTTTAAATACAAAAAATCCAGGACGATAACGGTAACACGAATTAAGTGGATATCTAAGAATTGTATAACCTGGAACCTGAAACCTTAATTTCAGCGATAAATTCGAATGGATTAGGCCGAGTTGGCTAGATAAATCGAGTTATGGTTATTTCTGTTTCAACTAGATGTATTACATTGTGAAAACAAGGCCATATAGCAATAGCACCATAGGACGTTCTCGTATTGCAATTAGCATCACCTTCAAGACCACAGCCTCACCAAATTTTATATGCTTAATTATTTATCTCAACTTTTACAAGCTCAAACAGACAAAAGGATGTAAAAAAAACAGGCGATCCCCCAAGAAAGGAACCAAAAAAACAACACGACGTCGTCTATCTATCTGCCTCTCAACAGCGCCTTCTCGGCGGTGTCCATCTCCTCCAGAATCCTGGCCTTCCGCTTCGCCGGCAGCGGCGCGGTGGGGCCGAAGCTGATGTAGTGACCCGACACCGCGTTCAGCGCCGAGTACATGTCCCGAAAGGAAGCCCGGCCCAACAACGCCTTCTCCTTCCTGTACTTGGCCACCCAGTAGTTGGACGTCTCCCGCAGCTCCGCCACCGCGTCGGCCACGTTCGGCGCGTTCCTGTCCAGCGTGATGGTCGTCCTCACCTTCCCGATCACCTCCTTCGTGTCCTTCACGTACTCCTCGTCCGACGCCGCCAGCGCCGCGGGGACCGGGGAGATCGCGGCCGCGGCCAGCCAGGCGGCGGAGGTGGCGGAGGAGGATAGCAGGCGGCGGCGCGTGAGGGGTTGGGGTTGTGACTGCGGTGGCGCGTGGGGTTGGAGGGCGGCGGAGGTGGGTTGGTGTTGTGGTTTGGGCTTGGTGGGGGTTAGGAGTGTGGTGGGAGATGCTAAGCTCATTGTGATGAATGGTGGAATTGGAGAGATTGGAGAGAAGAAGGTTGGAGTAGAGAGAAAGTAAAGAGTAGAGGAAAATTGATAGAGGTGACTGGAAATGATGGCACGTGGCATTATCATCTTATCTAATATCTACCATATATACATTAGGATGAGGCTCTATTGTTCGCAGCCATTCATATTTTTACCAGTGTGACAGTTGTCACTTTCTTCCCCTTGCCTTGTTGGCACTTTCATTTCTTTGCTGGGTACTTTTTTTAGTTAATCTTGATTAAGAGATCCTTCATTCTTGCATTGTTTCATAATAAACACTTTTAACTTCAGGGTTCTTATCAGAACTCTTTCATTTCACTTTACAATGCGTTTTGTTAGTTAATATGAATTTTTCAAGTATATTTTCGATATGAGATTTGTCTAACTTGTTAATATGCGACCTACGAACTTTCAAATGCAGATAAATTTACATGTAAAATTCGTAAGAAAATTGATATTATTACCTTTTTAAATTATTAATAAAATCAAGAACACATTGTAGTTGATCAAGGTATATATCAAAGTTTAGTGACCATTTCGAAATTAAACGAGAAAAGGAAAGTTCAAACACTTCTGCCTCTGTCTTCTATTCTATGTATCTTCACTGCGATCACTCGTTTTCCCTTCTTCACTACCTATCTTCTGCTTCTCGATTGTCTCGTTCCCCTGCAGCGGCCACCAACGACGAAACCACCTGTAAGTCTCTCTCTCTTTGATATAAGTTATTAGCCTGGAAATGGCGAATGATTACTTCCCCTGCTCCGCTCCTTGAAGCTTCCCTGCGAGATCCAGAGTTCTATTTTCATTCCTTGCTTGTTTCGTCCTCCGATTCCTTGAATTTTCCTGCTTAGAGACCACCGGACTTCTCATCCTTCGTTTAATCGTTTTCATGCTTTTAACTATTCCAGTTCTTACGGTTCCAGCCCTCGTTCTTTCTGGTATTGCAGTTTAGCCCTAAGAATTTCCTATTTTACTTGCCTACTCCCCCGAAGGCACCATGTTTCTGAACTTCCAACTATTTTTGGGCTTCAAGTTGTCAAAAACTCTGTTCTTTCTTCCACTACAGCTTCTGCTCTACGAAGATGTGGCTCCTCAAGTAGTATTGACAGTGATCCGTTTGAAACGAACAAGAAACAAAAGCCAAACAGTGTTGAGTATGCTGCTTCTGCCTCCTGCTCTGCACATTCTAGCTCCCAGCCCCTGCCATGGGGAGAGTACGAGGTGTTTCTGAATTTCAGAGGTCCAGACACTCGTTATCAGATCACCGATATCCTGTACCGGTTTCTGGTGAACTTGAAAATCCGCACGTTCAGGGACGATGATGAGCTCCGAAAAGGGGAAGAGATCTGGCCCAATCTTGCCGAGGCTATCGAGCAGTCTAAGGTCTATGTCCCTATCTTCTCCGAGAATTATGCTGATAGCAAATGGTGCCTCAGGAGCTTGCAGCAATTGTCGAACGCCAAGGGAGAAACCGGGGCTGCATCATTCTCCCCATTTTCTATATGGTGGATCCCAGAGACGTACGGCATCAGAGTGGACCTTACCGGAATGCATTTCGACAACACGAGCAGAATGTTGATGAAGAGACCATAAGAATTTGGAAAGATGCTCTCAATAAGGTTGGGGCTCTGAAAGGATGGCATGTCAAAAGCAATGACGAGTATGTATTACCTTACTCTTGCCTCTTAGTATATTCTTTCACCAAGTTACTTATTGTTAGATTGGGAACTAGTTTCGCGTCTTGCTCCTGGTATTAGTGTCTTCTATAGTGTGGTTGCTATAATTGCAAGTCATATTTTCCCAGGCAGGGGGCTATAGCAGATCTTGTTACTGGCGTCGTGTGGTCACATCTAACTAAGAACAATAATGTCTTAGAGATCGATAAGTTGATTGGAATTGATGATCACGTAGAAGCAGTAAAAGAAAGTATGGCTCTAGACTCTCCTTGTATGAAAATCGTTGGCATTTACGGTATGGGTGGTATTGGCAAGACTACTATCGCCAAGGCTGTATATAACAACGTATCTGCTCAATTTGATCGATGTAGCTTTGTCGAGAACGTACGAGAAATGCTAGAACAAAAGGATGGTGTCATCACTTTGCAGAAGCATATCGTCTCTAACATTTTGATGGTGAACATTGCTGAATCCATTGTCAACAACAGTGAAGGAATCAGAGCTATAAGAGATAGAGTTTCTCGGTTCAAATTTCTTGTTGTTCTTGATGACGTGGATGAGACGTTTGAATTTGAGAAGATCTTGGGAAACATGGAGAATTTTGTTTCGGGAAGCAGATTCATCTTTACGTCTAGAAACATAAAAGTATTGAGTATGTTGGCTGATGATATCAAGTTATATAGAGTACAAGAAATGAGTCATCAGCACTCACTCCAACTCTTCTGCAACTATGCATTCAAAAAGGATATTCCTCCATCAAATTATGAGACTTTGTCCAATGATATCGTATCGGTTGCAGCAGGACTTCCATTGACACTTAAAGTTGTGGGTTCACTTTTATTTCAAGAAGAGGAAGAGATTTGGAGAGACAAACTGAAGCAGTTAAAAGAGATTCCAGAGCAGAAGGTTGTAGATAGGTTAAAGATAAGCTACGATACATTAAATGAAGAGGCGAAGCGGATTTTCTTGGACATTGCTTGTTTCTTTGTTGGAGAGGACAAAGAGATCGCTTTCTATATGTGGAGTGATCTTGGCTTTTTTCCGACAACTAATATTAATATCCTCAATCAAAGGTCTATGATCGGAATTGTGGTTGCAGGTTCTAGAAAAAAACTAATTTTCCAAATGCATGATCAACTCAGAGATATCGGTAGAGAAATTGTACGCCAAGAAAACAGAAGGCATCCATGGAAGACAAGTAGGATATGGTCGAAGGAGAAAGCTCTGAACGTGTTACTTAACAAAAAGGTAATTTCCCAACATCCACTAGAATTATTTTAGTTTTCATGCTTGGCAAACATTGATAACTCACATGTTAAGTAGGGTAGTGCTGTTAGATCGAGGCGAGAAAATGCAGATTTTAGAAAATGTGGCGTGAATTATGACGGATGTGCTTATTAATCATATGTCATTTTTGCTGGTATAGAGTAGAGATGTGTTTTTCAAATTTCATAGTACTTAAACATCCCTTTGCAGGGAACAAACCAAGTTGAGGGCATCATAATGCGCTACAATAATTTTGAAATCTTAAAGAACCTAAATATGGAGGAGCTTGGAACGATTTCTAAAGAGTGCTTCATGAATTTATCAGAGTTGAGATACTTGGACATAAATGTTAGTGTGCTCATTGACGACTTTGGTGATTACATTCCGAATTTAAGATGGCTTCGATTGAGGAATGGACCTTCCGATAACTTTAATGTGGAAAATTTGGTGATTCTTGAAGTCTCAAGCTTCTCATGTACGAGAGTCGACTCGGGAGGCTTGAAGCAAATCAAGGTATGAGCCATTGCCATAAATAATTTAACATGATATGAGGTGTACTTGTTGAGTTCCTTGATCAATACTTATCGACTGTTGTACTGTACATGCTGTTTTTATCCCCCTTCTTTTCGTTAATGCGTGCACGCAGATGGCGAGCAAGCTCAAAGTTCTGAAGCTTTCTGGTTACTGGCTGAACGAATTTCCCCAGTTCCCACATTCTGGGAGCCTTGAGATATTAGAACTGGTTGATTCCTTCCACCATCCGTTGATCCGTAAGGACCTGGACATTGGGAATTTGTGGAACCTAAAAGAGCTGCGTCTGGGGGAATGCGGAGTAAGAGAAATAACGGGCGGAAGAATTGGGATGATGCCATGGGAGAACCTGAAGGTGCTATATCTGGACGATTGTGAGGTAAGAGAGATAACAGGCGGAACCCTTGGGACGATGCCGTTGGAAAACATGAAGGCGATGCATCTTCTTCCATCATCTCTAACCTCACTCTTCATTATCAAGTGTCCAAAGCTGGAGTGGCTCCCCAATTTAGAGAATCTGGTGAACTTGACTGGCTTACATATCCATGGCTGTCCGGTCCTGAAGGAGATCCTTGGTCTCCAAGGACTGAAATCCTTGGAAACTCTGAGCCTGAGTTGTCTGGAAGCTGTGCGCAGCGTGGACGGTCTTGACAGTCCCTACTCTTTGAAATCCATACAAATTAACGCTTGTTCGGCGTTGGAAAGACTCGCCAGCACGGCATCTTTGAGCCAGAGACTTTGTATAAGTATCCGTAACTGCCCTTGTCTCACAGAAATCCTTGGCCTTGGAGGGCTGCAGCCATGGGAAACACTTCACCTTCATGATGTACTGAGGTTAAGGCGTCTCCACGGTTTTGAAACTGTCCCGCCTCTGATCATGTTAGGAGGTGTAGTTATACGCAACTGCCCTCTTCTCACATCACTAGCACAGGAAGATAGGCCTTTGCAACTGAATGGCTAAAGGCTCAAAAGCAGATATTCGCCTGGGCATCAAAGCATTTGGAGTACTTCCAAGGATGAAGCCTCGTTGTGTCAAGCGATGTTGTTTCGCGAGCGTAGACGGTGTTCTGAATTAGGTGGCTGGAGTCGTGTTTCGAATTGGGAGTCCACAGTGTCCAATTCATTCTGACGTTTGAGCAATTCAAGTTTGGTGGGCATTCTGCATCAGACCATATGCTGATCTGTGGTGGAAATTGGGAAACAGAGTACAGAACAGGGGTAAACAGAGGAATCCTACCTTGCCGAGAAGGATTTCGTTGTTGCGAGGGTCATAGATTTGGGATGTATCAAAGGAAGTGACGCCCCTGCGGATGGCATAGTAGATAAGAGCAATCACCTCTGAATCAGGTTTGCAAGGGGCATAAATGCAGCCATTCCCATGCAACCAAGCCCTAGTGTGCAACCATTTTCTACTAGCTCCTCTGTTCCTTCAGCTTCAGGGGAAAACTGGAAATGGAGAAGGTGAAGAGTTTTGAGGATGGCATTCTATAATGGATTTTTGAGGGGAAAACATTTGGAATACTTCCAAAGATGAGGCCTTGTTGTGTCAAGCGATGATGTTTGGCGAGGGTAGACACTTTTCTGAAGTAGGTGCTGGATTCGTGTTTCGAAACGGGAGTCCACAGTGTTCAATTCATCTGAAGTTTGAGCGATGCAAGTTTGGGGAACATTCTGCATCAGACCATTTGCTGATCTGTGGTGGAATTTGGAAAACAGAGCACAGAACAGGGGAAAACAGAGGAATCCTACCTTGCCGCAAAGGTTTTCGTTGGTTCAAGGGCCATAGATATCGGAGGTATCAAAGGAAGTGACACCCCTGTGGATGGCATGGTGAATCAGGCTTGGCATAGCCATATAGGTAGACATTCCCATTTCCCTGGCAATCACGCCCATGCGCTGCCCTCATTTTTTTAACTAGCTCCTCTGTTCGTTCAGCTTCAGGAGAAAACTGGAACTTGAGAAGGTGAAGAGTTTTGAAGTTGGTATTTTATAGTGGTATAGTTGTCGAATCGATCTTACTGTAGATCGATATTTATTAAACAGTAGCATATTTATACCAGAGGCATAACCTCGTTATGACTTATGAAGAACACAAAACACAGTTGAAACTTCAAAACTCGAAAGTTTACAGAACATCAAAGAGACACTAGCATATATGCATATAGTTTGACAAACGAGCCATATTCAAGCGCTCTTCCACGAAGACAAAGGTGGAGTGTCGGATCCCTTGTAGGTGGCCATGTCTTCCATGTACCTCTCACCCTTCACACCACCACTCGTCGAAGCGATGGACTCCAGTTCGGCCATTTCCTCTCGACTGAGTCTAACGGACAAAGCTGCAACGTTCTGATCAAAGTTCTCCACCTTGGTGGTTCCTGGAATGGGGCATACATCGTCTCCCTGGTGATGCACCCAAGCGAGCGCCAGCTGCGACGGCGTGCATCCTTTCCTGCTCGCGATCTCGGTAACCCTCTCGAATATGGCTTTGTTGTGATCCAGGTTCTCACCCTGGAACCTTGGAAGTTGCCCCTATAAACATTGCATCATAACGTTAGGTTGCTAGGATATGCACACAGTAGTTACGAACTCTAATTCGATATTGAAAAACCTTTCGGTAGTCTTCGTCAGTAAGTTTGTCCAGAAGTTTAGGCCCTGCCGCGAAGAATCCTCTGCCGAGGGGAGCGTAAGCAACTATCCCTATTCCAAGCTCTCTGTATCAAGATGAACACAAAGAAAATCACTATGATTTTAACAATGAGCTTTAACCAATGTCACAAGAAGCAAAATCAGCAGCCTAATTTAATTACCTGCAAGTGGGGATAATCTCTTCCTCTGCATCCCTTGACCACAAGGACCACTCCAACTGCACCGCCGTTATAGGGTGAACTGCGTGTGCTCTTCTAATCGTTGCGGCGGAGGCCTCCGACAAGCCAATGTACTTGATTTTACCCTCTTCAACTAGCTTCTTCAGCTCCCCAACCTTTCACAACAATCAAAGGGATTCGAACTTTCGGAAGCACCGAGAAGAAATTGAATGAGTTGAAGAAGAAGAGGATGAGTTAAGAGACCAGGACAAACCGTGACTTCAATCGGGACAGTGGTGTCAATCCGATGTTGATAGTAAAGATCGATACAGTCAACATCGAGCCTCTTCAAGCTTGCCTCACAGGCAGCCCTGACATAAGCCGGATCGCCACGAGGCACCATCTTGTCTTCTTTGTAAATGATCCCAAACTTGGTTGCCAGCTCAACCTTCTCCCTAACCCCTCCCTTCTTCAAAGCCTAATCTTCCATCTCATAAAAAAGTCCCAAAATCAGGAGCTTACAAGTAAAACAGAGCAGTGAAAAAACAGGGGGGAAAAAAAAAGAGGAGCAAGCTACCACCTTTCCGAGAAGGACTTCGTTGGTGTGAGGGCCGTAGATATCTGAGGTGTCGAGGAAAGTAACGCCGCGGTCGATAGCATGGTGGATTAGAGCGATCATGTCTTGTTCTGGTTTGGCAGGGCCGTAGAAGGCAGACATTCCCATGCACCCGAGCCCCTGTGCCGAGACCTCGAGACCTTGCGAACCCAACTTAATCCTCTTCACTGATGCCGCCATTTTTGGCTGGAAAGTCTGCAACTTTGAGCTGGTTTGAGCTTCAGGGGACGGCCGGAAGCTCGTCTTTATAATGGTTGGAGTGAGTGAGAGATCGGAGAGGAGTGGATACTGGATAGGCACAGGAAACGTAAACCAGCACACACCGCTTGGCCATTACTTCTACGACGTAAGGACTTGCGTAACAGTGGATAATGGTCACCATGGGAGAATTTTTGACCAGTTTGTCCGATCCCCTTCAGTTCAATGAATTAGCAGCCGGAGCTTTTATTAGGGTGGAATTGGTTTCGAAAACATTGTTCTGGGGCTTGTTTGAGATAAAAATATAGTAGAGTGGCAAGAATGAAAGAAACCCATCAAAACCCGACCCGAACCCGTACCCAGCAGATCCGCCACGTCGTCGGCAACGCAAAACAAGAGTGCCTTCCTCCTCCGTTTGACGCCGATCGGGGTTTGGAATTTGGCGCGGATATTATTATTTTTAGATATTTAATGATTTTAATCGACCCGACGGTGGCAATCGTAATTAGAAGGCAACACCACGTGTCCCTTTCCATCCAATCCTTCATCTTCTTCTTCCCTTCTCCCTCCCTTTTCTTCTTCGATCTTGCTCTCTCTCTCTCGCTCCCTCACTCCAAGAATGGATCCCTTGCGTGGATTGCAACACCACGGCGGCTGCACCGCTGCCTCGCCCAGACTCCACCTCTCCGATCACCGTTCTCAGTCCCTCCACCGCCGCTGTCATCGTTCTTCGAGCACTCATTTCCTCCGCACTCACAGGATCTCATTCCCTCTCCGTCACCACCACGTCCTTCTCCCGAGAATCGCTTGCCGCGTTTCTCCTCCTGAAACCAGGTCCCCTCGTCTCTCTATCACTCTCCAGTTTCCTTCATTCGTCGCTTTTGTTTGCTGTTTTGAGTATGACGTGAAACGAAAGCTTTACGATGGAATTTCTTCTTGATAAGTCCCTGTTCTAAGAGTTCTAACTAACATATAGCGATAATTCGGTCTTGATAGTTTTGAGCGACTTCTTCTGAGGAATTTTCTAGATTGATAGGTCGTGAATGGATATTTGATCCAACATGTGATTACAGGCTGGTTAACATTTCAGAATGTCATTCGAGTAACTTTTAGCAATGTTTACTTTCTACGCATTGGATCATAAGGCTGGTTTTTATGGCAGGGATGAAGAGAGGATGGACAAATCCAAGTCGAGACAGAAAGTGCAGCTCAATATTCGTCTCGATCACCAAGTTAAATTTGGTGAGAATGTAGTCATTTTGGGATCAGCCAAAGAGCTAGGTTCGTGGAAAAAGAATGTGGCATTGAATTGGACGGAAGGTGGATGGGTGTGCAATTTGGAGTTGGACGGTGGTCAGTCTATTGAGTATAAGTTTGTTGTTGTGAACAAGGACAAGCGGACTTCGTGGGAAGGTGGTGATAATCGGAGGCTGAATTTGCCCAACGAGGGGAGTTATGAGATGGTATGTAGGTGGAATGCAACTGGGGAAGGTATTGAACTGTTGCCTGCTGGATCGGAGCAGAAGCAGGACAGAACAGAGAAAATAGGCTTTGATGGACCTAGCAGTGCTCCTCCCACGCATGATGGTGAGCTGAGCCCTTTTGTTGGGCAATGGCAGGGAAAGGCTGCATCATTCATGAGGTCCAATGAACATAGGGACAGGGAAGGTGATAGGAGATGGGATACTTCTGGTCTTGAGGGATTGTCTCTAAAGTTAGTCGAAGGCGATCGGAGTGCAAGGAATTGGTGGAAAAAGGTATTCCCTTCAAAATGCTCCGTCTTGCTATAAGAATTTGCTTGAGTTTTATAAGGAACTTGAAAAAGAAAAACCTCTGTTCTGTTCCTTGTTAAAGATTCTAATGTCCCTTTATGTTGTTGGTAGTGTGATTTCCACAGTTTTCAATGATTTCTTTGCTTTCTGTTGACACGATTTTCCATTTGCTTCAACAGCTTGAAGTTGTCCGGGAGCTGATAGTTGGAAGTCTTGAAAGTGGGGATCGTATGGATGCTCTCATATACTCTGCTATCTATCTTAAGGTTCTTAACTTTCTATGTTCTTACTTTTTCTTGCTGTTTCCCTTTCAGTGCCTCTCTTTAAGTACTTTTCCTATGCAGTGGATTAATACAGGACAAATTCCTTGCCTTGAAGATGGAGGACATCACAGGCCAAATCACCATGCTGAAATCTCTAGGCAAATATTTCGGGAGTTGGAAAGAATATCTAGTAGAAAGGATACTTCTCCACAGGTGCTCTATCTTTTTGCTTCTCTGGTATTTTGAATATTATGGCCTTCTCTCCAAAATGTTTCACCAAGGCAGTGTTCCATTGCTGTCGTTTTGTTGTTTATGTTAAAGGTCACTTAGATGAGAAGGAACTTAGTTTTCCCCTCTTTTTTAGTATGGTTCTTTCCAGATCCTTTATTTCAGTAGTGTTCTGGTAAGCTGGCTCATAGGTCACACATTTGAAGTTACTCTTGTTTTTTTTTTGGATATGATCAAGGTCCCATAGGTTGGCCATGTTGATGATAGTTTTGTTAGAAGTGCAATAGTTGTATGGTGTTTGGTTCTTTCAGTCAGGTGAAGAAGTAATTTCACTATTAGAGTGACAAGGCTGTGCTATTAGTATTCCCTTCTTGGTTTCATTATGTGTTGTGCAGAAGATCAACTATCAAGTTTTGGCTCATATTTGCGACTTTTTACTGTTGATATTTAGGAAGTGCTTGTTATTCGGAAGATCCATCCTTGTTTGCCATCATTTAAGGCAGAATTTACAGCAACGGTTCCTCTAACTCGCATTAGGGACATTGCTCATCGAAATGACATCCCTCATGACCTTAAGGTATGCATAACAATGCTATTGGATACCTGCGATTGCTTTTATTCTATGATCTGTCAATCCAATAATCTAGTAATTTCAACTGTCAGCAAGAAATCAAACACACGATTCAAAACAAGCTTCATAGGAATGCCGGGCCAGAAGATCTAGTTGCAACGGAGGCAATGCTTGCAAGAATCACCAAGAACCCTGGAGAGTACAATGGGGCATTCGTGGAACAATTCAAGATTTTCCATCAGGAGCTTAAGGATTTCTTCAATGCTGGAAGGTTTGATACTTTTCTATATTGCTTTTGAAGGCAACACTTGGCATTTGGAATATGGAAGGTCTGACACTTGTCTATATTGCTATGCTTGTGGCTGGTTATCTACACCCTAAAAACTTCTACACAGAAATCCAAATTTAGCTTAATATTCACATATAAGCATTTTGTCTGGCATCAGTGGAACATATATATTTACTTCTGATTTCCTCATGTGTATCCACTTACTCCGTGTGCAGTCTTACTGAGCAGCTTGACTCAGTTAGAGACAGCTTTGATTCTAAGAGTCTTTCTGCTCTCACATTGTTTTTGGATCGCAAAAAGGTTTGTTGTGCTATTTGAATCGTGTTTCTAATTTCCTTATCACTCGCATGTTGTAGATGATATTGTGGTTATGTAGTACATTCAATATTTACTTTCACTATCGTAATCTTGTTTTCTACGTTCTTTCTTCCGTTGGATAAATGATGAACAAAAATCTGCATCTTTCCAGAACTTGGATGCTTCAAAACGGTCGACCAACATTAGCGAATTGATTGAGACCATGCAGTCTCTGAATGGTCTTAGAGATATGATTGGAAAGGGTCTTGAAAGTGGTCTCAGGAATGATGCCTCTGATGCTGCTATAGCTATGCGTCAAAAGGTGAGATAATTTAATTTTTACTATGTAGCATATGCAGTCTTGCATCTTCTTCTCAGACTGAAGTTTGAATTTGGCACTCTGCCACTGATAGTATTTTCTCTTAATTTTGTCCGGGTATTCTTAATTGCAGTGGCGTCTTTGCGAAATTGGCCTAGAAGACTACTCTTTTGTACTGTTGAGCAGGTCCGTGCTGCTCTTCATAGACTCTATACTCAAATTTATTACTAATATGTACTTAGTAAAACGAGGATGAGATAGAATGACTTACAAGATGCTATTGGTGATATGATAATGCCATATTGCCATTTCACCGCACAGAAACACATTACTTCAGCCGATCATGACTGGGCTGCTGTTGTTTCTTGTTTATTGGTTAAAATTTTCGTTCGGCAACACTGGTTTTTGTGGATGCTTATTATATCCGCTGTTTTTAAATTTCCATTCATCATCTTATTGTACTGAGTGATGTTCATTTTTCTTTCTAGATTCATCAACGAACTTGAATCAAAGGGAGGGGCTAAGTGGCTTACTGACAATGCAGAATCAAAGAATGTCAGCTCTTGGAACGATCCACTTTCTTCCTTGATTATTGGTGTTCATCAACTGGCCTTATCTGGATGGAAACCAAAAGAATGTACAGCCATTGAAAATGAACTCCTTGCATGGCAAGAGAGAGGTCTCTCTGAGAAGGAAGGTGATTTTTGGTCTTGTTCTTTTCTAGATCTACTTAACATATATGCCAAGCTTGGTGAAGAAGAAGTATTTTCTGAATTGTTAATATTATGATTCTTTCCGTTACCATAATAGGAGCTGAAGATGGCAAAATGATTTGGGCACTGAGGCTCAAAGCAACTCTCGATAGAGCAAGAAGATTGACCGAGGAATACTCAGAATCACTTCTTCAGATCTTTCCGCCAAAAGTGCAGGTATCATATTGTGTTTGACTGAGGAATACTCTGTGGCATCGGTAGTCTTCTGCATTAAAGCGTTGGACCGGAGCTGAATAATTCATGAACCAATTTGCAGTGATGATGTTAATGTTGTTAACTGATTTTCAGATTTTAGGCAAAGGACTTGGAATTCCAGACAATAGTGTGAGGACATACACTGAGGCTGAGATTCGAGCTGGGTATGTTGATTTGTATGCTCCCCATGTGATGACTTCCTGAATTGACTATCGTTTCTGACTGGTTAATACTGTCTTCAGGGTAGTATTCCAAGTGTCCAAACTCTGTACAGTGCTTTTGAAAGCAGTCAGAAATACTCTTGGGTCCCAGGGTTGGGATGTTCTTGTTCCTGGGGCTGCTGTTGGCACATTAGTTCAGGTAATACTTACTCTAACTGCCTCTGTAGATTAAGATCAATATCACGTGGTTTGAATCATGTAGTACATTCAGGCAAAGTAGAGTGGAAACTTCTTTCTGTTTCTTTCTTTCATTGGTGAAATTGAGATGTAAAAATTTGTTAAAGTTAATCAGTAAACCTTTGGGGATGTCAGTTATTAGGTTAGTCTTCATCCTACAACACTGCAACATTTTATGAACACCGAGTGCATGCATGATCAACTAACCCATGCTTGCTATCATACAGGTCGAAAGCATCGTACCCGGATCATTGCCCCCAAGTGCAAAAGGACCCATAATTCTTGTGGTCAACAAGGCTGATGGGGATGAAGAGGTATGAATACCGCAACATAGTACTCTTATTTTCTCTGTTAGTCATCTTGTTCCATGGCCGGTTCAATCCTATATCTTCTACGAAAGATGGTACTGCCATACTGGACTGAAGGTCTCTTGCATTTCACAGGTCACAGCTGCCGGAAGCAACATAGTAGGAGTCGTGCTTCTGCAAGAGCTGCCTCACTTATCTCATCTCGGCGTTAGAGCCCGCCAGGTCTTCCGTCTCCTCTCTGAAACCATCGCAAGTTGTTTTTGGCTGCCAGATTGTGCAACACGAATATGAGGGCTGATCTGTTTTTCTCCTGTTTCCGAGCAGGAAAAAGTTGCCTTTGTAACATGTGAAGATGATGACAGACTTGTTGATATACAAAAACTCCTTGGGAAACTTGTGAGGTATCTTGATCCAAGATCCGATTTCGCGTTCTTCATCTTGATTCAGTTGTACCTTATGGTCATTTCTGGAGCTTTGGTTGTGGGGTTCATTTATGTTCCGCTATATGCAGGCTGGAAGCATCTTCAAGCGGTGTGAACCTAACCCAGACCTCATCAAATGAGATCACTTACAATTCTACTGCCGAAGATATTGCAGGCAATGGATCATCTGCAGTTAGAAAAACTGAGCTTCAAGACCCTACCATTAAACCCTCTTCACCGAACCAGGTATTTCCATTTAGCTTATATTCATTAGGGCTGCTGCCCGAACCTCAGTTTGATAACATACTGTACTTTTCATCAAAGGGTGCATCTGCTGGAGGCGTCATATTGCTCGCCAATGCAAACCCACTTACCTCTGGTGCAAAGGCGGCTTCATGTGGTCTTTTAGCTTCATTATCTGCCGTTTCAAGTGAGGGTAAGGTTCTTCTTCTTCATCTCTGGTTTCATTATCATTGTACAAGCATGTTAACCATATTAACACCTCAAAATTTGGCAGTTTCCAATGACCATGGGGTATCAGCTTCATTCCAAGTCCCGACCGGTGTAGTCATCCCTTTCGGTTCGATGGAGAGGGCACTCGAACGATCCAATTCGACCGAAACTTTCAAGTCTCTCCTACAACAGGTAGAAGAAGCTAAGCTGGAAGGTGGCCAACTTGACAAACTCTGCACCCAACTCCAGGAGTTGATTAGTTCCCTGCAGCCCCCAAATGAAGTCATGGATGCCATCAGCCAAACATTCCCGGGAAACGCCCGTCTGATCGTACGGTCAAGTGCCAACGTGGAAGACTTGGCCGGAATGTCTGCAGCAGGACTCTACGATTCCATCCCCAATGTCAGTCCGTCGAACCCAACAGTTTTCGGCGGAGCAGTGAGTCGAGTGTGGGCTTCCTTGTACACGAGGAGAGCGATTCTGAGCCGCAGAGCAGCTGGCGTGCCTCAGAAGGATGCCACCATGGCCGTTCTGGTACAAGAGATGCTATCGCCGGAACTCTCCTTCGTGCTCCACACGCTCAGTCCAACCGATAACGACAGCAACTCGGTCGAGGCCGAGATTGCTTCGGGACTGGGCGAGACCCTGGCGTCCGGCACTAGGGGAACTCCATGGCGTATGTGCTGTGGCAAGCTGGATAAGTCTGTAAAGACCTTAGCATTTGCGAATTTCAGCGATGAAATGGTGGTGGGCGGCGCATCATCGCCTGCAGATGGTGAAGTGGTTCATCTGACGGTGGACTACAGCAAGAAGGCACTGACGGTCGACTCGATGTTCCGTAACCAGATCGGTCAGCGGCTCGGTGCGATCGGGTGGTTCCTCGAGGGCAAGTTCGGTGGACCACAGGATGTTGAAGGGTGCATTGTTGGAGAAGATGTCTACATCGTGCAAACGCGGCCACAGCCTCACTAGTTTCGCTTCTTTTAGATCCAGACTCTAATAATGTGCTCGCTCGCAGCACCTGGAAGAACATGTTCTTCCATGGCTGCCGCAAAGTGCTCGCTCGAATAACCGAACACTTCAATCAGTAACCATAACAAAAGCATTTAGCTCTGCAACTAGGTACATTATACATGCTTATTGCCCTCATATCCTACATTCTCCAGTATCTATTAAACTCCAGCAAAGTTCGAAAAGACGGAACAACTTTCCCAGCAAGAGGAAAACTATAAGCTTTCGGGGGTTGAACTACGGGCTAAAACGTTAAACGAAGACTCTGGGTGTAGTCCCGGAAGGAGGCTTGACATCAACCTCCTTCAGCACAGTCTGAAGCCCCTTCCCTGCCCCGTTCGCAAGCGGATGCCTCCCCATCGCCAGCCCTTCAATGTCCTTCCTCTTCTCCTTCTCCGCCGCAAAGGATACCTTGTACCTCTTCTCCACATCTACACATATAACCACACACATCAAACACAATTCTATGCACCTCTTTCAGTAACATTCACAGGAAGACGGGTTACAGATCGATCATTAAATCAATTTACCCAGGGCGAGTTCATCGTACAGCTGGCCTTCGCGAGTGAGCGCGAACATGATCTGGGGGATCCCGAGCGGGAGGTTATCGCCACGATCCACCTGCCAGAAGTGGATGGTCTTGCCGTATGTCTTGGCCACCTTCTCCATGTCCTGACGCTCCACGGGGCCCGGAATCCCGGGCATGAACAGGTACCCTCCTTTCACCTCATAGTCGTGGGAGTGCCACATCGGCTTCTCCTCGTCCGGCAGCGTGTCGAACAGCGTCTCGGTCACGATGTACTCGATTCCGATCAGCCGAGCATCCGGTTCGGGGCTGTTGTAGATCAAGCACTGCCTCACTTCCTCGTTGAGGTGGCCGCAGAAGTGGTGGGCCTCCACCTGCCTCGTCATGTCGTGGCTGTAGAAGTGAAACCTGAGGAACCCCACGACCATAATTACAAGGCTAAAAATTTCAGTTTCATCAGTAGATTAAGGGGGTTGAAGAGTGATTATATAGGGAGTGATGATTGATCTAATTACGCGCAGAGGTGCTGGTGGATGTGGCTGATGGGGCCGAATCGCTGGATGGAGGCGGTCGCCTTCTCGAGCAAGGACGTCGTCGTGGCCGTCGGATCGCCGGGGACTTCTGGATGCTGCGACATGGTAATTTGATGAAATGGATAAAATCGAAGCTTTTCTCGATCTGACGACGAACTCTGTGGTTTCGGGTTTTTGTATGATGGACAGGAAAAGAGAGAGGGAATGAGTCAAGTGTAGAGACGAAGACCACTTGGGTTTCATGCAGGCTGCCATTTGGCACATTTGTGCAACTTTGTGACTGACACGTGGATGCCGACGTGGCTCCCGCGCTTACCGTTTCGGATCATGTCTATCCAGCTGTGCGATTGGCTTTGTATTCATGCATCTGGTTATGAATCCGTTTGCGGGCTAACTAACTTCGTGGATTACGGATCTGGATCATAATTGGGCCGGCCTGAGCAATCGAAGCCCACGGTCGTGAAGGCCCAGTTAGCAGCTTTTCTTACTTCTCCATCGTCGTCCGCCGTGTTCTTAAACCACAAAGGGTAAAACCTTCGCTCCGGTGAGTATACTCTTTTCTCTCGGAGCTCGCCACAGCAGCACGCATATGGTAAGTTGGCGCCGTCGATTTGTGCCTCTGTTTCAGTTCAGTGTTGTGAAATATCTCTGGTAGTCGGTGATTGATTCCTGTATTTTTTCTCCTTTCTCGGCCTGTTCTTATTTGGGATTCATTATTTTCTGCGGATTTAGATTGAGATCGAAATGAAAGGCTGAGCCTTTAGCTAGTAGCTTCTTGTGTTTGTGATTTCCTGCTTCGATAGTTCGTATATAGCTTTCCCAGATTCCCGCAATGGAACCCTTTTATTCCCTGCCACTATTTGTATTAGGGTTATCTTATTTCCCAGCTTCTGAGCTCAATTTTCTTTGGAGCTTGTTGGAATTTTCATTTTATAGTGAATGAAATCAACGAAATAGTTCTGATTAGCTAATGTACCGAATTCTGTATGTCAGGCTGCAGCATTGAAACAGAGGCTTGGCACTGCTCTTGCTGGTCAGGCCTGGCAGTCACTGAACGGAAATGTTGGTCTACGATCTTTTGCAACAAAAACTGGTGGAGCTTCAAAGGCTGGAACCAGGTAAGTTTCCAATCATGCCGTAGGAGCTTGAACCTTAGGAATTTGGTTACTTATTGATATTTATGGGAAGTCTTGAAAATAATGGAGTAGAAGCACAACCAAAGGAATGTGGGTGACTGATCGTTTGCTGCTTTACTTAGGTTCGGTTTATTATCCAGCACTAGTGCCTTGATTTTCTTTTTTAGTTAGTGGTTCTGTTTGACTCTGTTGCTGTAAAGGTTGGGTTCATTTTGCATCATTTATTTATGGTGCATTTTGGAAAGACTTCACAGACTGCGGTTAAGTTATATACCCGCATAATGACTCCATGGCCGCAGCTGAAGCAACTGATGTGCACGTATATTTCTCAAATATAGTAATCTAGACGTTTGTTTGGACAATATTTGTGGAGGTTTACATACCATTTTTTTGTTGTTGCTTCAAGCACTTTTTATTTAATCTTGGTCTGTTGTTGAGATATCTCATTTCGACAATTGCAGAGCGAGTGCTCCTGCTGTTAAAAAGATAAAGGAAGGGCATAGAGCTCTGACTCTTAATGTGGGCAAGACAGCTGGAAGAAACTCAGCAGGGCGTATTACCTCGTACCACCGAGGAGGTGGAGCAAAGCGACTACATAGAAGAATCGACACAAAAAGGGAGACTGCATCGATTGGTGTTGTTGAAAGGATAGAGTACGATCCAAACAGGTCTTCACGTATTGCCCTGGTAAGATGGGTTGAGGGCGGCCAGCATTCTCCCCTCAAGTTCAAGGAGAATAACAAACAGTTTCCTCGCCAACATGAGACAATCGAACCGGTCACGACTACCACACAAGCCAAGTACACGCTCGCTTCCATGGCGAGGAATGTGGATCAGAGAACGGTAGCTTACTACTCACCTGTAATGCCTACTTCTTTGGTGGTGGGCGGCCTTCCTATGGGGAAGCCCGTCACGCAGGAAACATTGATCCAGAGAACTAGTGTCAGAGACATCTTTTTGACGGCATTCTCTAGAAATTGTCAAGGGAAGAGTGCACCTGCTACTCCACGGGTCGCAATAGTTGGAGCACAACCGAAGTTCTATGCCCCTCAATTGAGAGGAGAAGGTGAGGGGAAGACTGTATATTCCCTGGCTGAGGTCAGGAAGTATAACAAGCAGAGCAGCGTCTGGGACAATAGAAACAAACGCAAAGCAGCAGTCTCTTGGCAAAGTTGTGCTCTATGATATATGCCTGCTGATATAAGTTGCTGACGGTTGAGTAATTGAGTTAGTACTTCCGTTTGTTTTTGGCTCCGTTTGGTTTGTTATTTGCATTTGTATTGTATCAATTGCGAAATGGTTCAACTTTTAAGGCATTCAGACCTTCATATTTGAGTTATTTGCTGGTTATTTGGCCTGGATAATGTGATCAGAGATGGGGCAGAGTTGCCTTTGGCCTGGTTATTTGCTGGTTCATTTGGCATGTAAAATTTGTACAGCACAATGGTAACATTCTCGGCGCTAACTGGAGGCCTTGGGTGATGTCATTTGTTGGATAACAAAGCCCATTCATCCTCTAGGCTGGCCAAACATACCCACCCGAGTGTTAAACTTATTGGATAATCGAGCCCATACAGTATTTCACCCTTCAGGCCCGCTGAAGCCCAAGTCCAGGCCCGCTCATGCGACCACGTTAGGGTTTTAGGCGGAGTATTAACCTCTTAACGATGAATGATTTGACTGTAATTGGAAGAAATCTGTTAGAGTCTATGGTGTGATTCCGCGGGAGTATTTAGAAGCAAAACCAGAAACGAAAAACCAATCAAAACGTAACAAACCCCCACTGGAAATAGCTTGGAAGCTGCAAAACAATTTCTCCCGCAATCTGCTGCCGTTTATTTGCTAACTGTCAATCCCTTCTCTTCTCTCTCTCTCTCCCACCCTCCGTCAGCAGCTCAGACTCTCTCTCTCTCACTCTTCTCTCTCTCTGCCGTGGAGCTTCCTTAAACCCTAAATAAACTGTTCGCCTCTGGTGCGCGCTCCTTCGGTTTTCCGTTTCGCCATTTTAATCGTATCTGTTACTTGTCTGGCTTTCGTTCGGGCTTGATGGAATGTTTGCGTTTGCTTTTCCCTGCAGCTCTCTGCTGTCTGTGAATTCGCGAGTTTGTGATTCGCGTTGGTGATCGGAGGTGGCGGCGGAGATGGGGATGGTGGAGAATGACAGGAGCGGGGGCAGCGGGGATGATCGGAAGAACGAGGAGACGGCGGCGATGAGTGAGGGGCCGCCTCCGAAGTCGCCTTGGAAGAAGCCGACGGCGGCGGGCGATGTTCCGGTGATGAGTGGTAATAATGAGTCCTGGCCTGCGCTTGCTGATGCTGCGCAACAGCGGTCCAGGAATTTGGACGCTAGTGCTAAATCGGGGGCTAATTCTGAAGTGGCTGCCCCTCCTCAACAACCACGACCACCTCAGCAGCAACAGGTGATGTTTCTGTCCTTTTGTCGATGGAAAGGTTTTGTGATATTGTGAATCCACATTGCCATGGGCTTATCATCAGTTAGTTTTTTGTTGCCGGTCTGACAAAGCATTGCTACTAGAGTTCCTGAAGTGGATGGCTGTTTATCTTTGCAAATTTGTAGCATTGATGTGTTCATCATAATGTTCTGTGGGCATGTTAGCTCTATTGATGCAGTAGGCTGGCGAACATTTATAGATGAGAGAATTGATAAAATCATACTGTTGTGCAGGGATCGTCAGGGCAACCAAAGTCACATAGCGGGCACCCTAATTCTGCACATAGATACTCATCATCCAGGCATCAAAAGTCAGGGGCTAAGCGGAATCCAAACGGAGCTCCCCCTTTCCCTGCACCTTTACCTTACCAGCAACCAATGATGCCAAACGCCTTTCACGGTGCAATACCCCCGCCTCCCGTTGCTGTTCCTGCTTTTGCTTACCCGCCTGCACCTTTTCCTACTGTGGAACCTCATTTGGTGAAGCCTGGAACCGAAACGTTACCAATTCAACCTTTCGCTCCACCAAATAGTGTTCAGTCTCCAATGAGGGGGGACTCTGATGGTTACCAACCAAAATTTCCAAAAAGGAGATCTGATGCACAAGAATCCAATGGCCATATAGGCCACACATGGCACCATCAACGAGCATTTAATCCCAGAGGCTCTAATATCCCTTTGCAGCAGGGAATGGGGGCAAGGCCTATGGTCAGGCCCGCCTTTTTCCCTCCAGGTCCAGGCTTCATGGTTGGCCCAGCCTTCCCTGGTAATTGCTTTGTGCAACCACCACTAGTTTCAAGTTCATATCTTTTACTGGATCTAGCTCTACTGTCATTGGTAAAAATGCTGCTCTTATTCATTTGAGCGAGTGTTTTCTGTCCTACAGGCTCACCTATGTACCCTATCCCTGTGGTACCACCTGGCGGCTTTAGGGGGCCTCATCCACCACATTTCATCCCGTATCCTCTGAATCCTGGGCATCTCATGCTTACCTCTGAGCCTTTAACTTTGGAAGATCGTGTAGTGAAACAAGTAGAGTACTATTTCAGGTAAGTTGTTTCTTTTGGTAGTTCATTGTCTCTCGTGTAGCTCCACACTTGCTTGTGCTTGACCAAATTTGACCTAATTTTGTGAACTGGTGTTCAGCATGAGCCACCCCCTAGTCTGTCCTACCCAGATTGTAAGATATGTATGAACTTAATCGTCCCAAATCTGATCATTTTTCCTATATTTCGTAGTACGACCTTGCTTTTCCTTATCATGTATATGTCCCAGCCCATGTAGCCCATTTCCTCTAGTCTGTACTTCGACACAGTCTCTAAATTTTACCTTCTGCCAATTAAAAATAAACTATTACAGCTTTTAAATGGAGGAGAACTACTCACACTCTTAATTCTAACCGCGCATGTAGATTCTTAAGAATTCATGTGAACTGATTCATGTTATCCACATAAGCAAAGACAATATGTTATTCAAACCTTGAATAGAAGTGTGAATTCAATATTTTTTTTCTAGTTTTCCGAATCTTTCACTGCCACAACTGGATTGTTAAGTTGCCTCAGTACTACCACTCCTTTGTGCTGATTACATTATGCCTTTGATTGCAGTGATCAAAATCTGCAGACTGACAGTTTTTTGGTGTCCTTAATGGATGCACAAGGATGGGTCTCAATATCAGCTATTGCTGACTTTAAGAGAGTGAGATTCATTTGCCGCTTCTGTTTTTTTTTTGGGGGGGGGGTAAAGATGGTGTATATGTGCTGCTGCGCTGCTGTTTGGATATAGACCGTTTATGGTGCATAAACTTCTTCGCATTTCAGATTTATATGCTCATGCCTCCCCATTTTGCTGCATTTTCAGTTGAAAAGAATGACTACAGATGTAGCAGTTATACTTGATGCACTACAGAGTTCTAATGCAGTGGAAGTACAGGTTTGGCTTATTCTAACTTCTTAATTCTGAAGTTGGGTTTCCAGTTGGTTCCAGGTTCATGGGTCTTATAAGACTGTGTCATTGTTGCGTGATTACTCAAGGCAGTGATCTCTTATTTGATTCATAAATTGACCTTTTATTTGTCAGTTTACTCCAATGGACCTCCTAAAATCCCATGCTTCTATTGCTACTGCATGTGGCCGTATTTGTAGGGAGATTGCATATCAACTTTACCATCTTCCATATGTTCTGCCCCTTTGAGCCATTAATATTTTACCTTGACAGGCTGACAAGGTCCGGAAACGCGAGGGGTGGTCAAAATGGGTTCCACAATCAGTTATGAAGGCAACAGAGTTGAAAGATCATACTGCTGATGGCCAGATTCTAGGGAAGGCTCATGGAGATAATGCAGGAGAAGCCTCTTTAAAGGACAATGAATACCTATCAGATGCCACTGCTTCAGTGGCTAACAATTCGGCGATTGTAAATGATCCTGAGACTGTGCTTTCTGGTCAAATAGATGGCAGTAACAGATCTACTGTGTCGGAGACAAAGAACCGAGAATTTGAGAATGGGAATGAGCCTCCAGTTTCTTGTGCTAATGAAGGATCAGAGATGCCGATGTTGTTGCATATTGATGAGCAGAATCTTGGAGATCTTTCGAATGATTTTGCCAACACATTTATGCTGGATGAAGAGCTGGAGCTTGAACAGAAAGTGCTGAAAGTTGATTGTTCTTCTCCACGCAGGAGGTATTCAGTTCTCTTTCATTATCTTATGCTCTTCAGGCTAACAAAAAATTTTCTCAGTGGAGATTTCACAATATCAACAGTGCATTGTATTTGCATTATACATTATTTTGTAGAACTGATTGCTCTCATCATTTATTTATTTTTACTTTTGCATGACACCATGCTATGCAAGGAGTTATGTTTCCGTGTTTCACTTGTTTTCCTTCAATAATATAAAAGTGTGGCATCTTTATTTGTGATGGATGTGATTGATGGCTAAAACTGACTGATTGGCCTCATGGATGTAGGATGTATTCTCAAAATCCCCTTTCTTGACAATGCTTTTTGAAGTCAGTAGCTTTCATGCAACTTATATTGCAATGTATGGATCGTTAAGATGTCTAGTATGGCGATCTCTCATGATGACGTCCAGCCACAGTTTGTGATGAGCAAATAATGCTTGTTGGAATTTCATCACGCAGAACTGGTGCCTGATTAAAAAGTTCTCTTGGTGCCAATTAGACTTGTATCTGAGTGATTAAGATGTTCGTTTTCTCTTTCTAACTACACAACCATAACGTATTCCAGGGATGACGATGATGATGAGACGATGGTGAATGATCAGGATGTTCACAGACTTGTAATTGTCACCCAGGTACTTCTGTTTGTGAATATATTTTCCTTTTGTCAAATCCTTGGTATCAACCATTTGTAGCAATTCAATTTTCTCATTGCATATTGTTGTAACTGGTAACACAGTCAATAACTAATTTAGAGAAGACGAAGTGAATTTCTTCTTCGGAAGAGGTCTCCACATTCTTTACATGAATGCAGCATTGTTTTGGCTTATTTCTACAAACGTGTTTTTTTTTCATTGTACCTGGTTTTTCTCATGGAGCTGGGCCCACAACTATTTAAGTTTTGGAACTATTTTCTACAGAATAGTACCTTAGATGGAGAATCAAAACCTGATGGTACGGAATCGAAACCCATTTCAAATGAGCTTGCTTCTGCAATAAACGATGGTCTCTATTTCTATGAGCAGGTTGGAATTCTTACACAAGAAAATGGATTATTCAGTGTTGGTTGATATTCACCACTCTGGCAGTTTTCTTGATTCTTACATCTTAATTTCCATGTGGTTATTATTACTGTAGGAGCTCAGAGCTAGGCGTAGCAATCGGAAGAAAAATAGTTCTAGTTATGAGGTTCGAGATGGTAACTTTAGATCTACAAATAACTCTCCTGGAGTATCAAATTCAGGGACTGCTGCTGGAAGTCCGGGAAGTAATGCTCACGAGGACTCTCGAAATGGCATTAATATCAAGAAACATAATAGAAATCCATCAAAGCAAAATTTGTCTAATAAGCAAAGATTCTTCTCGGGACGTAAAGCTTTTGGGGCCATATCTGAAAGCCCGCCTAGTAAATCGGTTGGATTTTTCTTTAGTTCTACACCTCCTGAGAACCATGGGTGAGGTTAATTTATCATTTTATGGTATTTGAGCTATATTTGCATTGGCAACATCATCCTATCCTTTCACAATAGCAGTTGGATGGGGAAAACACAATGGTGTCCAATTTGTTTGAAATCCTTTCTGGTTGATACTATATTGATGAAGGTATTGATTTTGATTTGCAGGCCCAGGTCCTTAAAGTTAAGTGTTTCGCCTCACAGTAATCTTTCAGGCAGTAGCCCACCAGTTGGTTGCACGCCAAAGTCATTTCCTCCATTTCAACATCCTAGTCATCAGCTTTTGGAAGAAAATGGCTTCAAGCAGCAGAAGTAAGGCTGTAGTTTTTGTTATATGCTAGTTTGTGAGTGATGTATGTGGTTGTCTTTGTGGGTCATGAAAGGGTTACTTATCTTGGTTATGTATCGTTAGGTACCTGAAATATCATAAACGATGCCTTAATGACAGGAAAAAGATGGGTATTGGTTGCAGTGAGGTATATGTCTCTGAACTATTCATCTAGACTTGCATAAAAGTGATAGGTATATGAATAATCCATTTTTCCATGGAGCAAACCTTTTTGCCCCCTTCGTTTTGTACCAAGATCCTTAGTTGTGCAGTGCAAACTTTAAGCCCGCTATGGAGATGCAATGGATGGGTTAGTAGGCACTAGGCAGCGAGGATCAGAAAAGTCGATTCCGTTTGAAAGAACTTATATTAGTTGTTACATCTGCTGATATTGCATCCTTAATTTTCATTTCCAATAATCATATTGGGGACACTCGTCTTATCAGCGTACTCTCGCTCATGTTTGCAACTAATTGCCGTCAATGCAACACCTTTCTGATGGATAGTGGGGACACCGCTACCTTTCTATGCAGGAAATGAACACATTATACAGGTTTTGGTCATTTTTCCTGAGAGACATGTTTGTCCCTTCGATGTACAACGAGTTCCGGAAACTTGCCCGTGAGGATGCCGACGCCAATTACAACTACGGGATGGAGTGTCTTTTCAGGTTCTATAGGTACTGGTGCTAGACAAATTTATTCCCTTCCCTTTATCTTGTGATTTGGGATAGGCGCTATCTAGACTTCGCATGGTTGATATGATCATGGTTTGTTCCTTCTCACTTTTCAGTTATGGTCTGGAGAAGACATTCATGGAGGACGTGTACAAGGACTTTGAAGAACTCGCTCTTGATTCCTACCGCAAAGGAAATCTTTATGGCCTTGAAAAGTACTGGTATGAAGACTTCACATTCCTCGTTGCCTCTTGTTGTTTCAGTACTCCACCTTTCAACTTCTAGGCAGTATGGAAATGTTCCTTCCTGAGTCTGTGATTCTACTATTTAATTGAATCAGGGCATTCCACCATTACCGGAGCAGCAAAGAGCCGCTGAAGAAAGACCCCGAACTGGATAGGTTGTTGAGGGAAGAATACCGTAGTTTGGAAGACTTCCGCGCCAAAGAGAAGGCTGCTGCCGCCAACGACAGCTAGTGGGGCGTTCTGGTTGCTGGTCATGTTTCTCCCAATTTTGAAGAGCAATGCTAACAGAAAGAAAGTAAAGAGTTGGGGGGCTTGCTTTTTGCCTTCTCTCAGGCAGAAAAGAATGCATCTTTGCCCTCTCTCATTTTTGTATATGTAAACTGCCCTTTGGGGGTGGTATGGAGAGAGGTATGGTGGTCAGCCTCTGTCTGAGAGTTCCTGTCTGAGGAATTTTTTGGTCTGTTAAATTGATTTTCTTCTCTTTTATTTTGTTGCCTTTATCTTGACTGAGGCCAGAAGTTCCCTGTGTGTTCTTTTGCCTCAGCAAGCCCTTCCCACAAAATGGTCTAACTTGTACATAGCAGGGGAAAGAAAAGAGGAGGAAAAGGCAGAATGGGGGGATTTTTAATTTTATTGACCTTGTGAAAATTGTGAACAATAAGATTCTTCTTGTTAAGGCCAAGTCATTTGTTATGTACTTTATCCTATACAGTTTTCGTTTTAAGAGTAAGTTATGAGTTTATCTATGTATATGAATGTCCCATTGGTATTCATGAGCTTGTGGAGTCGGACGCCAAGAATTACTCTCATCTTTCTGCCATAAAGTAAAATATAGTGCGTCTGCCGGGAGTCGAATCGGGTCTATTGATTGGAAGTCAATTATACTAACCGTTGGACTACAAACACTTTGATTTTCCTCGGATATTTACCATCACTACCAAAGTAAAAACAGTTTCACGTGTTTGTTGACAAATGACAGAGAGAGGTAACTGCTGATATTACCAAAGAGAGAGTTCCAGTTTATGCTATTTAATGTCAAATCTTCCATAACAAGAAGGAATCAGTACTCAGTAAACTTCAAGATCATCAGCCTGAGGTCACAAAAAAAAACACATCATCACAGTTTCGCCTGACGATTCCCGACCAAAAAGTTTCATGGTGACCATTACAAACTGCAAGGTTAGTAGAGATGATTGCCGAAGGATACTCTGAAGAACTCATGTATGCTTTTGCTTATTGCTGTACCGCCTATTTCTTCCCCGGAGTAATGTTCTGCCACTGCTGTTGTTCATTGTTGCAGGACTGAGCTTCAAACTGATCGACCATGGGAACCACAAGCCTTCGTTCAAAACTAACTTGAGCTTAAATTCTTCACTCAAGAATGACTGCAAGCTGATGTCGGCTGACACGGCGTCCCTTTCAGTGAAGAAGAGGTTCTTCCTTGGTGATCGCCACTGGTCGAACGCGCAGAATAAGGCGAAGGGCAAGTTCGCTATCTCGTACGAAGCAAAGGCAATCGTCTTGAACGGTGAAGAGCAGCTGTAGCTTCTTCGGTAAGGTGCGTAAAAATCAAAACCCTGGCATTTTTGGGGTTTCGACTACTGGAGGTTTCTGATCGCCATGAACGGTGAATAGCAGGAAGAGCTTGCTCTGTCTTGGGGAAGAAGACAGACTCAGAGAGTGAAGAAGAGTGAGTGGAAATGGAAATGGAAATGGAAATGGAAGTAAGAAACAAGCATCGTTTGGGCTTAAGAGGCACTTTTTTCTGTTGGGCTGTCCTTAGCTCCTTCTGTGGGCTGAACTACAATTCAAAGAAAACGGGCCGAGGTTACTTATCAGATCCAATAACTCTGTCCCCAAATGACCATATCCCATTTACTCCAAGATAGGATGGATGATCACTTCAATTGATGTTTCCGGTTGTTGGTCGAAATCGTAACAATGTGACCCATTTATTTGCCCGTCTATTTATCGATCAATACATTGAATTCGAGTGTACTTTTTGGTTGTGTTCAATTATGTAGTGCTACATGCATCATATTCGGCTATCTTTTCATCTTCAAGAGTTAATTAATGACAAAATAAAATAAGAAAATAATAGTCATTTGTAGCATCAGTCTTTTAATTACTCGTGATAAGAAATCAATCATTGTTTTCGGTCGAAATCGTAACAAAAGCAACATGTATCTGGTAGCTCGAGCCCGTTATGTTTTATTTTTCTTTGATCAACATGTTTTTTGGATTCAATTCTACAATTTTGGTTTAGCGTGAACATGTAATGCTGCATTATATATGATTTTCCTTTCCTTTTTCGAATGAAATCATGGCAAAAACAGAAAAGACTAGCAATATACCGTATCAATCTTTTTTTTTATATATATCACTTGTAAAGAAGCATAATTTCAAGAACGAAATACAACAGGGTAACAATGTAAAAGAATACACAGCACAGCGCCACAAACCGATTGACCGATGTGTAGATCTAAACTGGATAAGCTAGTTAGACTAAGCAGGTTACAGTTTTCTCGCGCGCGCGACAATTAGATTGGATTCGTGGATTGCCGATAGGCTACGACGGCATGTACTGTCCGAAGCGCAACCAGCACAGGTCTCGATAGTAAGCTCCTCCAAGGCTCTGCTTCTTGCATCCCAGCACATACGGCAGCGCGTCGGAGAGACACTTCGTGCAGTCACCGGGAGCGACGCCGGCGTAGCAAGTGGCGGTGGCCCAAGCGGAGCCGTGGGCTTGGTTCGGATAGAAGTTGGAACACTCGACGTCCGTGCTCTGTGCCTGACCTGGGTTTTGGTAACCGGAAGCCGCATTCTGCACCACGTAATTCAGAGCAATCTCTACGTAGGTGGGGAACTCCGACACGTGGAGCCACGGCTTCTCCGGGCCGCAAATTGGAGCTCCGGACGACGACGACGCCGCGACGGAGCCGCTCGGAAAATGGGACAGTAGTAGAGCTAGCGTGATGATAATACGAACTGCCATGGGTTAATGGATTGTTGTGTTTAGATAACAAGACGGATGGATTATGGATACCGTGGCTGATCTCTTCTTATACGCCAAAACTATATGCTCTGTTTCTGTCCTCTGTTTTTTTCCCCGAATAATTTCGCCGGCCAAGCCAGAATCTTCACGCAAGATTATTTGGAAAGTATCGGGATACCATTTTTTGGTTTATTTTTGTTTTTTTTTTCTGCCGAAGATCATGAGGTCTAGAATACGTGCAATATTGAATACACTGGCTCACGGCAGAGGGTATCAGATTTATAATCCATTAGCGACGGCGCGATGCTATCTTATGTCGTTTTGTGTTCATGGAAATGTGATCAGACTGGCTTTCCGGCGGTGATAATTAGGTAAACTGTTTGACCGGTATTTCGTCGTTGATTCTTCCAAACGATTTTGCCGGCAAAGTCACAGATTTTTCGATCTTTCATTCTTTTTGTGTAGTGTCTCAATTTCATTTGGAGAATACGGAGGATGTGCATGTGCTGGCTCCCGGCGACGGGAAAAAAATGACAGTCGGCTGATGGAGACACGTCCTTCTCGCAAGATTGGTCATCCTACAAATGTACGATTTTAGTTTTTTTTTGTCCTAATTCAACTTTTTTTTGTTATTGGTATTTAGGTGAAAGATGTATATTATTATTAGATTCGTAAGGTAAGCGTGATTTCTAAAATGTTACATTCATAGACTGATATTGTGTATAAGGAGTCATAAGATGTTCAAGGTCACATGACTAACGACGAGCAAAATCAAGAGAAACGAGAAGGTTTTTACTCGTAGAAGCAGCGAGGCTAGCAGTGACTTTTGCTTAGTTGATGCCCGAGTTATTCGAGAATCGAATGAGTAGATTATTCATATGTTTGTGGAGTAAATTATATGATAAAAAAAATCCTAACACTAGGCTGTCACCATTGATTATTGCGTCTGCCGGGAGTTGAACCCGGGTCTATTGCTTGGAAGGCAATTATCCTAACCGTTGGACTACAAACGCTTGTTGTTATTTTTTTTAGGATTTTAGCTTTGAACACAATTCTTGAGTCGTTAGCAACAACTGAATTCACAGAGTATCGAAAATGGCACATTGATCGCGTCATCTTTCACGCCATCTTTTTCAAAGTGCAGGTGGCATGCATTGCATTCTTTTGCTGGCGCTTGTGGAAATCACGATATTGGACGGTTCACAAATACATTCTATAGACATTGTCTTGGAATGTTATATGCAGGTATGAGCGACCCCGTTCATTATGGAACTTCTAGCTTTACATGATGCTATGAAATGGTGACTAACTTATGATTTTGCTATTATGAATTTTTGTGGTGATTCCCAACTAGTGGCGAGGAGAGTCCTGGAGAGGGATGTGGTGCATGATCTTGGTGGTGTGTTCTTAGAGGAAGTTCGTCATTTGTCTTCTTATTATTATTATCCTTTCTCTTATACTTTTACACTTCTGCACTGTAATAGGGTTGTCCACCTGATAGCAAAGCATACCCTTTCATCGATAGTTCGACGATTTATCACATGATCAAATCTTGCTGGATGGATTATTACGTGACAAATGGGCTCAACATGGAAGACAATTGTTTGAAACTACGGGCCCAATGGGCCAGGCTACCAATGGGCCTAACATGTCCAGGTCATATATAGACACGTCAACGTGACCGCCCCGGCACTCCCAGCCCCAGTGGACCCCACCACATTCCCACCAACACTAATATAAATTTAAGAAAAGGAATAAAAACTTAAAACTCTTCTTCCGATTCGTCAAATAACGCTGCCATTTCCTCCATCTTCCTCCTCCGCAATTACGCATAAAGAAAAGGGAATTTCAATTGGAAAGTCCGGAACGGCGACCACCACGAGGAAGAGGAACTGCCACCCACGACGGCCGGCGGCGAAGTCGACGATGGTTGCGGTGGCGCTGAACCAGATGTTGGTGGTGGCGGCGGCTTCCCCAGCTGTGACTGCTTTTTCGTGGAGGAGCTGTTTCACTCTGCTTTTCCCACTCCTCTTCGTTGCCTCCTTCACCTTGGCTGCTGCCGCTGGCGGCGTCCCGGGAGCCGGCAACGGAGTTTTCAGCGTCAAATACCGCTACGCCGGTATGCAGCGCACTCTCAGTGACCTCAAAGCTCACGACGATCGCCGCCAGCTCCAAATTCTCGCCGGTGTCGATCTTCCGCTCGGTGGTACTGGCCGCCCCAACGGCGTCGGGTGCGTTTGAAATTCTCTTCGATTGCGCTCTCAGTTTTTGAATTCAGCTATCCGTTTCTCAATTTTAGGATTGAATTTCCTTTTGCGTTTCTCTTCTCAATTCTGTTCTTTTTGCGTGGGAAATTCCGCAGGCTTTACTATGCCAAGATTGGAATTGGGACGCCTTCGAACGATTACTATGTGCAAGTGGATACGGGAAGTGATATCATGTGGGTCAACTGTATTCAGTGCAAAGAGTGTCCTAGAACCAGTACACTTGGTGTATGCCTTAACAAATTCCCCCTTCTTCTGCCTAAGTTTGCTTCTTCCTTGCTCTGGGTTTCTTCTTAAGTTAGTGGATTTTCCCTTTGGCAGATAGATCTCACTCTGTATGATATAAATGAGTCGGCTTCTGGGACCTTGGTTACCTGTGATCAAGAGTTTTGCTCGGAGGTTAATGGCGGCCCATTGTCAGGATGCACAGCTAATGTGACCTGTCCATATTTAGAGATATATGGGGATGGGAGCTCCACTGCAGGATACTTTGTTAAGGATGTTGTGCAGTATGACACAGTTTCTGGAGACCTTGAAACTGCCTCAGCAAATGGAAGCGTCATATTTGGGTAAGCTACTAAAGCTTACTTCTGAATATCTACTACGATTTAGAGGTTCAAGTGCTCTAAAGCATAGCTAGCTCATCAGTCCTCGCTCGAATTTATAGTACTAGTTGTTCTTTACTTGTGAATTGATAATTGTTTATGTGCTGTATACTTCTTCTTGTATTCGGTTTTCCATTTTCTTCTAGTTCTGCTTGTCCAATGTGTATGTGACTGTTTTCTCTTTCATGTGCATCCCTTAAGCTATAGATGTCTCCATATTCTTTCTTTGCATTGTTTCATCTTGCTTCATTCGTTCTTTCCTTTTGTGTATCTGCTATCTATCTATCTTCCTTTCTGAAATGTTCTTTATGTGTGTCTTTGTTTCCCTCCAAAATCTTTTTCTTTGCTCAATGTCTTTGTTGTTTTCAGTACATGATTATGTCGACAAGCTTTGTGGTTCTGGATGTTCTTTGACAAGACTAGATTTGTCAATGATAGATGTGGTGCTAGGCAATCAGGGGATCTGGGCTCATCTACTGAAGCAGCACTTGACGGGATACTTGGATTTGGAAAAGCTAATTCCTCAATGATTTCTCAGTTGGCTGCTACTGGAAGAGTGAAAAAGATATTTGCTCACTGCTTGGATGGTGAAAACGGGGGTGGTATTTTTGCTATTGGGCATGTTGTGGAGCCACGAGTTAATACGACACCGATCATACAAGACCAGTGAGTGGTTACAGTTCCACTTAGCAAAACCTATCTTTGTTTGCCACTTCTAAAGTCTGGTTGCTTTTGGTAGTTGTTCTTTGATTTTGTCTTACATTCCCAGCTGCCATGGGTCTCTGTGAATGCAATTTAATATGAGAGGCTCTATCTTGATGCTAAAAAATGCAGGCCCCATTACAATGTCAATATGACAGCTGTTCAAGTTGGTCACGATATGCTAAACCTTTCAGCAGAGGTATTTGATGCTGGGGAGAAAAAGGGGGCAATCATTGATAGTGGTACTACACTGGCCTATCTCCCAGAAATGGTTTATACGCCTTTGGTAACCAAGGTAAGGGAATGAAAAAGGCTTGTACAATGCGGAGGTTCTAGTTTGTGTAATTTGCCTGACTCATTGATCTTGTTTCTTTCGTAGATAATATCTGAGCAACCTAATCTAAGGGTTCAAACTGTCCACGATGAATATACATGTTTTCAGTATTCTGGAAGGTAAATATAACTTGGCACAATATTTCTGGTTCTTCATACTTAGTCCATGAACTAGTTTGAGTTGGAAATGGACTGCATGGAAGAAATATGGTAAAATGTTTGTGATTTGTTGCTTACTAAGTCTTTCGATTAGTTTAAACTTCTCTTCTAGCTTGAATGCATCGCCATTTTGATTTATCCTTAATTGTCCTTTGCTAGAATTTTCCTCAATTTTGTTTCATATCCCATTGCAGTGTGGATGATGCATTTCCGAATGTGACTTTCCATTTTGAAAATTCACTCTTACTGAGGGTGTATCCACACGAATATCTGTTCCCTTTTGTAAGTATACCACTCTGTAAACTTGTGAAGGCCTTTTTATCCTCTACAGTTTCTGGCTCTTTTCTATTCTGCCACTTGTAGAATCACTGTTGTTAGTATAGCTTCACCCAAAGGGTTCTGGCCAACCAGCAAACTCCACCACAGGACAGGGCTTCTAAGAAACTGGCATAATCCTTTAAATATAACCTGTAAACCGTGTTTAGGTTCTCAGCTCAGTAATGAGCTCTTAATCGCTTACGACTTCAGAGGGCTTTTCCATTTTATCCCCCTTGTTGATACTTTAACTTATGATATCTTCGTTAATGCCCGATCTCTTTGATACAAATCTAATACATGCAGGAGGGCTACTGGTGTCTTGGTTGGCAAAACAGTGGGCTGCAATCCAGGGATAGAAGGAACATGACTTTGTTAGGAGGTATAACGACTGCATCTAAACATTTCTATGTTATTGGGCTGTTACTATATTAGGATTAATCTCACGATTCTACAGCAAGCTGTGGGTTCAGATCCTTAGATGCCAATTTCCTTTGTTTTCCATCCCCAGTCTTTGTTAACCAAACATGATGCATACCCAAGTCCCCTAAAGGATCAGCAGCTACTGTCATTTACTGATTATGCATCTGCTGCATGATTATTTTCCAAATCATGGTTTGGTGTCAATTGTGATTATTCTTGATTCATGTGCCTGCAGATTTAGTGCTCTCAAACAAACTAGTGTTGTACGATCTTGAAAACCAAGCCATTGGATGGACAGAGTATAATTGTGAGTCTATACTTCACTTCTCTTCCTTTCATTTTGGTTGGCTCGTCTTTACTTACTTGAGTTTCCTGAGTATTGCTTTTAGTGTTACTTATTCCTTGTGTTCTGTGGTTGGTTTCAGGCTCGTCGACCATTACCGTGAAGGATGAAAAGACCGGAACAGTACATTTAGTGGGATCCCATACTATTCCATCCTCTGCATCCAATTTTCGTGCAGAATGGGCCGTAGTACTCTTGTTGCTAAGTACATTGCTGCTATAGCAAGTTCCCTTTTGGTACTGCTGCAACTTACACGAGACATTGCTGGTAATGCAAGATAAAGACAAACTTTCTACTGAGGAGATTGATTAGATAAAGGTAGAAGATAGTGTTTTCTCCCACACCTTGACTTTGGGTAAATATTTTGTTCGTACAATGTAAGTTGTGGGGGGCTTTTATAGTGAGAGCTTACTACAGCTAGGCTTTGGTAATGAGTGTAAATAGAGTCAGGTTTGATCACATTGGCCTAGGAGGTCATTCCGATGAACAAACTATCAGATCATTTGTATGTAGCTGGTGGATGCTTGAGCTTGATAGATAAATAGATTTCCTTTTTTCTTTTTCTCATCTACATCTTTGCCTTGACATACTGCACACAAGGAACTTCGGTATAATTCGCTATCCAGTTTGGATTGGGTACGAGTTCCTCGAAATCGTTCGTTGTAATGATCCATATCCAGTAGCTATTCAGAACATGGCTGTCAAACAGGTTTTTATTCTGGCATGTCCATCTCTCTCTTCCACCACCTTCTTTGTACGTTCGAAACATTATGTTGAATGGTTTAGTTTCAGGGAGAGGGGTGAGAAAACAACAGCTCCTGACTATACTAAACAGGGTGGTTGAAGGGAAGTTCATGTGTGCATTTTACTCAGTTTGGCTGCAGTATTGCATTATCAAAACCTTACCCATCCCAGTTACGCTACTATGCCCATGAGATGTGAGTGGCATTCAGAACGTGCCGACGCCTTTGGATCACCGATAGCAGGTTTGGAACCAACCATAAGGTTGATGCAATGTCACTCTTTCAGTGCATAAGATCCATCGGCTGCAAACCAGCAATAGGGCGATCTAAATGCAGCTGCAGATGCTAATCATCCCCAAGTCAATATAGTAGCCAGATTCCTATGCATAAGCAGCAACTAAAGTGAAACCTAAAGCAAAATGAAGCTAAAAATATGAGTATTTGATGAAACAAACATCCAGACTACTGTAAGTAAAAGGAAATGCTCTTTAGAAATGTGGAAGTCCAATCGCTGTAACAAGAAAGTTACTACAATGTCAACATCATATGGGAACAATAACATGGCCACTTAAGAAGAAGAACTCACGAGACAGCAGCCATGGTTGCAATCTGCACAAATCTTCCAATCCAAAGAGAATGAAGAAAGATGAAAACAACAAAGAAAGCTAAGGAGAACCTCCAAACTAAAAAGCAGAGGCCACAATCAAAATCTACAGATTTTCCCCCACCCCCCAAATCAACAACCCATTCACTCCTCGGTCCTCAATCGCGACAAAGAGATCAACGATAGTGACGAAACTCAGAAAACTCAGCGACGGACTTCATAGATTATACAACACACTTATTGCCCTCCCAAAATCTACTACAAGTCCTAGAAAACAAAAAGATTTAGACTGGTTTGCCACCTACCCGACTGACCAAAAAAATTACTGACATAGATGGAACCCTTCATCCCTCTGAAACTCAGCAACCCAAACACCCTTTACCTCCACATTCTCTTGTGTTTTCCTTTCTTCTTTTGGCTAGCAGATGAGAGAAACTTATTTACAGTACAAGGTGGAAATATCTCTGGACAAAATGGCCAGAGATACCACAAACAAATGAAAAAATTCAGGAAGCGCCTCAAAAAGGTGGCAACTCATATCCACAATTTCTAGCATATTGATGATCATCATATCTAGACAAGAGAGAGGATGTATGTAATCAGTCCATCGACGTTGATACCTTCTTGGCACTGGATGAGCCAAGGAAGAGGCAGACGGCAGCACAATCATCTGTTTTTGATGTGGGATACTTAGTCCTCCAAGCCCGATGAGCTAAGTCAACCAAGGTTTGAGCTGCACTCGAATGTGGGACAGACCCCACTATCCCCACAACCTCATCATTTGTCAAAACATCCCATACACCATCAGTAGCCATCACAACAAACTCATCGTTATCTGTGACACGATGGTGTGAAATCTCAGGAACCGCAATCAAGCCAAAGTCCTTCAGGCAGAAATCACCAAAAGCACGGGCCATAGCCAGACCAGGCGAGTTGTTGTTCGGAAGCCAGATTCTAGCAACATCCGGTTCGCTTGGAAGAGCGAACACCCGTCCTTTGCATGATCTGATCCTCTCTGCTTCCCCTGAATGACAAAGAGCACTCCAAATTTGATATTCATGTTCTTCCTTACAAACATTCTATATTTAGCACGGGCCATGTAAAAAAATTGCCGAAATAGGACAATAATCTAACCTAAAAAGAATCAAGTCATCAACAAATTGTGGAACCACCTAATTATTCCCATCTTTCTTCTTTTTAATATTTTTTCAATTCAATGGAAAAAAAATATGTTTTGCACACACTTCCACTTTTACTTATTACTTGGAAGGGAAGGGAAGGCAAGAGAGACATACTTGGGAGAGAAGGTTTGAGATCTTCAGTCAACTGAACTGCAAAGAGGGAGTTGTTTTTATCTCTTGTACCCAACACAGCTCTTGAGTCGCCAACATTGCCAATAACAAGATCCCGCCCCTACAATTGCAGATGGTAGGGTCATGTTTATATCAACAGGAAGCTAAATCTGTGAATTTACAAAAAGGATGGAAAACTAGGGAAATGTGTGTTGATTGCTACCTGCTTGATCACAGTTACTGCTGTTGTCCCACTGCAGTAGCAATCAATATAAGGATGCACCTGCAGTTCTTTGTCCATAGCCTTGAAGGCCTTCAAAAATGAGTCTTTAAATGTCAAAAAAATGTCGGTCTGTACGTCCTTTTTCCCATTATCTAGGTTTTCGGTTGGTGATTCTGATTGAAATGAATTGAGTGAGCACTCTGCTATTGCATTTCTTCCAACAGTATTACCACTCATGAGGCCAAGCTCGCCGCTGGTACAATCTAGTTCCCACTGTGCTCTCAGTTTTAAAGGCAGAGAATCCCTCACTTTCTTCGCAACAAGATGACCACTGGGACCATGCCCATCAAAAACACCACAGAATATTGTGTCTTCATTGGGGCCGAAATTCTGAAAAGGCAGATACATCCGACATAAAAATTCTGAAACTAAGTCAAGACTCACATTCTTCAACAGGTAAATTAGTAGATACACACAATGAAGTCAACCAATTACCAGAGAATAAAGCAAGTAGAAATGCAAATAAGCTCAAGTATCATTATCACCAAATACACCGTACAGGCACAAGCTTAGTAACTTTCTCCCCATCCTTTTCGCACCGTATCAACAGAATCAAGTAGTCTAGCACCAAGCCAGGCTATATAGTTAACTGGGTTGCCACAATATGGATTACAGTTCCTTTCCATTCCACATCCCATCGGGTCAAGGAATGATGAGAAAATGTTTCCTCGTGAGGAAGAGATGAGGCAAACTTTCTTCCCAGTTAAGGACAGAGGACAAATTTACATGTTATGCAATTGACATAAAACAGATGCAAGCATAAGGAAAGGAAACAAGCCAGCATGATCATTACATGCCACCGCCAAAATAGCAATGACAAAAAAGTCGAAAATATGCAAATAGGCGATATCAATGCAATAAGATATAGGTGCTCCACATCATGCTTATCAAAGTAGCCCACGGAAAGCCTCTCAAATGTCAATAATAAGATGTCAATCTTCCTTAGGAAAGCTTCTTGTTGGACCATTTACGAGGGATTCTGCTTATTTTCAACTGTTCCCGCCGTGATATGGCAAGAACTAGCATCTACTGCGTAATCATGAGTTGATCCATAACTTGGGAAAAGTTGCTGATCTGAAAGTTAAAACCTTTAGCGATTTATGCTAAATAATATCAGAACAGACATAGATCATAGATAAACTTGCAGTGAAAGCAAGTGGTCCAATCATCATTCTGCCAAAGAGGAAAGGTAACTTTAAAGGAAACCCAAAAACAATATCCAAACATTCTGCCCATAGCTACCAGCACCCAATTAGCATCTGCGATTACATTTGAGCAGCCCACAAAAAATACCCAGGTAGAAGATTGATAAAGACCAGGAAAAAAATGAGAGAAATGGAAGGCAAGCTGACCTCCCAGAAAATCATGGCATCCTGATTGACCCCTTTCTTCCCAGCCTTAGTAAACAGCGACGCAAATTCCGACGAGCTGTTCAAGAACAACCTCCCCGGGATCCTATGCAACCACAACTCCAGCTTCGAATCACTCCTCTTCATCATCGTCTGCCTCTTCTTCCTCCGCCTCGCCGCTTCCGAGTTGCTCCCGGAAGATTGCCGGGAGCCGCTGCCGCCGCCGCGAGAACCTTCATCGGTGAAGCACGACGTACCGAACGCCCTGGCTATGCTCATGAAACAATCCACGCCCATGGAACAGGCCGGATCCCTCCCGACCTTCTCCACCTGCATATCCGCCGTCCGGTTGTCAATCTCCTCCAGCTTATATCCCCCCGCCAATCTCAAATCTCCCGCGAACCTTCTTCCCAATTTCCCAATCACAACAACCACCACCTCCAAGTCACACAACCGAAAAGGGAGAATCCGCCGCAGGCGAAGTGGAAACGAATAAGAATTGGATCCAATCCGGCAGAGGATATGATGATCCGCTAAAGAGGGAATGGATTGACGGCCACCGGTGGAGAGGAAATCGGATTCGATTTTGAGGACGGAGAATTTTCCTTTGGCGTGTTTTTCCTTTTTTTGGGTGTAAAGTGGGAAGCTTTTTTTTTTTTGTTCTGATTTGGGGATTGGAAGAAGTAGCGATTGGGGAAGATATTAAATATTATTAAAATAATTCATTTAAATATTTAAACAAGGGAGGAATTGGACAGGAATAGGATAGGATTTGCTGTGTAAATGGTTTTTTTATTTGTGGAATTATGGATAAGAATTAGGTTTTATTGTTTTATTTTCGGGGTTTTATTGGAGTTTTTTAAGGGAATTAGTTATGATCAATTCAACTAATCCATGATTAATCAATACGCTTATCTCGGCTAATCCTCTTTCAGATAAAATTATCTCGATAATAGGTAAGGAAAAGATACTATGAGCAGTTAATTACTTAATTACTATTATGATTCTGTTTTTAGGGAATCGATTAAAAAGAAAATCACCATAGGTGGCGGGAGTGATAATCATGTAGTTCTTTTTTTTTTTTTAGGGAGATAATCATGTAGTTCTGATTTCGAGTATTAACAGTCATTTTTATGTTACCTCACAATAGATTGGTGATTAGTGGTTATCATCCATCGACAAGATTACTAAGTTCATTTAAATCTTTTTTGGTGTTCACGAAAGTCAAAATACTTTATTTACATCTATAGTATATTTCTCAGAAAAAGATATTGAAAATTTTATCAACTTTCAATCATTGATTTGATTAGAGTATATAAAAGATGGTCCATAAAAAAGAATATATAAAAGACCGAAAGCAAAATCTCATACAAATCGAAATAATGGATTGGAAAAAGAGAAAAAGAAAAGGAAAATTATGGAGTAAAAGTAATGGAAGTATGGGAGCAATTAGTAGTTCAATCTCAATTCGTTTATCAACAAATTGAGTCGAGTTCAAATTTGTTTATTTATTAAAATCTTAGTTCATTATTAAAATTATGAGTACGATTTGAGGTCACCTTATTTATTCTCAATAGTCGAATTGTTAAACTAAACTCTAAAATAATTTTATAATTAAATATTTATATGTCATGATATATATGATTAATTTATTTCGGGTTTATATACTTTGTTCGCATCGTATAATTTAGTTGATAAATTTTAATAAGTTCTTATCATGCAATTTTGTAGTAATGAGTATCTAAACAATCTATGATACATAATTTATTTATAAATTATAAATGAAACATTTGCTCACATACTCAAACTCTTAAACATCATATGGGTTGAGATATACAGTTTAACATACCTATTAATTATCAACATTCAACAAGCCAACTCAAAATCGATCCTGAGAGATAGATCCGATCGATTTTCTCATAATTAAGTCGATAGTCGAGTTGGCTCGCTAGTCACAATGCCGACACATCTCGTGAGCTCACAACGAGACAGCTCACGAATTAAGCTCAACAGGCCACCTAGCCGAGCTAGCTCGCGAGCCTCACAAGTTAAACAAAGGCTTAGCTAAAACTCGACTCGTTATCAAACGAGTCAAGTTTGTTTTCCGAGTCGAACCACTCTTGAACTAGCCAACTCAGGGGTTCGCGAGTCGAGTTTTCCCTTTAATCGAACAAGTTTTTTTTTCTTTCTCAAATCGAAATCCGAGCCACTCCTGAACAACTCAAACTCATGATTAACAATCATAAACTGAAACCCGACTAGAGTTCTAATCCACCCCTCATCGCTCTAATTCCTAACTCCGCCGCTGTATCCAAACATGTGGAAAACCTGTGTCCACACCGACGCTGAGGCCTTTCCATTCCATCGAAGTCCAATTCAGCCAGCAACCCACTTGGACTACAACAGCAACGATTCTTCTTCTTTCTTTCTTTCTTCTTCCCCACTACTGTTCATGGCTGTGGCCACCGGCCGCTTCTGCTACGCCATCGATCCTTGACCAGTTAATATTATATACAAAATTTTTTTTTTATCAACTTCCAACTTGTTTTGTTCTTTAGTCTTTTACCCACATGAATACTGCTGGCCTGCAAAAGTCGGATAAAACGTGGTCGAGTCTCTGTTCTGATTTGCTTGATCAGTTTAGAGTAAAGACTTGAGTGAAGTCAAAACCATTGGAGGAGATGTCCCTATCGCTTGATTGGCCGATGCTGAACTGCACCTAATTAAACCAGTAGCCATCAGCTGTGTATTATATGGTGAGCATTTAGTGGTAATTATAACAATGTACTAACCACTTCGACAAGAACTGAGACAGTGACAACATAATTTAGTAGGTTTACTGTGCGCACAAAGCACCAATCTGACTATTGTGTTCACAAGTATCCGTTGAGATTTGCGACCGGCTAAATTGAGGTGGTGACGATTTTGTAATTGCAACTGATGATTTGATAAGATGATATGATTGTCCACGCACGAATCAATGACTCCGAGCGTTAGTAAATGCGTTCTCACAAGGCGTATGTTAGGAAATTAAAATATCAAAATTGCATTAGTAGGATTGCTACTCATTTTTACCATGGGTGGTTGAAAATTGAAATGGACGGGGTTAAAATGTGCAAGCTAAATTTTTTTTTGGAAATTACCGCACCCAATACTTAAATTAAAAAAAGATTGGACAATACTTATAGTGTCATACAAAATACAAAAAGTTTGACTCATAGTGTGCCAAAACTAGATGAAATGTCCTTGGTTAGCTAACATAGAGGCAACCTTAAATGTAAAACTTCAAAATATGAGAGATATTCTCGCCTCTCCAATTTGTCGAATGAGCGTATGAAATTGCAAAGTAAAAAAAACTATTACTTCCCCCTCCCCCTATTCTACTATATCCTCCAAAACCCTAAAGAGAGCAACATCGATATTGAGAAGTTAACTAATCGGCGAGGGCAATGGAGGTTCGTAATGCCAATCAGTTTTTTACTGAGCAACCGAGACCTGCATAAATAGCCTCCATAAGGAAGATTTGGACAATTTCGACCAACAACAAGTAATGATTTAGTTCACGTCCTACCAGCAATAGATAACAATCCACTTCACCCTTTCACGGTCTCGCCCACCAAGTTCTCCGAGGATCATTCTCCAAACTAATTAGAACTTAGAAGAAGGTATGGGTAATTATTTGATTTACGACTTGTCAATTTAACTGAATTAGATTCGACAAGATTGATTCAATTTAATTTATATCCCAAATTTCAACTCTTTTTAATTTTGAGTATAGCAAAAGTAAACAAACAAATAAGTATAGGACCACACCAAGGGTATCAAAAACATTTTTTTTAATATTTAATTTGGGATTCTTCCATTCAAATCGATTCTCAAAAGATTCGGTCTAATGTTCCGACTCGGTTCGAGCTCGATCCACCCACCAGCCGGTTCGCGCGGTTAAATTCTGTTTTCCCGCAGGAAATCTAGCTGTCGGTGGGAAACGATTGGGAGGGTCGAACCGGAGAGAGAACAGATTCTTGCAATTTCCAGGCTGTTTATGTATAATGGAACTCCATCTCCACCGTTCATCATTTTTCGAGGCAAAATCTGCGCCGTTGATCTTCACCAAACACTTTCTCCCAAAAAAAAAAAAAAGCGCCATGGCCACGTTAGGCTGGAAAACGACCGTCGATCTAACATTCCTTCGTTTAATCTCCCTTCCATCTCCTTCTCCAACTTCCAGAGCAGAGAAATCTCGAATTCGTCTCTTCAGATCCAGTGCCGCATTTTCTGAGTTTCGGAGGACGATTGAGTATGGCTGCTACTAATCGGAGCGTTGCGGCATTCTTGCTGCTGCTGATGCTCGGCGTGGTGAGTTTGGCGGCGGTGGTTCGCGGCGACGATTCGGAGCCGGCGGTGGTGGTGAAGAAGGTGAAGGGGAAGAAGTACTGTACGAAAGGCTGGGAATGTAAGGTTCCTTCCGTTTACTGCTGCAACGAGACGATCTCCGATTTCTTCCAGACTTACCAGTTCGAGAACCTCTTCTCCAAGAGGAACAGCCCCGTCGCTCACGCCGTCGGATTCTGGGAGTACCGGAACTTCATCCTGGCTTCCTCGCTCTTCCAGCCGCTCGGGTTCTGCACCACCGGCGGGAAGCTCATGCAGATGAAGGAGCTCGCCGCTTTTCTTGCCCATGTCGGCAGCAAAACCACCTGTGAGTCAACTCGTTTTGGGTCCCCAAATCTTCTGTTTTGCTCTAGATGGTGCGAATTCATGTTCTTTTATTGCCGAATTGAGGGTTGAAATCGAGGATTAAGGGGATCACATTGTTGAATTTCTATAATTGGAATCGAAATCTATGACTGTGGATCTTGTTATCGCGGGAATTATTAGAATTGGCGATGGATGAGATGAGATTCAAAGCTAATCGAGTTCTGTAATGGTGTTGTTGATATTCTTCAGGTGGTTATGGAGTGGCGACAGGAGGGCCTTTAGCTTGGGGTCTATGCTACAATAAGGAAATGAGTCCTCAGCAGTCGTACTGTGACGATTACTTCAAGTACACCTACCCTTGTACACCTGGAGCTGATTACTATGGCCGTGGCGCCATTCCTATCTACTGGTATATACCACCCTTCCATCCCTGATTGGGTTATTGCTGGTCTCCTGTTCTCTTTTAACTAAGCAACCTAGCAAAGATGTAGTGCAGTCAAAGGGTGTTGAGATAACTTATTTGAACTCTACTTCAGCTGGCTACAGCTGTGAATGATAACAAAAAAAAAAAAGAATAGACTTGATGCGACGGGTCATGATTATCTTGAGTTGTATGCGATTTATGCGTGTGTGTGTGTGTGTGTGTGTAAATGAATCATATTTCTTAAATTCTATGGTTTCCTTTTGTTCCTTTCTCCCTTGTCTCGAAAAATGAGAGTATATGTTTGAAGTGTAGAATGTGTAAATAAAATCATTAGTCACTGCTGCTGATGATCTTTACACTGGTTTATCTCCACAGGAACTATAACTATGGTAAGGTCGGAAAAGGCATCAAGGCTGATTTGTTGAACCACCCTGAGTACATAGAGCAAAATGCTACCTTGGCTTTCCAAGCTGCCATTTGGATGTGGATGACACCAGCGAAGAAGTCACAGCCTTCGGCCCATGAAGTCTTTGTTGGCGATTGGAAGCCCACAAAGAACGATACCCTGTCCAAGCGCATTCCTGGGTTCGGTACAACAATGAACATTCTCTATGGCGACAATGTCTGTGGCCAAGGCGATATTGATCCCATGAACAACGTCATCTCCCATTACCTGTACTACCTCGACTTGATGGGTGTAGGCAGGGAGGAAGCAGGGCCTCATGAGTTCCTCTCTTGCGGTGAGCAGGGTGTATTCAACCCATCAGCAGCCAATCCCAGCCAATCCTCTTGAAGCTTTCTGTAATGGTTGTTCTATGGAAGCCACCTACTTTCTTGCACTGATCACTTCTCATAAAATAATAGACAGGCGTGGCTATGATTCTCAACCACCTTAGCTTCCAGAGGTGTGGAATGTTCATTATTATCACTACCGTGTGTCTAGAGCCTCCTTGATTCATTTGTGTCTATAATATGTGTTTGGATGAGGTTTGAAGATTATGAATTTGTATGTACTATTTTGTTATATGTAGTTTCGAATGTTGTAATACCTTAAATTTGAATTTTTCAAGTTGTCTTGTTTCTTGTTCTATTGGGTTTTCCTAGTTTCAACCATTCTGTGATGCGGCGGACAGTGTGTTGGCTTTGGAAGTATATTGTCATTGGGATGAACTTATCTCTGCTGCTCCAATGACTCACTAAACCTTGTAATTTTGTGATTGCCAGCTAAGCTTGTCTTTCCTTGGCGGTTATCTGGTATATAATACATAAATATGCTATTCACAACATTGTACTTGTCGCTGGCATTTTTTGTTTGCTCTTGACACTTCCTATAACAGCTAGGAATTGCCTTTCCATTGCAGCCTCCACTGTCCAGCTGAAGAATCATCTTGAACATAGTTGTTATTGGCTATGGAAGTGGGGTAGCACTGTAGCAATATCAAGTTTCCATTATTGTTTGGGAATGAATGTTACTGCTTACAGGACAAAGATGAGAGAAGGAAGATCACTCCGTTCCAGATCTCATCCTTTGGCAGAGGTCTTAATACCAACGGAATCACCTGGCTCCAGGGGCAGTAGCAAACATGTGGTCATTGTTATGGATGCATTGAAGGAGTTCTCCATGGAGCCTCTTCAATGGGCACTTGACTGGGTGATCGAGGCAGGATGTTCGGTTACCCTCCTTGGAGTCTTGCCTTGGATTCCCTTCCCCTGTAAGCCATCTTCTCTTGTCTAATCATCTATTTTGCTCTTGGAAAGTTGGAGATTTTGATTGCCAGGTTTGCTCTGAAGTTTGCAATCATTTGGTTAACCTGGTTTGCTTTCTCTTTTCGCTTGGGCTAGTTTCATGCAAGATAGGGTTAGATGTATGGAGGCATGTTCTTGAAGATATGCGAGGTCCTATGGGAGGGAAGAGTAGGGCGAGAAATGACCCGAAGAAGCATCAGAAGATACGGAGGATAATGGAGCTTTGCAAACAGAAGCAGGTTCTGAAGTCTTAAAAACTTTTCACAGATCAAATTCTTCTCAACTATCATTATTTGGCACTGGTCTTTTGTTTGATTTGTTGTTACTCTTGTGGTCATTACTTAGGTGGTCCCTTTGATGAAAGTGGCAATGGGTCATCCGTTCAAGCTTGTGGTTCTTGAGCAAACTACAAGCCTTCATGCTACATTTGTGGTTCTTGACAGGTATTCTCGTTCCCGTCGGGCTGTCAATGATTGATTGATTTCACACTTCTACTTGCTTACAAGTGGCTGTCCGATTGCGATTTTCGGATTAACAACCTGTTGATATGGGGTAAGCGGTTAAACAGTTGCTCAGTAACCATTCAAATACAACAACAGGTTCTGGTTTGTGTTACATGTTGAATGGTTTACCGTTGCAAGCATACAACCGAAAATGGTAACATCAACCTTTTTTCAAACATAAAAATTGGAAACGAGGAATTAAACCTGTTTTTAACCATGTCCAATTGTCCATGCCTGTCATTGAGCTCGGTTTGGTTTCGTTGATTCCGGTTAATCATTAGGGTTAACGGTTTTGTTTATTGCCTTGATTTTTGGTAACTGTAAGTTTGATCGGTTGATTCAGATATGGTTTTCCGGTTTGGTTAACCATAGCGAATCATTCAGCCTCATCTAACTTGTAAGTTAACAGAATTTGAAAAAAGCCGAAAACTGATGCAATTTGGATTGTAATGTGATGGCAGACATCTAAGGCGGTACAAAACGTTCTTTGAGGAGAGGCTGCCGAGCAGTGCGGTGATGATGAATAGACATGGAGGGGTAGATGTGATCAAAATGAAAGCAAGAACGGATGGGTTTGATTCGGCGGCTACCGGAGAATCTCCGGCCACCGTTCCCCCGACCCCTGAAGTTATTCTATCTGAGGAGCTGCTGGAACGGCTGAGGCGGCAGACGAGCATTTGACAATGACAGTGAAATTCAAGTGTGTTTTTATATATTGGAAGTACATCAGCTTGATCTACTGGTGTTAGAGTTTGGATTTAACCCTAGTGAGACTCTCTATGTTTTGCAAGACTTAGTCCTTCATTTTTCCTCTCCTATCTTGTCGCTTGTTTGTGGGATTTGGGTGATGTATTTGGCATTCAAATACAAAGTATTATGTATTTGATAGAAAAATATTGTTTGTTAAGGTATACAAATTCGTGGACCCATGTATTTGCAAACACCACATTTCATTTGGTATTTGGTCATTGAAGGCAAGGATTTGAGACCCATAGTACAAAAAGCTTCAAATCCATGATTAAAATCAACTAAACAAACAATGTTATCTTTCAAATACAAAATGAAACAAATCCATTATAAATCCAAAAGTTTTCAAAACTAAAAACTTTCATTTTAGAATCCAACAAGCAAACGAGCCCTACATTCTGATTGACTTGAATCTAGGGTTGGAGAGGCGTATCAGAATCTCTTGGAGAAGATCGGCTGTGACTTTGCTGATGGGAGGAGGAAGGTTTGCTAACTCCGAACTGATTCGTTGTCGTTTTCCAGAACGCCGATGGAATTCGCTTAGAGTCTGATCCAAATCCGAGATGCAGTTCTCGATCGTCCATGGCGTAGAGAAACAGACGGATTGAAGGATAATAATAATAAGTTAACAACGTCTGCGGCGGAGAACGGATTCGGTGGTAGGCGAGAGCTTGCGATTGCGACGGAGACTGCCCAATCCGTTTTATTTATAAACTAGCTTATAACCCGACCCGTTGGTCAGAGTTAGCGGAGCCGAACATTAAATTATTGGTATGGACAGTAATAATGTTATTGGCTCATGTATATTGTGAGGGCAGCATCTCATTAGTCACTTGTCATTAGTTGGTAATGGAATAGAGAATAAGTGAAGTGAATTTGTTTCGGTGTTTAGAATAACAAAGAGGACTGCATAATTGAGACCTACTTCGAGTTAGTTAAACTGAATATCTAGCGTATTCATTGTATCTATACCAAACAGGCGAGGATAACACTTCAATTCGAATTGGATAAGAGATTTCCAGGAGTAGGAAAATCCCTTATAGTTGCAAAAGTAATTATAAGAAAGATTAAAATTTTTAAGTCAAAATAAATACAAATTTAAATATTCAAATTGAGACGAAGAGAAAAATGTTGGTGAGAATCCAAATGTAGCCTGTTTGCAAAATATACAAGCATGAAACACAGTTAAAAAGAAGAAAACATATGATCTACGTCCTTCTGGTTTGTTTTATCTTCCCACCATAGTTAGCATTTCCAAGAAAAAGAGAATAATAATAAAACGGAGGAACGTTGTGGAGCAATTGTGCTATGACATCGTGTTTTCTTTTATGGTGATTGGAAGATATGATAAACACATACAATCTTTGACAATAATAACATCAACATCAATGTTGTCGGTACTTCTGTGTAGTGATGGCTTAGGTGTGGATCCAAGAGTGGTCATAGATTGTAAAAAGGAATGCACACTCTGGATAGCATGTTGTGCTAAAAGATAAAGTGGTGAGAATGTTAAAAAAACACATGACGTTGTCTTCATGCAAATAAACCTTGTCATAACTAATAAAAAATTTCAATATAAAAAAGAGGATGGACTCTAATCATTACAACGTCCGAATACAACATTTCATCAACCAGCCTCAAACTTTCACTTGTCTATTCTCTAATCTGATAATTTATTAATGGTACTATATAAGTACTACGTAGATGATATATTCATAACAACATAAATTACATCTATTGTTCTCTAGATCTAGACCTAGTTCCACTGAATATATCTACATAAGTCGACCTGAAAAATAAGCAAAAATGTCCACAACCCGGTAAGAAAAAGTTGCATGCAGACTTAAAGATCTCTATGCACAACCCACATCACAAGAACCAGTAGCAAAAATATTTTCAAACTCAAAAAAGAACTGAAAAATTTCTCATTCTTGGAATTAATATCATGCAAAAGACACTCACGTAAACAAATGCAAGTCTACTTTTACTGAATGTTGAAGCAGCCAAAAATTGATTGCGAAAATATTGATATGATAGAAGTTAAAGGTTGACGGTAATCCAATTTTATCCTCAAATCCTCAAAATTTTGCAGATAAGAGAAGTAACCTTAGCATATGCATTCAGGAAGGACAAGCTAAAAAAAATAAGAAACCACTTGCAAGGAGCGAAAGGGATAAGCTAGAGGAGGGGGGTTTTCTTCAAATATCTGCATATGCATATTTCTGTAATTCAAAGAGGAGCAGCTTCATATCAGTAAACTACATGAATGTCAATAAGCTAGATCAATTCCACTTGAACAGTAATCAAGTAGTCAAACTATACATTGTGTCAAATGATATAATGTTCATACTATTTATAAGCGAAAAAATAGATAACGGTCAGAAAAATAATAATACTGAACTCAAGGGAAGTTACTATAAACCACTGCTGTATGAACAGCCCAGAGGGCGGAACCCTGCTGACCTCGAAGCCAGCAACTACACCAAAGGCTTTGAAGAAGACAGTAGAACCCTAAATTTAACTACAATAAAGCACAAATTAGTATGATTTTTGATTTGTCTGAGAGTCAACTACAAAGAGAGAACAATTGAAGCATATCTAAAATGCTCCAAGCAAGTTGAAGGCAAATAATAACTTTAAGATTTGGTCATTATAATAACCTTCAAGTATTGATGCTTCTGAGAACTCTGCTGTTGGCACTGCTCCATCATCAGTTCTAGCTTGCTCCGCCTAAGCTTGCTCTCTCTCTTCCGTAAGGCTTTCGCAGCTGATCGAGTAGCTGACTTCTCCGCAGCTTCCGTTACTTCCCTCTCCAGGTGGTTGAGCAGATGCCGACCGATCCTCCCTCCGATATCTCTGACAATTTCATCGGTCTGCATTTTCACAAATGTCGCCAGTTGCTTCTTCACGCCATCAGCTTTCCTCGACCACCGCTTTTTGCTCTTTTGAATGTTTATCCGCACAGTCTAATCCATCATCCGAATACTCCTCCACGGTAGCTTTGATAACTTAACGATCAAAGCCCGCGTAACCAGCATTACCTTGCAGTCCTTGCTCCTCCGTTACCTACATTATCACATGGCAGAGGTAAAATTAACAACAAAAAAACCAATGTTGATGGAAGGAAAAACACAACCAGAATACCACAAGAATACATCCAATGCAAAATGGCATACCAACTCTGGTGTTTGGACACCGGAGAAGGATCCATCGGCTGTTTAGTAGGCTAATTATAGATGCATGGATTAGGCGTCAATCAGAGAGGGTAGTGTAAACTCCACTTGAAAACCTAACTTCAAATTAGATTGATTTCATACAAACAGCTACTAAGTGCATCCAAGCATATGAATCTTTGTCCATCGCACATCTATTTTTCAAACAGAAAATCGAGAATCTCGCTATAGGTCAAGGATGCAACATGGACATATCATTGAGATTTGAGAATCCTAAACTGAAAGAATGCAGATACCTTGAGGAAATAAGTAGAAAGCAAATACGATTGAAAGCAAATAAAAGTAGATATTTACCTTTCGATGTTCAGTAGTCTGGGTCTGTTTTCCTCTAACTTTGGCTCTAGGTACATCAGGGGGACCATCGTCATCCTCTGGATTGTCCCCTGGACCATGATATGGTGTGATGCTTGCGCCCTGAACCACGATATGGTGTGTTGAGCATCGCACATAGAGAGTTCAGCCTTCAGTGTTACTTCTTCCAATGCCACCTCCTTCAAAGTATTTACAGCATCAGGCCAATCCTTCTCAATTGCTTCAAGTTCTTTGATAGAAATGCGAGTCACACCGCTCCTTACTGTCATCCAATGGAGGTAGGCTTCTGCTCCAGCTTTGCTATGAGCACGACACAACACCCTCTCTAGCTTGTCGACCGTCTCCATCCTAACACAATCACAACACCAAGAAACCAAAAGAGTGAGAACTTGACCTGAATTAGACGAACATAGCATAAAAAAAAACCGAACGCTAGAATTGCTTCTCCACGCTAGAATTGCTTCCCCCCAATGACCATTTGGTTTATTGTATGTAATCCAAAGTTAATTATTGTTTTCTTCTCTTGCAAAAATATCAGCATTGAGTGGATGATACTTATTTCCTATAAAACTTTAGAAAGTAATATATAAGTTAATGAATAAACGTATATAGCTTATTATTATATAAAAAACAAAAAAACATAACATTTCTCGCAAAATAAGGTTGTTGTGTATTGATCTCCAAATCTCGATTGAGATTGTCTCGATGATTTCCTATTTATTCACCAATGTCATCCTCATCATAGATATTTCTTCATAAGATTCAGTATTATTAATTTTTTCCCATTAAATCCAAACAAAACTAAGAGAATTGTGCATTAAAGTAATAACTAGAACCCCAAAGGATTAACCTAATGGTATATGGAAGTATAAAATTCATCATATAATGGATTCAATTTTTATGGCTGATAATCATAAAAATGTAATAATTAAGAAATTATAAATTTAAAATATTATTTCATTAGTAACTAATGTATTTTCTCCAAAAATAGTTATGGTTTCTAAGAACTTGTGTAACATATGATAATAATCCAAGGCTATTATTAATGTCAAAATCTCAAATATTCAACGTATGTTTGTAGACTTTTGATGAGATAATCACTCTATGCCTCACATATACAATAACTTGTTGTGAAAACTGAATTTTCTAAAAAAATTATAATTTTAGAAAAAATTAGAAAAGATATGATATTTAAAAATTAGAAAAAAAAATACAAAAGAACTATATGGGGCATTTGGATCATGGATTTTAGTGTTTAGTTTGATATATAAATCCAAAATTATGAGATCTATTTAACTCTTCCATTTGAAGAACATAAAAATGTATACAAAATATGTTGTCCAACATTTAGAAAGTTCCCCCCTAATTTTTTGGCATCATGAAAGACTATGTTTTATTTGATATCGTTTTAAAATTCTAAATTATTTGATTACTGAAAGACATGGTAACCCGATTTATTGACGAACGTTCTTACGGTAAGTAAAAATAAAAACCATGCAAGGAAATTGGCTTCTACAACTTAAGAAGACCACACTATTTGCTCCTCGCTATTTAAACTAGTGCAAATTTCATTTTGTGGAGTTTTTTTGTTATTGTTCCGCCATCAAAAGTAGCATCATCTCCACCAATCACAATACCTTAGACTTCCTTAACGAAGCCTTTATCTTCACAATAGGCTTTCCTTCTTCTTCTTTTTAATATGAATTTCACATGAAAAGCCAATCTTTAATGGTCAAATGTGTGAAAATACTAAACATTAATTTTCACACAATAAAATTTATTTCGTTCAAGTCGTAAATGTTTTTTGAGATTTGTTCTTTCCCTTATAAGTAACCCAAATGCCAACACATAATTTGATAAACTAATAGATTGAAAACTTAATGACTAACACATAGGGGTATTTACAATTCTCTAATAGATACGTTTTTTATTATATAAAGAAAAAAAAATCTTTTTAGTTGGCAACTCTCTTTAACTCTAAGTTATATGAATCAATTTATGAAATGTAATATGGCATGCAATAATGCTTGTAAGGTCCAACAATATGAGAAAATTACAGTAATTGATCAAAATGGTCATATAAATTTGTTCCTATACCAAAATGGTTACAAAAGATTAAAAAATAATAAAAATGTCATGTATAAATAATGATATAACAAAACAAATATTTTATTTTATTAAAATACTTGTAAATCCTCCTATTAAGATTTCATGAGAACCAAGTAAACTTTACTATATGTTACTCAAAGATATAAACAACAGGACGAAAAATATAAAATTGAAAGGGTTTAATTAAAAGAGCACTACTTGGAAGAAAGCACAGCAGAATGAAACAAATTGAAAATATTTATATGATAAACAATTGAAAATAAAAGAGAATAATTTTCTGTTTAAATATGGAAGATGACATTATTATCCTTCCTAGACTCACGGGGAGAGCAGGAAAAGTTGAACGAATGCATTCTTGACGTAGAATCTCCTTATATTAGTGTTGCGACTAAGTTGTCTTTTCTTCATTTGGTGGAAGGTTATTTTGTAGTTAATTGAATTTTTAATTTAAAATCAATTAGATTAGATAAGTGCTCGAATATTTTTATTTTTATGTGGGTATGTAAAGAGGTTTAATAAAAAAGATGGCTGAGGGGGGTGTGCAGACGAAGTAGAAGTGAAAATCATTGATTTTTAAGTTTTTCATTTACGCAACGAGCGATTCGGGTTCCTTATTCTTTTCAAAAAACCAAACAAATAGATTTTCCTTTTACTGTAAACATTTTAATAAACTAGGAAATCCTCAATGTATATATACAAGCAATAAAAATAAATGTGCTTACTGCGAAATCAAATCATAGCGACAAGCTCAAGTAACAAATTCATCCGCCCATCGGACAGGCCCGAAGCTAATACTATCGGATGTTATTGGTGTTAGACATATCACACATTTAATCGGTCAACTATAGGAGTTGACTTCCACATCAGCTAAAGTTAACGGAATTGGACAGAAAGTGACCAAACTTGACATGTTTTACTAAACGTAGTGACCATGAACGGAATTAAATATTTTTAGTTACCAGATATGAACGTTTTTAGTAATCTCAGTGACCAATTTTGCAATTAACCCCTACTAGTAATAATAAAATCACTACTATCAGCCAAACCACTAGTAATTTAAATGGTAACGAATTTAATATTAATTTTCTTGGTGGAAAATAGGCTAAAAAATAGGAGAGAGAAAATATAATTTAGATTTTAATTATTTGAAATACCAAACATGCCCTTCATTACTATCCATCGTCAGATTCCACTTAAAAGAATGGACGGTGTTTATAGTAGTTAGTATGATGTTAACTCTTATGAAGTTAGCACTCTAACTCCTCCCATGTTGAGAGTCTTGTCTGTTAGAGTGTGATATATGATCCACGATTGAACCTCTCCCAACAACTCGAGTTATTGGGATCAACTGGTTCTTGACATGGTATCAGAGCCTAGAACCGAAAGGTCATGTGTTCGAATCTCCACAAGTCCCAATATTAATAGTTTATTAATGCAAACTTCAAGCCCGTGAGTTGGCTTTCGTTTGAGGGGGCGTGTTTACGAAAGTTTTAACATTGTTTAGAATCCAAATTAGTGTAATTACACACATTGAAACATGAAAATTGAAAAATAAAACCGATATCAATTGAGAATATGGGTAAAAGTTTTTTTTGTATATTAATGGATGTAAGAGGATCTTAGTCTTCATTCAAAATCAACCAAAGTTTCGTAATTCATATAAGAATCATGGGAATTTAAATGCCAACATAGGATTAGTTAGAGATAAACAAAGGAAAATCAAAGTCAAGAGAGTGACCTCTACCAAACAAGTAATTCGTATACTTGTTACCCTTTCTATAGATATGAAAAATATTTATTGTCCAATCCACTTAAGATATCTCAAAATATCTGAATAAGTAAAGTATGTCGGTGCTCCATTCTCGCTCTTGAAATTTCTGCACGGTAAAATCTAATAATAAGTCACTAACATAGTTTTCTCAACTCAATTTATTCGCTTACATGAAAATTGAAAAGCTCACCGTATTGCTGTCTAGTGATGTACTAGGTTTTGATTTTTAGGTTTGGCTCCGTACGGGTTGTAAATGTTTTATCTATAATTTCTTGGTACTCCATGCAATCTTTAGTTTTAAAAAAAAGTTTACATGAAAATTAATTTTAAAAGAAAAGATTATTTATTAAACTTAATCCATTCATAATTTAGTATTAACCGATTTTACCGGTAATTAGAAGAGGAAATTGGGAATGAGCTGAAATGAAATGAAACAGAAAATGGGACTCCAAGTCCACGACCTCAAAACTCAATCAAGCCAAGTTAAACCAAATCCATCCAGAAGCAAATCCTGAAGGAAAGATTGGAGCTTTGGGCGAGTTATCGACTTTTATCATGGTGGTCGCTATCTGCGTTTCCCAAACTATAGCCACTCCTTAAAACCCAATCCAAATGCTCTGGCCTCCTGCAAGCGAGTAACCATGCCAATTTTCACCCTCTCTCACGGTGGAGGATCACTTGCCAGCATCTCTTTTCTCTCCCAGCATCAGCTGTTCTTCAATGCCCGACAACTTCTCCGCCCATTCTCCAGCAGTAATCCCGCCATTGTTGAGTCATTTGAGAAGTACCCACAAGCTCAGACACTCACTTCTCACTGTCAGAGCCGAAGACTCTAATGGGTCTCCCGCCGCCGCTACTACCAGCGAAGCTGTCCTTGAAGCAGCCTGATGCTGATGCTGCTAAGCTAGCTCGGGTGCTTTCCTGTCACATTTTTGCCTTTGGGATGTTGATTTTGGGTTCAATTTTGCTCCTTTCCTCTCTAACACATGTTTTCTACAAAGAAGTAGAGATCTGCTGATTGGACGGCGGCTAGAGGATTGAAGGAGAATGGGGCAATCCATGTTGGCAGGATTGAGAGTTCTAATGCTGGTGGTTTACTTGTACGCTTCCATTCTCTGATGGGTTTCCTTCCTTTCCCACAGTTGAGCCCTGCTCACTATTGTAAAGGTAACCAACTAACTAACTCATTTCGCCTATTCTAAGTGAATACTACCTTTTAGTTCTGTTCTTCCCTCTCAACTGAGCATGGACTATTTCATTTATGTAGAGCCACACAAAACTATACATGAGATAGCCGAAGGCATGACCAATTCACTTATTAAAGTGAAGGTATGATCTTTGCCTTTCCTTCTATCTTCAAATTGGTGCAACATCAGCTGGGACTTTTCTTGTTGATGACTTCATCGTTCATGGTTTGTTTGTAATTAGATTATTGCAGCAGACGAGGGGAACAGGAACTTGGTTTTCTCCGAAAGGGAAGCTACATGGGCGAAGTTCTCCAAAGGTATCAAAGTTGGGGATGTTTATGCGGGAAGAGTAGGGTTGGTGGAGGATTATGGTGCCTTTGTTCACTTGCGTTTCCCTGATGGTATGCCCATGTCATGTGTTCCATCGTTTACTTTGGATAAATGGCATATTACTATCCTTTTCTAAATGGGAATTCTTGACAATCTGAATACGATCTGAAAAATGGACTTCAGGTCTGCATCATCTCACTGGGCTAGTACATGTTTCGGAGGTATCGTGGGATTTAGTTCGAGATGTAAGAGATGTCTTAACTGAAGGTCAAGAAGTGAGGGTCAAAGTCACTGAAATCGATTGGTAATAAGTTACATATGATCCTCCATGTGCCGTTTCTCCCACTCAGAGACTAATATGCTGAAATATGGTTGCAGGCAGAGGTCAAGGATTGCATTGTCAATAAAACAGCTAGAAGAGGATCCTCTGCTTGAAACTCTGGATAAAGTAATCCCTCAGGTAAGTAGAAAGCAGAGAAGAAATGTCAGTTCATATTCCTTGAAGCACAAGTCAAAAGGATTCTGATCAGAAGTTTCATGGTTTCCTAGGATGATGGTTCAGTTGGCACTGATCCTAGTGGTGTTTATAACGGCATTAAAATTGAACCGCTTCCTGGACTCAGCGATATATTCAAGGAACTCCTGCTCGAAGAAGGGTATGATAGCTTGCTTGCTTCTTCCCTTCATTGTTCTAGATGATACTGCACACAATGATTACTAGTCTTTTTTTTTATGATATTGTGAGCAGCATAGAAGACATAAGAATCAATAGACAAGGATTTGAGAAACGGGTAGTCTCACAGGACCTCCAACTTTGGCTCTCAAATGTGAGTCTTTTCGTCGTAATCACTCTCTTCTCTTCTTACCTTCTTGGTAGGTCTGATGAACTCAATTCTTGTTTGGTGAATCCTTGAACAGGCAGTGCCCGTAGATAGAAAGTTTATTCTCCTGGCTCGTGCTGGTAGGCAGGTAAGCTATTTTCTGTATTAGTTCGAGTGTTCACCAAAAACAGAGAAACCAAGAAATTAGTTGAAGGGAGTACTCAATTGATCCACACAAGCCTTCCTGCCTCATGAATCATGATGAGATCTTGGTTGTGATACAGGTGCAGGAAATCCAATTGACTACAACACTTGATCAAGAAGGCATAAAAAAGGCGTTGCAACATGTTCTGGAACGGGTTCCATGAGAACATGTGACTGGTACTGGATGGATTTATGCTTGATCACGAAGGTATCAAAGAGAATAGTACACCCATGGATTCATCTTCAATGGTGATATGTTTGACGAAAGGAGAGCCAACAAGGTTGATTATATGATGTATTGATTGTTCGTCAATTCCTTCAGTTGTGTATACAGCAAGTTTACGAACTAGTCACTGCGCCTTCTCTGTAATGTAGTTTTTTTGGTAGAGCATTTATGGGTGCACCAAACGTTTGTATACCTCAAATCAATTTATCATACAACAAAAAGAAACAAAAATTATGCACCATTACTATATTATGCACACATACTCAAATCCTAACAATCTGGATAGTCCAGCAGCGCGAACTTCACGTGCAACCCAATCTTCCCGCCGTCGACCACTAGCTTACCGGCTGTCACCAACCAATGTCCCGGTGTGTCATGGGGACCGCGAACAATCTCAGCTGTCTCCACATACTTGAGAAGCTTCCTCGAGCTCACTGGAACCGGAGGACCATCTGGATACACTCCAGAATTAAGGGCAGCCGGAGCAGCAGCCTGTTTGTCCTGGCCAGGTGGTGTTCGTTGAGTGAATGTGAATGTGGTGCTGATATTCGTGAGGATGCTCGTCTTGTGAGGCCCTTCTGGGACGGCTGCCCATTCGGTCTTCCGGATGCTGCAGTGGGGCAAGTGTGTGAACAACAGGCGCAAGTGGAGTACTGAGTTGGGCCATTTGCCTTTGCTTAGGAGCTGTGCGCCGGTTACTACGAAAACTCCTCCATCATGGAGCCAGGTTGGGTCGTGCTTGACCACGGAAGTGCAGATCTTTGAGTATCTCTTCCACCTCACAGGTTCCAAGAATTGGGCGCTGGATGGATACTGGTCGGAGCCTTGCCATTGGCATGGTCTGGAGATGGAGGCAGTGTTGGATGATGCTGTGTTCATGAGGTTTGGAAGGCTTGAGAGATGCTGGATATGTATAGCCAGCTTGTTGCATTTCTTCCCTTCTAGATACAAACGCAACCCTACCACCGGTTTTTTGTCACTTGAAACCTGAATCATCGACATAAAGCAACATTTGGTAAATATAAAGGGAACTCGTAGCATTTAAGCAGAAAATATGATCGCAATTTTGCATGAAAACTAACCAAAACAGTCACAAAGCACAAAGCAGAAGCAAATAGCTGTATTGTACCTGGGCAGAACTAACAAAAAGCCTGGGTCCCATAAAGCTGAACCGCAGAGATGGGGATGAGGCCTTCTTCCTTTGATGCCGTAGAGGTAACTCAGAGAACATAGGTGCCCACTGCTTTGGCACCTGGAACTCCAGAAAGTATTGTAGATCCTCTGGGGTAGGCTTGTCTGGACAGCAAGGGCAATAGCGAAGGTTAAGATGACAGTATGTAACAGTACTGATTACTGAGCGAGACAGAATTTAAGTCGAAAGATCTTCCAGAAGTTGGATAAAGAACGTCCCTTCAGCACATATGAACTTACATCGTAGATACAAGTTGATAGCATGACTAAGATAGCCACTGCCAGGGACCCCAGTAAGAAGAGAAGTAATTGGCACAAACTTAAAGAGGATTGCTTCTGGTTTTGCATGTACTGTTTGTAGCCAGTTAGAATGACTGTGAGAGAACACATCCCCTCCTCTTTTTGAACAAACAATGGTAAGCCCCTGTACAACAAGAAAATAGAGATTGATATAAAATTTATAAATAAACTTTTCGATCATGTTCAGGAAATGAAGGTACCAATCCTAATCACTGATTTTTACCTCCTTGCTTGATGTTTCTGTTATGCTGGTCAGTTGCATGGTGTTTGACTGCAGAATCCTATTGAAAACCTCGGGTACCTGTAGATGTTCAATGCCAAACATCAATCATGCATACGAAATGACGTATAGAAGCTAAGTTTATCAATGGGATATTTGCAGAGAATTGGACCAATTACCTTTTGTTTGCCATCTCTCGCATTTCTCTGCATCAGTGATGGACTTCTTTTATCTGAAAAGAGAAAATCTCCAAGATCCTCTAAATGCTTTCTGATATCGGCAGGAGCAATCGTCGACGAATGTTTCTGTCTAACACAAATAACATCCTGACCTCCAATTGCCATCCCTACAATTATGTGCGTGCCATATGTACAAATGAACCTGCCTAATAAATTGATCAGAATTCAATTCAAGACAGCAACCAATTTCCCACCAACTATGTGCAATAAAGAAGATCACATCCCAGTCTAGTAAACGCTGCTAAATGGCAGCAATGTCCTGACCGAGATATATGATCGAAGTATCCAAAGCTACCTGGATAACATAGCTGGATCCCAACGAGGCGGTACTGAATTCTTTACTTCATCTTGGAGCACCAGTGGAGATGCTGTTAGGTGCAAGTAGTACAAGGAGATGAAGTAACCATCAAAAGCAAGATACTTGGTGTCTGTGGCATCATGGAGCCAATCTCCACTCAAATCAAAGAGAGCATTGGTATAGCCAGAAGGCACTTTTCCTGGTACTGAAGATCTCTGATTAAGCAGTTCTGACATCTGAAAACAAAGAAAAACCAGTAAGCAGCAGCCTACAGAATAGTAAGAGGCAACACTAGCTTGACTGAACATGAAAGTTGCACACCATGCAGCAAAATTTTCAGAACTACTGCTACAACTACTTATTTCTACTTCAAAATTAAACCGGTTTCATGTTACTCGAACCCTCAAAGGAGAGGAAGGATCTTGAGAAGTCAAACAATCCCTTGCTTAAAAAAAGCATCATCAACCATTCAACCTAGTACCTTCCATCAGCCACTCTCTGATACTAAATTGCAACAAGACAAAGTATGAAAACAAAACTGGAAGAGTCTCTCAAACAGAGATTGCGTTCATACTCAACCACCTCATCCTATTCTGATCCCTCCCACGCACGGCAACAATAAGCACAGGGTGCCATTTAAACAATGGACAGAGATCTGCTAACAAGCATTAAACACAGAGCTGAGCTGACATTCTTTTTCCCTCATTTCTGGGGAACATCCCATCTCACATCCTCCCATAAAGATAGCCCCTTTCATGATGAATATGCAATTCCTAGCGCTACCCATAACCTAAAAAGTTCTAATTCTCCTAGTAGCAGAAGACCCTCCTAATCAAAATTCAACCCAATTCAACCCATCCACATATCCCAATTTCCAACTCCATACCGAGCTTAGATTCGAAGCTGGATCGGATGAAATGAATGCAAAAGAGAAAAGACTATACCTGATTGAACTCAAGGACGTCGGACTTGAACCGAATCCGGTCGCCTCTATCGACCCGAATGTCCTCGGAGACACCAGCAACGGTAACGCCGGCGCCGCCGGAGGGAATTACAATGTCCCTCTTGTTCCGGTCGTCGAGCGCGACCAGCCTGCCGCCGGCGCTCTTGGCGAACTTCAGCCTGAAGTCGCTGCTGAGGTCGAAGCCTTTCCCCAGGGCCTCCACCGCCCTGAGCTCTATCGGCTTCTCGGCCGGCGGCAAGGGCACGGCCTCCATGGACATCGGAGCTTAGAGATTACTGATTTATCTTTTCTTTGTCGATTATTCTGAGGATGAATGATGGGTAGTATGGAAGGAAGAAGAAGAAGGAGGGAAGAAATGGTTGGAGTTGGGAATTTGGGTTCTTTATATGTAAAATGAAAAAAATGACTTTTGCCGGGCGACGACGGCACGGCAACGCAGAGAGAGAGAGAGAGAGAGGAGAGACAAGGTGGGACCCATTTTCCGTTGACTGCGTGCAGCCTTCAGTGGTTGAAAGTCAACATTCAACAAATAAATCTGCTTGTTTGCGGGTTACCTACTTCTTTTTATTTGGTTTTTTTTTGTTTATTATCTGATTATTTAATCAATAATTATTAAAAATTAGATCATAAAAGATAATAAAAAATTCTATACAAATGTTAACGATGCAATTGAATCAACCTTGAAATCTACGGTATAAAGAAGAGAATCAACCTTGAAAATCAAATAGAATAGAGAGGTTAACAATACAAGAAGGTCAATTACAAAAAGTAATCAAAGGGTATTGGCAATTTGGCACGAGATATTAGGGAAATTAAATTATTGATCTCGCATTGTTCTTAATATTTATGTTATCTTCCTTTCCGTTCCGTCAACTTTTTGTAGATTATTTTTTATCTGATTGTTCATTTTTATTTTTGAGTTAACTCTGATTTGACAAAAATCTGGACGAAAGTGCGTAGAAGAATAATAAAATCGTAAATGTGAAACAAAATTGTATGTTTGCAACGGTATTGTATAGCTTTTAGTGTGGTTCTGCGGACTGCCAACTGAGCTGCCCATAGAGTGACACCTAAAGCTCTGTTGCTGTCCTCTTTAGAGGTAGCGTCCTTTGATTTTGTAGGTTGGCTTCACTAAGTGTTGCTTTGGGTGGGGTTTTGGGTAGAGGTTTCTAACTTTTTTTCTATTGTCATTACTTGGAAAAAGAAAAAAACGGTATCTGATGAGAAGCAATAAAGATGAATTGATTGATTCATTATGCGGGAAAAGAGGAGGAGTAAATACAAATAGGAAGAAGAGCTCGTGTGCGTTGAATATCAAAATTATTTTAAAAGGTTACAGACAACATAATGAACGCTACGACAACTACAATAATTGACATGACAACGAGAAATCTAACTAGTTTGTTTGATTGGAACGCCACAACAAAGAACTAACTACTTCGAATCAATTTGGTAACAACCTGAAACTCTCGTTAACTAATCCCAATCCCAATCCCAATCCCAATCCCAATCCCATATGGATTGAGATGGAAATGGACGTGATAATCCCCAACATTATAAGCTCCAAAATGTTAGTTAGCTTTTCAGTTTCTATTTATAAATTTTTGGTACCGCACGTGCAATTGTACCAAAGAATTTTACGCCAAACTTGTTAATCTCCAAATGGGACTCAATAAGAGACTAATGATTGACCTCTTTGGTCAAAATACGTTCACAGAGAATGTTCCAAACAGACACACCACACCAAGGAAAAATCCCAGCTACCTTCCAAGTCAAACCTTCAAAAATTCCCAATTTCATAAGAAGCCATCAATGAGCTCTCTCGCCATAAGTTTTCCAATGAATTAAAAGTTCGTCACATGAAGAATCGATACGATCATACAATACGATACGATACAAAGTCTAACAACTAACATTCATAACATCAATCAATCATACACCTGCGACAATTTTTAGCTTACACCAGATACATACAAGAAAAAGAACAGCACGCGGCATGGTGGCGGAAATGGGAACTCTTGGTCACGTTTCAGTACGAAATTTCATGCCTTTGCGCGTAGAGTACACTGTATACAGGCCAAATAGACTTTTCCGAGTCTTTTTTTCTTTTTCCATCCTATGCGGCCGGCAACTCGGCCAACTAACGGCGGAAAATTGGGCTGTCGACCGTTATAACAGAACAGACGAATCTTGGCAACATCATCGTTCTGTTGAAAGCCGGGGCGGCTCGTTTCAGTGGCTTAGAAATTAGAATAATGAGTTCGATTCAGAGACGTGGATATTTTACAAAAACAGCGTACTTTTTCCTTGGACAGGAACGAAAGATTAGTCGCCAAATTCCCCACTCACTCCACATAGTTTGGCCATGGCGGCTGCTGTTTCCGGTGATCGTAGCGGCAGAGCAATTACTAATCCTCTTCTGGAACGGGAGGAAGAAGATGGTTACCATGAGAACTGCCCAGGTTGTCGAGTGGATCGAATGAAACGGCAGCAGACGAAAACTAACTACCTTCACTTGTCCTACATCTGGACCGTTTCTCTTTGCACTGGTATTGCCTTCCTGTTCTTGGGGTTCTTAGTTCTTCCCTTCATAGGTTTTCAATTTTCTGTTACTTCTAGTTGCCCTTTTGGAGAACTTGGCGAGAGGAAAGGTGGATGCTTTTTGTAATTTTCCCCATAAGAGATCAGATGGGTTTCAGCAGTTTTTGGAACTTGTTCTGAGTTTTGAAGTTCATTTAGAGCTACTGACTAAACCTTTTGAGTTATGTTGACAGTCTGCACTCTGTGCATGGTTTCTAAATATGAGCTTGTTGCACCTTTTGATCTGTTTTTATGTTTGTTTGTCTGTCTCAGCTCTGCCAATACAGTCGCTCTTTCCATTCATATACTTCATGGTATGTGTGTTGATGAACCCTTGTCAATCTTGCATGCTCATATAGTTGTTGAACCCTGAGAATCTGTGGTTGCATGAATGAAATGTATCCTCTTTGGTCGGCTTCTGCTCCTGCTCCATTATGGTGACAGATAAAGGACTTCCACATTGCTGAGAAAGAGGAAGACATTGGTTACTATGCTGGATTTGTTGGTAATGTTTGGTTACTGTCCTTTTTATTACATTTACTTACTACATGTGTGCCTGCTTTGCTAATTGCTAATGACATGCTTATGTTTCTGCCTCAGGATCTTCATTTATGATTGGAAGAGCGCTGACATCGTTTCTTTGGGGGCGGGTAGCTGATCGATATGGTAGAAAACCTGTTATCTTAATAGGAACACTTTCGGTGTAAGCAGTTTCAACACCTTTTCATTGTTTAGGTTTACTTTCAGAGCGCATTTCATTCATCTGAACATGATTCTTGTGTGTTGTTTGCATTTGGGATCTTGCAGGGTTATATTCAGTTCTCTCTTTGGCCTCAGCACAAGCTTTTGGATGGCTATTTCGATGAGGTTCCTTCTTGGTTGCTTCAATAGTCTACTTGGCATAATTAGGGTACTAACTCAAAACTGGCATTTGCACTATTTATTTCTGTTGATTTCATATATATATACCCTACTGTCAAGTTTCCTGTTTGGTTGTTCCTCAGGCTTATGCTACTGAAGTGTGCAAAGATGAGCATAAAGCTCTGGCACTATCTATTGTAAGACGCGATTGATTTCTGCAGCTTGTCATCTGCAGCATATAACTTGTACAGAAGTTCTTATATGAACTTGTCCCTATGTCAGGTCAGCACATCCAGGGGAGTAGGAATGATTATTGGCCCTGCTATTGGAGGTTTCTTTGCTCAGGTTCTTGACACATCTTAAGAATGATAGCATTCATACATTTCTCTAATCAGTTTGCTCGATTATGGAGCGCACAAACTGATCAATGCGACCGAATGATAAATCGGCTTTTTCTGTTACACCTAGCCTGCTGACAAATATCCAAGTCTATTTCCCCAGAACTCTATCTTCAGGAGGTACGTTTTTTCATATTGAAATCATATTTGCTTCAACTTTATGTAACGGTTGAACCTTTACACGAGACAGCTTGCAGGTTTCCATACTTCTTACCATGCTTTATAATATCAATTTATTCACTGGGAGTATTCATAGCTTGTTGGTGGATCCCTGTAAGCTGCTTACTTCTGATGCCTAATGGTTACCTGCTCAAAGCTTGTGTGGGCTGCTATGGAATCTTGATAAATTATTTGTCATAATGAAGGAGACATTGCACATACATGGCAAAAAACTGAATGAAAGATGTGATTCACGAAACATCACGAGAGAAGACTCTGCCGAAGAGTCTACTGTGAAGAGTGATATTGAAGAAGCGAGTAACATCAGAAAGCCCCGGAAAGCAAATCTGCTGCGAAATTGGCCCTTAATGTCCACCATCATCGTGTACTGTGTTTTCTCACTTCAGGAGATAGCTTACTCTGAAGTAAGTCATGGCAGTGCATTGAATCAATATGATCAAGCAGCAGTTCCTATTCTTTGTAGTTGAATTTCAGATTCTGCATCTGTAATTCTGTATGCAGATATTTGCACTCTGGGCAGTTAGTGACAAGAGCTATGGAGGATTGAGCTTTTCATCACAAGATGTTGGTGAAGTTCTGACCATTTCTGGTGCGTTTTACCATCGCATGGTAGGTTTCAAACACCCTTTGCACATTCATGTTAATGAGATTTTTGAGTTGACCTCATCGAATAACCTTGCTTGTGCTCTCAGGACTTGGTCTTTTGATGTTCCAGCTTCTTTTATACCCGCCGATGGAAAGGAAGCTCGGCCCTCTTATGGTCACGCGCCTGTCAGCAGTAATGTTCCTTTGACCCACATCTTCTTCTTCACATTCATGGTTTTGCAACCCTCTACGAGAAAACCAAGTTTATCGTTGCTTCTTCTTGTTATTTCAGGCAGTATCAATACCTTTGCTAGCATGCTTTCCGTTTATAGCAATGCTATCTGGATTAGTCCTTCACCTTGTAGTAAACCTTGCTTCCATCCTCAGGAACACACTTTCTGTAAGTGGTGCAAGAAACCTCTCCCTGGCTAAGTTGAAATATCACTACTACTCATACATCAATATCTTCTGGATTCTGATCCTATTCTTGGGTTTTCAATGTTAGGTGTCTCTCGTTACTGGATTGTTCATATTGCAGAACGATGCTGTGGTACGTTTTTATTGATTCCCGAATCCCGAGTCATTTAAGTAGGGCAGTGCGTTTGATGTCATTAGCTAACTTCGTTCCATGTTTCGAAATGTCTCTCGACGCTCAGGCGCAGAGTGAGAGGGCAGCTGCCAACGGGATTTCCCTCACTGCAATGTCTGTTTTCAAAGCATTTGGTCCTGCAGGTGGAGGTGCCCTGTAAGTCAAGAAATTGTTCGGATTACTTGTAACATGAAGGAACTATATAACATCAATACCAAATGCATTTTCCATTATGGCACCATCGTTAGAATGATCAAGTAATAATTGAGCTGATGATGAATTCAGCATTAGCAACTAAACACCTTCCTCCTGTTGCAAATATGCAGCTTTTCCTGGGCACAAAAGCGACAAGTTGCCGCCTTTCTTCCAGGTATATACCGATAATCAACTTCTCAGACCGTTATGTTTGCGATCCTCCTATTTGACAAGCTGTAATCTTCATTCTTCACTGCAGGGGATCAAATGGTGTTCTTCGTCTTGAACTTGGTCCAAGGCATCGGGTTGATCCTCACTTTCAAGCCATTTCTAGCACAACCTAACCTGCCTTCTGTTGCAAGTAACTGATCCTATCGTATCATGGAAATGAGTTAGAAATGGAAGTGCCAAGTTCTTAGTTGGATCGGTAGCAATTGGCCTTTCTTGAAGCCTAAGCTTGCCTAATTCCCAGATACATTGGCATTTTAGCCATTGGCAAGCTGGGTCAGCTTTCTCTTCTGAATCAGCGGCCGCTGGTTTTCCTTTCATCTCTGTTGGTTTATACACCAGCCTGCAAAGTCACAAAACAAACAACCAAGCATGAAGAAATTAACCCTCACTATATCAATATCCCCTGTTGATCTTCCGTCAAAATCACAATTGAGAACAAGCGCACGAGTAAAAATTATATTCTAAATATTCATAATCAATAAATCCAAGTAAAATTATTCAACTTAAATCCTAAACTTATTCACAGCTTTGAATAAATCAATGTGAAAATAAATTCATATATACATGTAAAATTATTCAGATAAATCTGAGAATGGTAGGCAGATATTCAAAGAAATTCACAGAGCTCATTGCTGAACCACTGCAGCTAGCCAATACAGCTATTCCTCACAAAGATGAGCATTCATGGGCTTTATTAGAAAAGTAGATGATAATAAAAGGATGAAGCTAAGGTCTCACCTTCGCATTTAAGAGAAGGTATAATTCGTCTGATTACTGGCAGAACAAGATTCAGTCCCCCACCACCATAAGGCTCCCGCCAGAAGATACTTTTCATAGGGCCTAGACATTAAGGATATAATGATACAGAATCAGAATACATCAATAGGCCAAGCATCAAATTAAACAAAAAGACACGAATCCGCTATTAGTCCAACTTATAATTAACCTTGGGGAGTAGGAGGAATCTCTGCCGCCATTTCATGCACGACAGCCTGCATCAGCTCTACGTTCTGCCCATCAATAGCTAATCTATCACTTGTAAGAACATTCACAGAAGCTTGCAGAACATCATATTCATTGTCAAAATTTGGAGAACCAGGAACCAGCCTTCCTTCAGAAGCAATCTTTTTTGTTTCCCTCTGCTTTTGGCTAATCATTTGAATCAGTAATGACACAGTTGCTTTTGAAATGACATGATGTATATAATCCTTGTACATGGTTGATTTCACAACACGATCCACACTGAAAAAAGAAAACAAATACACAACATTAAGTTGGTAAATCACCTAAATGATCAACATAGAAATTGAACCAGCGTGCAGCTCATGAACAGACAGCTATCTGTTGGAGCAATTACACCAGCCACAACAGATATGAGAAGAGATATAACAGAAACGAGAAAATTAAAAAACACATACAGCATCCATGTGTGTATCATAGACAACTTAAATGAAGTTTAGCCTAAAAGAGAAGGCAAAGAGTTTGCAACCAAAACAAAATACTCAAGCAATTGACAAGATATGTATAATTTAATTGGTTATGATTAAAGTTTGCAAAATGCCTTCTCCGCAAAAGAGAACTTTCATCCTAGCTTTCTTGTTTCGTTAAGTAAACTCCTAAACTAAACAGACAAGCAAAAGCAGAAAAGAAGTAAATTTTTACAAGCAGAAGCAATCACCAATTATTGAGGAAGTGGAGGGATGGACATTCTGCATCATTGCTGCTCTCATGACAAAAGCTACTTCCACCGCACATGCCTTGCAACTGCTTGTAACTTGGAATTGGAGTAGCCCAACAAGAAAACCTAGGCAGGAACACCTGAAGATGATGGGCATCAGACTGCCGTTCTAGTTTAGCAAATAACGTGGGCTCTTCCCATCCCAAATCGCAGCACATCAAAGCATTCCTAGACTTATCAGCAACCCGACTGAAGAATACAAGTTCTGGCTTATCTGGATGCAGAAAAGGTTCACAACAGCGCTCAACGTCATATCTACGACGCAATGATGTCCTGTTCACCAACCCCTCACATTCTTTCCTCCAGGATTTACGGTCTTCTTCCAGTCTCCAGACGCTTGCACGAACAGGTAGAGTTCGATTTTCGAGTGCAATTACATGCAAGGCATCTTGTGAGTTGGAAATAAACCATGGCGCTTCCATAAGGAATGGAGAAACATCAATGGAAGTGGGAGGCATATCAAGGCAGAAAGGATTAAACCCAGCCACCAAATTAGGCATGTTATTGGCACGACTTGCACAATACTTCAAAAACAACTCCCCGTTGCATGAAATTACACTTCTTGGTCCAATTTTATCACAACTATCGAAGACAAAAGCCTCCTTGGACCATTCTCCAGACTCGGAACAAAACACGTCTAGCTTAATGGTATTTTCTACACGGGCTTGATATATACACACCACCCGGAAGCGATGCTCCGAATAAATAAAAGATTGATCATCTCCTAGATCAAGCTTAATACGAGCACGGGGTTCACAAACTAACCTTGCAGCCGGCGAGTCATAATACGCATACTTCCTAGGCGCTAAAGGAAGAGCGACCCACTGCTTCGAAAACGGATTGCAGACCAAGTATGCCCTGCTACTCTCCTCACTCAGACGAGCTAGATCCAGGAACCCACATAAAACCAAGTCCTTGTTGCAATCCAAAACTCGAAGCCTGGATTGAACTCTACTGGGCATGGGAGGGAGAAAGCTGCGGATCATCGATAGAAGCTCGTATGGATCATCCGGTATAGGTGCGTGGTTCAGGCTCATGGTCTGGTGGTGAGAAACGAAAAGGCGGTTGAAGCCAGGACTGGAGATCAGGGAGCACCACGGCTTGCAGACCAGTTTACACAGGCAGGCGACTCTAGGGTTGGGGAGGCGTATCAGAATCTCTTGGAGAAGATCGGATGTGACTTTGCTGATGGGAGGAGGAAGGTTTGCTAACTCTGAACTGATTCGTTGTCGTTTCCCAGAACGCAGAGTCTGATCCAAATCCGAGATGCATTTCTCGATCGCCATGGCGTAGAGAAACAGACGGATTGAAGGATAAAAAATAAGAACAAGTTAACAACGTCTGCGGCGGAGAAAGGATTCGGTGGTAGGCGAGAGCTTGCGATTGAGACGGATGGTGCCCAATTCCGTCATATTTATAAGGCTAGGCGGCTGTTCCTTGTTCGGATAGGAAGGGTTTCCTCCTCTCGGATTGGTGATGTGGTACTCCCGGCCAATAAACACTCAACACATGTCCGTTTAATTTTTTTTTTTTTTTACAAAAGGATCTTTATTGAACTTTGAATAATTGGTTACAGAGAGAAAATAAAAACTTGACTTCAAAACAAGATCAAGGAAACAATGGAACCCAGGATGATACCAAACCATGCTAAGAAAATACAACCAGTGGAAGCACAGCACAGAATGACATCACTCAAAACAAACATCCAAGTTCTTGAGATAAAGGCAGAGCATTTATAATCCCTCTTTCTTCCAACCAAACCAAGAGCAAGAAGATCAGAACAGCTTGTCCGATCACAGCGAGATCCATGGCATTGGACTTGCAAGCCATTTGCCGTCTCCTGGGGAGTGCACAAAGTCATCCATCACAGTGAATCTCAAAAGAGATTGCCTGAAGGTGGAAGAGGTTGTGATGCAGAATGCTCCAAGCTGTGAAGGCAGAGGGGGCCGAGGTAGAGAGGATCGGTTCAAAGGGGAGCAGGCCTCCAAGTAGATCAACAGACCACCACAAAAGAACCGACTTCCACCGCAGCCACCGGAGATGACTCACCTCTTCACGATCCGACAACCATCCAAGCAACAACACCACCTTGGGGAGGCCAGAGGGGGGAAGATGAGAATGACTTCACCTTGTAGATGAGACCACCAACCTGGAAAGAACAGCCATCACAAAGCAAAGGTCAAGCTTCCCAAGCTGCAACCACCAGATCCTCAAACGAGCAAGCCTTGAAACCGCAAAATTCTAGATCTGGAAAGCCAAAATGGCTGGAGAAACTGAAATCATGAAGATGAAAAGCCTAGAAGCAAAGGCCTGAAGAACGAAAACAAGGCAAGCAAGAAAAGCAATAAAAAAAGAGAAGTTTGGGTTGCCGCCGGTCACCTGAAGCAGCCGGCGGCAGCCATGGAAGGCTGGAAAAGGAGGCTTTTTAGAGAGAAGGGAGAGTAAATTTGAAAAAGGTAAAGTTAGAGAGAGGAGGGCTATGACTAGTTGCTATATTGTCCGTTTAACTTCATTAAAGCATTTTTCTATGGAGACGTTTTAATTGAGATTTAAATTTTCCTTTTATGTTAATTACCTTTAATAAACAGCCACCAAACTTCGAGACCCCCTTTTCCGGCCCGTCAATTTTTGTTTTGGGAGGAAGAAAAGGGTCGTTAGAAGCATCTTCGATGGTGATTTTGGGTTGACGATGAATTTGGGTTGGATATCATCGCATCGCGGAGACACCGATTCAGATCTAATCGTGCCTGGGGGACTGGACCAAAGTCTTCCCAGCGGCGGGGAGGAAGAGGTCTTCAACCTCCATTGGGTTTGAGATCATGGCGTGGTGGAGACACCGATCTGGATCTCATCGTGCTCGGGACTGGACCAAAGTCTTTCCGGTGGTGGCTTCTCGGCGACAGGGAGAACGAAGGAGGAGGCGAAAAGAGGGGCGATCTTCCCGGCGGTGGCTTCTCGACGGCGGCTGGGAGGAAGAGGACTTCAATCTCCGTTCGGTTGGATGATATCATGGTGGAGACACCGACAAAGGGGCAGTTTTCCCGACGATGGTTTCTCGACGGCTGGGGAAACGGAGGAGGAAGTAAGAGGGTTTAATCTTGCTTTATTGTGGGATTGGAGAGGGACTTTAATTGCACGAAAAATAAATTAAAAGTACAAATAGAAAAGTTTCCAGCAATAAATATATTTATCAAATTTTAATGACACGTGGTGGTTATTTATTGGTCGGGAGTACCACATCACTGATCCTACGTGGTACTCCCGGAGTAGCCAATAATTTCTCGATAGGTAGATAGATCTGAAAAAGACAAAAGGATTACATCTACACGTGGCCAAAACACTAATAGAGCTCACAGAATCCTCAAATAGACCGGTCACCAGACAATAACTCCCCTTCTCTTTCGTTATCCATTCCTGATTCATTCTCTCTCCTCCTTTGCAAAATCCAATTTCCATTTTTCCTCATTACATCAATCAATAGATCGGGAAGGAAAATCTGTCTTTCTTCTCGTCTCCGGCTGCCCCGCTGGATTCTGGTCTCCTCCGTCGTCTTCGTGGCAAATACACAACTCACCATTGCTGACACTAGAGAGCTGAACTGATCCACTACATGAACAGAGGGGAGAAGAAACAGAGAAGAAGAAAAGGAAAAGGCGCCATTTTTATTTCTCGTTTTCCCCTCAGAGCCTCGTACCATTGTTGTTATTATAATCGTATTCGGGTAGGTGGGTTTTGTAGGCATTGGATGGTTGTTTAATGGGCCGATCCTAGATCTGTCCGTCGCCCAGAAAAGCGGCGTTTTCCCCCCTTCTTTTGTCGCGGCCTCGCCGGCTTAAGGTCGTGTTCGAGTTACAAGGCAGAGAGGATTTTTAAGGTTTTTGCTTATACGAGGAAGAAGCGAATAGCCGAATACAGTGCGAGAAGGAAGGAGAGATGGGAAATGCTAATGGGAGGGAGGAAGGGGACGGAGAAGGTGCGGAAGAGGATGGATCCAATGGGGAATCGTCGGCTATGCAGATGCAGCGGGCGCCACCACCGCCGTCGCCGAATTCAAGCCGCCCAGCTGGTCGAGTTGGTTCGACGGATTCTATGCAGCCAATCAATAACAGTAGCAGTCCACCACATAGCCCAGCTCGCTCCGCCTCGCCTCTCTTGTTTGCTCCGCAGGTTTTGTTTTTCCCCTTCTTCTTCTTTTGGAGTTTCTCTCTGTTTCTTTCATGTTTCCTAGTTAATTAATCCTTTTCTTTTCTTACCTGTTCTGTATGCTTGCCAATTTGTGTAACGCTTTAATTGGAGTTATGCGAGATATAATCAATGCCTGGGATTCTTATTCTTCATTGACTGCTATGTTTCTTTTTGATTGGCTTGGTCTTAGTGAACCAGAAATCTACCCTTTTGGCTCATTTGAATTGTAAGAAAATGGAAGGAAAGAAAAGTTTCTCTCTTTGTGAACAGTACTCACCTTACTGTTCTTGACGAGTCCTTTAATTGGTATATTCATACTATCAGTAAAGAACCTGGAGGCAGTTCCTACTTCAGAATCTTGCCCTACTACTTTATTCAGCTTGGTTTCTTACTTTTCTGGAACTAGTTCATCATTTGGAACTCCTCTATAATGGGTTCTCTGAGAACAGTTCGTCCCTCTTTGACTTTTACTTTTTTCATGGTGGACTTTTTCATCTGTGCTGTTATTGGCAACTAGCTAATGAGCATGATCTGGATTTTGTGAATAGGTGCCTGTAGTACCATTACCAAGGCCTGATGGTTTCCCCCTTCAATTGTGGCGGAATGAACCTCAGCCCGTTGTTGATCAACCTTCTGTAAAGGCAATCCCAGCAATCATCACCTGGAACTACGGTGGTAATGAGGTTGCCGTGGAAGGATCGTGGGATAATTGGCAGACAAGGTAGGGTTTCTTATTTGCTTCTGTTCCTAACTCCCTCTATCCCGGATCTCATAGGAGGCACAAGAGAACAACTCACGACCTTAATTATCTTTCCCCTCCTCCCGTTGCAGGAAGTTGATGCAAAGAACAGGAAAGGATCATTCTATTCTTCTCGTACTTCCATTAGGGATATACCATTATAAGTTCATTGTTGATGGGGAGTGGAGATATACACCAGACCTTCCTTTTATAGCGGATGAGATGGGTGGCGTTTGTAATATTCTTGATGTTAATGTAAGTATCTTTATAAAGCCTTACACGCCTATTTTTAAAATTGTTGTCGAGTGATGCATAGTGAGCTACTGTAGACACTATGCCATAAACATATTCACCAAAAGATTTCAGTACATTAAAGGATACATCTGATAACCTAAATGAACTTGTGATAGAATCAAGCCATGATGTTCCTAGCAGTCTGCCAGAATCACATGTTGCAAAGTTAATGATGTTTGTTCGAAAGGCTATAGTTATGATCCCTTGTAGTGTCTAGGTCATTTGGATCTGTTTGGGATCCTTCTTTTGTCAATATGTCAGTTGGCTATGTGAAACTCCACACTATGTAGCTTATTAGCAGTGGGTGTCATTTAGCTTTTTATGCTTGGGATCCCTTTATTTATCTTCTGTATAAGGAAGTTGCTATGGAGATTGATCTAATAAGCCATAGTCTTTGACTTTCCCCTAAAGCTTAACCACATCATGTCACCCCATAAAACATGAAAAAGGTGAAATAAGAAACATATCTATGTTTCTCTTCGATTTGTTTCGTCTGATTGATTTGTGTTGGTATCCTAAGGACCATATCTTTGTCTCGCATCCTTGCAGGATTATGTACCAGAAAACCCAGAAAGTGTCTCCGAGTTTGAAGCTCCAGCATCACCGGACTCGAGTTATGGCCACACGTATCCATCTGAGGAAGAATTTGGGAAGGAGCCTGTTGTGGTTCCCCCCCAGGTGCATCTTACTGTCCTTGGTATGGAGAACCCAGTTGAACCTGCTTCATCATCTTTTTCACCTCCTCCTTCAAAGCCTCAGCATGTCGTGCTGAACCACCTCTTTATCGAAAAAGGATGGGCTGCTCAATCACTGGTTGGTCTCGGGCTGACCCATCGGTTCGAATCCAAATACATCACTGTTGTCCTTTACAAGCCATTGAAAAGGTAGCACTCACCATTCGGTTTCCCACGCTTTTGAACATGTAAAACCCAGACAGCTACTTTTTTGATTGCTTACCTGGTTCTTTTGAAGGATATCTCTGTTCATAGTCTGCTGAACTTTTTCAGCTTATTGTGACCATGTTGTCGACTGCTGTGCTGTTTTCATTTGTTCAAGCATTTTGCTTTTGAAAGCATGTTTCCTGGAAGATGGTAACCCTTTTTGTGTAGAGAAAGAAGCATTGTAAAATTCGTAGTTACTTTGTAGCAGTTCTGAAATGGAGGGAGGCTAATGTCAGCCATTGATGAGAGCTTGGGGAAGGCTGGAGCTTGACCCTCATATGAGAGAACCATCTTACTACTAACCAAGTGATAGAAGATTTGGTGGAGACCCTGAATGTTTGAGAGAGGATAAGGCAGATTTTGAATTGTAATGGTGTCTCTTCTCCACGTTTGGTCACAGTGGAGAATAGCTTTTGTTGTTGCCGTTTTTTGTGGTGAGAGGAATTTGTGGTTTCACTTTGCCTGTGGGATGCTCTGATGATCCTTTTGTTGTGCTGATATTCCGTGTCAATGTATGGTTTTTCTCTAGGGCTGGGAAACGGTGCGGTCTGGTCCAGACCAGACCATATATACGGTCTACGGTCCAGACCGAGAGGCTAAAGTATAGACCACAGACCAGACCACAGACTATACGGTCTGGTCCAGACCACGCCTGTGCGATCTGGTTCGGTCTGGTCTGGTCCAGATAGACCACACTCAGCGAAAAATGAATAGTTTGTTTAGTCAACCACACAAAAAATTGAACCAATAACCAAGAAAAATAATTGTTATTTGTCTTAAAACATTAATCCTAACATGCATGAATAATTTTGATACTCTAAATCTTAGTACATAACAAAGATACAAAGTAAAAGCATCCCAGCTTGCACCATAATGTCATAAACATTAACATAATGTCATATGGAGACACGATTATCTCTACTCTGTGGTTAAATGTGGTTGTGAATGAAGGAGGGAAGAGATTCACAAAATTAAGGTTGAGACTTGGGTGTCGTTGTGGGAGTTTGGAGAGTGGTCGAATGGGTTGTTAACACGTATTGACAAGTCAGTTGGGTCTACGGTTTGGTCCGGTAAACCGCGGTCTAGACCAGACCAGACCAAGAGATCAAATCATAAAATAATACAGACCATGGACCAGACCATACCATACTTCACGGTCTACGGTCCGGACCAAACTGTGCGGTACGATTTAGACCATGGTTTTTCTAACGGTCTTGTCTATTTTCCCAGCCCTATTTTTCTCTATATAAATTACACAACCATGGGCCATGTGAGCCCAGTCAGTTCATTGTCATCCCCCAGGATTCTGATTTATTTATTATGTGAAAAATAAAAAATGAGCCATCCATCATCTGGTTCGTTGTCTGCACTCTGCTGGCTCCTATATTTCTTGACAAATTGCAGTGAGGGGTCAGATTTGGTTCTGGTCTAGTGCGATCTTTCTCCATTGTTTCCTGCTGTCTTTTATCCAACGGTTGCTTTCTAGTTTATGAGCTTCACTGCGACAAGCCAAAGTTTCATTTAAAAGAATTGATTCCTCCATCATCTTCCTACAGACACCCTATTGGACCCCTTCCAAAGGGAGAGAATAAAATCAAGAACACAAGCCCATGTTTATCTTCAACCCACCTTGTGGGAAAAGAACAAGATCTCATATGGTTAGTAGGGTTTTGTACCCCATGTCCCCATGGTAACAAACGGTATCACCTCTTCATCTTGATCCGAGTTTCGCAACTCCGGACTTCAGATATATAGTGTGCCCGTTCCTGGTGGTCATGCCTTCTAACTTACAAACTTTTGGATATCTAATTTTCGTGTCCTTTTGTTGGATGGCAATCAGGATGAGTTTCGATTAGTAGAGATATAACAATTTTTTCTTTGATGAATTGTGAATAGTTGAGATATAACAGTTTTTTCTTTGATGAATTGTGAAAAGTCGGAAATCTAAGCATAAGAAATAACCCGCATGTAAAATACGTATTCTCATTCATAATCGGTTCCCTTTCTTTCTCCATCATAAGCATGGTGATGTCCCGCCTATTAGGCTACCACATAGAGGAGAGATGGCACTCTCTTGATCACACACAGAAATGCGATTCAAATGTAGTTCATCTTTTGGATAATTGAAAGAGAGCATTTTTCAGAGACCCCCAAGAACAACCAATTGCAATAACGGTTGAAAATATCATTACTAGGTGAAGTTTCATTTCACCCTTCAGCTATCTTATGGTGTTTCGATTTCGTCTATCTGATGCTTTCCCGTGGGAAAATTGTGCTTTTGTCATCTTCCTTCAACCAGTCCGTTCTTGCCCCTCTTCTTCCACTTGATTTCTTTCTGCATCATGATCTCATCCAACTCTTTCTCCGATACTCTTCTTCTGATCATTAACCTCGAGTTGAGAGACCCTCAAGAACAACGAATTACAACAACGGTTGAAAAATATCATTACTAGGTGAAGTGAGACGTCGTCAACGGGCTCCAAACGACATCAGCAGGTATGTCCTCTGACCGAGAGATCAATGACATTGGTGGTGTCAGCACGAAAAAGGGGTAGATCCACCGTCCCTCCACGGTAAAGAGAACAACACCACTCCTTAATTCATTTCCCCCCATAAAAGTAACATTTTACATACACATTACATAAACACACATCAAATGTACATAAAAATCCACACCATAAGACCCTCCTCCAACTCGCCCTCCCCCCAAACCCTAATTTCCTTCTCTCTTCATCCCCTCTAAATGGCATCCATTTTATTTTACAGTCGTTGTCTTACATTTTGCAGCCATTTGTAAGCAGCCAATTGGCTTACTTGCTTGCTGTGCATATAAAAAGAAGGCCTTCTTCATGCTTACTTTTGCCACAAGTTATGATTCAGAGGATTACACAGACCTTCCAGCAGATTTTTCTGAACTTGACCCTTTCGTGTTGCATGCTCTCGCTTCTCCTTGCCCTCCTTCTGTACCAATCAATACAACAAGAGTGGTTGTTGTTATTTACTCCAAATCAATAATGATAATAATAATAATTTGGAAAGAGACTGATAATGATAAAGAGTTATGTAATTGCAACTCGCAAGTAAGTAACTAAAATATCATTTGACAAGTCAATCTTTGTTGGATTGTTTGTGTCCCAATCTTGACACCCGTCTCGATTGTCAATTCATGGAGAAAAAGAAGACATTGTCAATTCATATATATGCATATGCCAAAAACACATGTAAGTGAGGCGAAGAGAAGAAAATGGGGACAGATTTAAGGATATGAATGATTTGGGCCACATCTTGTTGAGAGAAGAATCTCTTTAGAAAGATGAGAAATGGCAGGTGAAAAAGATCGATGAAGGTAGAATCTGTAGGAGAAAAAGATGAATAATGATCTTTTAAACTAATAGAGAATGAGGAAAAAATTATATCGATTGTACTAGATAAGGAATAATGTTCATGTGGTGCTAAATTGTTGTTTTGTTTCTATAACGACGAGATTCGGAAGTTATTAAATCTGTTCTTGTTTGTTGCGCAAAAAAAAAAACCCCCTCAAAATTATAAGCAACAAATGCATTTTTTATTTTCTTAGGATTATATACGAAAACAAACTACCTTGTTCCGTCTTGTTGATTTTACGAATCATAAAGTGTCAACTTTTGTTCTTTGCGTCGTTCAGTTAGTTGGTTTTTTATATTAGGCATAAGTAAGATATGTTGAAAAAAATATGGAACGAATTTGATATAAGGGGAAAAAAAGAGATTATAAAGATAGTGATGGTGGTTGTTTTGGACTTATGCCATTTCCCTCTCACCCTTCAGTCTATTTATCGCACGGCTTAGTTAAGAAAATGTGCATAAACCAATTGTCATTTCCAGATGCGCAGAGAGAAACGAGATTTTAGTTGAAATATGTGCATAAACCTATTGTCACCCCTGACGTGTGGAGAGAAACTATACGAGAGATTCGATAATATGTCAATCTGTGTCAAGCGAGGCCTCCGATGGCTTGAAAATACGTTGCAATTTGTCGCCGAATTTGGCTCCGTAACTCCGAACAGTTCACAGGGCAAAGGGGGAAACCTAAACCCATAAGGATACGAGTGACGGCAACTGGAGAAGGAAGGTTTTGAAACACCGAAAGGAAAGTTTTAAAAACCACTTCAAAAGAAAAAACGAGCAATGGACGAAGAGCTGGTGTGGGTGGTGATAGACTTAAAACAGGGCTGGATGGATCAAACTGAAACAAAACAAACAAAAAAAGAAAGAAGACCACAGATTTAGAGACTGTTTGTTTGAAAGAAAACCAAAGGAAGTGGCAAGCAATTTGTACCAAGAGTCTCACCTATAATACAGGGAACCGAAGCGAACCCGACTGATGAAGATGAAGACAGAAACCCAACTCAACCATGATGTTTGAAGAGCTTCCAAATTTAAAAAGACTGTTAAAGAACACAGTGGAATTCGAAACAAAGTGCAAAAGAGGGGAGAGTGAAAATGTAGAAACCATTTTTAGAATACCCTCGGGGAGTATAGAAGGAGATCAGCCTCGCCGCCAGCTAACATCAAGGAAGCATAGGGAAGAAAGAACCCCATTGCTACCACCTTCAGCGAAGGAGCAAAACCGAAACCGAAACCAAAACTGGTGGCTATCTGTCAAAACCAGATCAAGGACTCCACAAAAACCAGTAGCTACCAAATTAGACCAAAACCCCACACCATTTACCCTGGAAGACTGGGCGTCTTCACAATCATTCATTCATATCATATGTCTAGTCCAACAGGCGCATCAAGGTGGGGTTAACCAAGACGAAAATCAGTTCCAAAAGCAGCAAAACCAGGAAAGAGAGAGATGATAGGACCAAAATAGAGTTCACAGTTTGGAAATATCAACAAAAATTAGTCAATCCATAAGCCAAAAAGCATCCAATTATCCCAATTGTTCTAGGTTCATGGTACCAAAACGATAAGCAAAAACATTATAACAGGAAGAAAAAAAAGCTAGCAACAAAGCCCAGACTACTAAACCGAGGGAACAGAGCAGACAAGTAGAGACCCAGCAAAGAGAAACTGAACACAGAAATAATGCAACCAAAGATAAAACCAGACCGATCAACCGGAACCAAACGCAATTGACATAAGAGTCCTAATGGTAAACTGGAAATTCTCATCATCAAACTTATCTGCCTTGTTCCCTTGCATTTCCTCCCCCCTTTTTCAAAATGCTTTTTTGGGTTTTTTGTGATAAGAGTGTGGGAGTAGTAGGTAGTAGTCCTCACTTGGCCATCATGACTTTGACAAACTCCTCGTAGTTGATCTGGCCATCACCGTCCACATCAGCCTCACGGATCATCTCATCGACCTCCTCGTCGGTCAGCTTCTCCCCGAGATTCGTCATCACGTGACGGAGCTCAGCTGCAGAGATGAAACCGTTCTGGTCCTTGTCGAACACCCTGAAGGCCTCCTTGAGCTCCTCCTCGGAGTCGGTGTCCTTCATCTTTCGGGCCATGAGGTTCAGGAACTCGGGGAAATCAATGGTGCCGTTGCCATCAGCATCGACCTCGTTTATCATGTCCTGAAGCTCGGCTTCAGTTGGGTTCTGTCCCAGTGAACGCATCACTGTTCCAAGCTCCTTGGTGGTGATGCAACCTGTAATAAAACACATAAGGATTATGATTGTGTTAAAACTCAAATAACTGACAGAGTTCATCACCTAAGCAAATATAATGTTTCTATATAAAAGTTACACACCCAATAGAAGCAAGTAAATCAGAAGCCATCACCGTGAACAAGGATACCCTGTAAGGTCTGGCAGATTTATGAAATAAACCTCCGAGTAAACTCAGGATTGAAGTCTTAACCTAATACTCCAAATGTCCATCTGTTACATCAGCAACATTCAAACCTCCCACCCAACACATTACTATCAAAACTACCTAGGGACGAATCCATGTTAGCGTTCATTTTTAAAGTTCTCAACAAAGGATACCTCCGGACAGTGAATGAATGATTGGCTACAGAGGCTGTAATATCAAAACGCTAACCGTTGACCTAATCATTTGCATCTCGTGACGAACATATGCAACACAATTCCAATCACAGCCAACCTTCATTTCGGGATCCAGAGCGAAGGGAGACTACCATCGTGATAGTCTTGATGAAGGAAAAAAGCCGTATAAGCGAGTCAAGATCACGAAGAAACCCTAGGGGGGAGATAAGGCGGTAATTCGATCTAATCCAAATCCCAAATCCTAACAACACAAATCATTTCTATAACCAGAGAGAAGGAAGCCTAGCTAGGGATTCACATCTCAAATCAAACAATCAATCAACACAGCTAGAAACACCTCGTGGTTCAAAGCAGCCAATATAGAACCATAAACGCGGGAAAATAGATCAGGCACGAGATCGACCAGCTAAAACACGGGAAAACGAAGGCAAACCACGCAGACGAAGATCTAAGAAACACGAAACTATGGAGCAAAGAACAAACGAAAGAAGGGATCTGAGAGGGAGACCATCGCCGTCCTTGTCGAATAGGCTGAAGGCCTCCTTGAACTCGGAGATCTGGTCGTCGGTGAGCTGATCGGCCATTGCTGTGCGGGAAGAGAGAAGGAAAATTCAGGCGAGAGAAGGAAGGGGCGACGGAGGAATAATCCCGGGGGGAGAAGAGTCTGTCTGTCTCGCTCTCTTTCTCTTTCTTTGTCTATGGGGTCTGCGCTTCGGCTTTTGTTTTTTTTTTTTGGTTTTTAGAGTTTTTCCTTTTGTTTTTTTGGCAAGGAGAGAGGTTTTTGATAATTGGGGAATTGTATGGTGTGGTGGAGGATTGTCCTCGAGTGTCGAGACGGAAAATAAATAGGGAGGGAAAGAAGAAGAGCGAGGGAGAAGGTATGTTGGTGGGCCCATTACCCAGACCAATTTGGAGAAACTCATGGGCCCTTGATCCATACTCCGGGCTTCGGTCCGCCACCTGGCCCACTTCCCTTTTCTCTTTCTAATTGTTAGTTATTAACATTAACATACTACAAGTTGTCTCTAATTTACAGCAATATATTCATTAGAAATGGCTCACTTGGATGATTTGTTAAGTCATTTTGAATATTGTATTACACTTATCGTAACAAATTTATTCAAACCAATAAAAAACAAAAATAGAAATCTACAGTTTCTCTAACTAAACATACATAGTGATTTCTGTATCAAATAACCTTTATCAGCTCTCAAGCAACTCCCATAGATCAATATTGGACGAAAATCGTTACGAAATTTTTCTTGAATTCTGTTAGATAACCGTTTACTAAACATACATGATACACGACAGAATTTAAACAAATTATGAACATAAATCTTACAAACTTTTTTTTTTATTTGAAAAGGAAGGAAAGGAATAATCTTTTCTTCCCTTTAGATGCATTGCTCTCTGCTTGCATGGAATCGATACCAACATGTGTTTACAGGGAATGCCCTAAAAGGAATCTTTTTCGTACCAAAACCTGAAAGGAAGCTTTGATTGGCCGAACCAAAACGAAAGGAAAGGGATTGCTTTAGCTTTTCCTTTTGTGAAGGTGTTGAGAAGTGGTTAGGGGAAAGGAAGAAGCCATTTGATTTAGCAGTCGACAGACAGGTCGATAGAGCACCTCAGGAACTTTTCGTGTTAGTGGAGGATGTGAATTTATTCTCTTGTCATGGGAATCCTTCTGTTTCTTTGTCTTTACAGATGTGAGCAGGAGTGGTAATATAGTAAGCATATATGTTTGTTTTATATTAGCCTATTAGGTACAAGTTAGGTTGGAGTGGTATGAGATATGTTTTGTGACGGGTCAAAGGTCGTTCTTATATGTAATATGAAAAAAACGACATGATTTTTAGAGTGTTCGGTGGAGAACTTCGGAAAGCGGGAAATGGTTTCAAAGCGAACGAGGAGATTGAATGTTAGAAGAAGAAATTATATGATAGAGAAGGAATTAGAAAAACATCTTTGAAAGAAATACGTGTAATGTTGAATAAAATGCGGATAAAGAGAGCATGACAAGTCAAAGCAAGCTGATATTGAATATCTTGCCCTATATTGATCACGTATAAGACAATACACTCCCTAAACAAATGAGTATTTACACCTTAAAAATCCTTATTTTGACAGAGATGATTAAGTCGCATATCGAAATTGTCATCCACCCTCACATGGTCATATTATTTGCACCTTTTGGTAATGCTTTAGCTCCTCAGAACAGGCAAACTAAATAAGGAACTTACTCAGCTCAAGATGAGAAAAAATAGATGGAGTCTCCTTGACAAGTTGTTTGTGAATTGTAGACTAGCTGAATAGACAAAAATGTTGTCCACTTATCTCTGCCTAGTTTTATACACACAAAAGAACATGTGGCAAATAAGGTCCTGTATGCTTACATTTTCTTCCAATCCTCAGAGATACATCAACATCTCCACAAGAAGAAAATGTAAGCCACCTAGAAGGAGTTGTTACTCCGTCGCGACAGGTTCCAACTCTTTGTTTTCGGCATCAGCTGCTGCTGCTATCTGGAAGTGAGGCTTGGAGGGGAACACGAAAACAGTAGATGCAGCGACCGAGGGCTGAAATGCAGCTGAATATCTAACCGAAGTCACAGTGACTCGAGGCAGCTGTTGCATACCAGAACAGAGCGGCACAATCTTGTAAGAAACCACGTGTTCCGACTTTGGTAGTATGAAGGTGCTGTCAGTGTGAGATCCAGCGAGCACGAAGCTCTGTGCATCACCCAACGAGAATTTGACCTCCTGTAGCAGCTTGGTCTGATTCTTGATCCTTAAAACGTATGCAAAAGGATCTCCGAGGATGGCATAAGGAGGGCATTCCTGTCTCACCACCAATGGCGGCAGCTCAATGTTTACGTCTGGAAGCTTATATTTAGTCAGCACGCAAGCTTCTTGTGTCTCGGATTTCCTTCTCCATCTTAGAGCCACCGACCCTAGTACGAGACTCGATGATTCTACCTCAGGAACGATGGTGAAGACCTTTCTGAACTCCGCTCCTGGCATAAGATGAGAAATCCCTAACATATCTTCAGCTCCTCCACCTCCATGCTGAAGAGTATACAACCTTTCGTGGTCATCATCCATATCGATAGACATAGACTGCAACTCCAAGGGGACTTCAGAGCAGTTCTTAGTGCTAACAACTAGTACACTGGCTTCGTTCATAGGCAGGGAAGGTGACTGCTTGGAGAGTAACAGTGGGTACTGGTGGAATGGTAGCATGAATTGATGACTGATTACAATGCCGGTCTTTCCTTCTATCTGCAAGCTTTTGTGGACATGAACTTTCTGTGAGCTCAACTCATTGACATCCGGAAAATATCCAAGTGAAACGAATAGCATGATCGGTTTAGGTCGATTCCACTTGATTTCCAGCTTGCAGGACCATGATTCTCCATCTTTTAAAAATGGGACAGAGACCAAGCCAAAGGACTGCTGAATTTTCATGATTTTGCTGGAAGCTACCTGAGGGTCGTCCTCCGTATCTGTTGAGGAGACGCCGAGAAGCTGAACGTGATGGCTGCTATCTGAGGAAAGCGGCTCAACTTCCCTGGGACTAAACAAGCCGCCACCTTTGACATCTACCAAATTGACTTTCAACTCTCCCGAGAACACAGAGTGACCCTTGGAGGTCACAGTGACAGGAACTAAAAAGCACTCTTCGACTAGTGCGGGTCCCGTGGCACCAAGAACAAGATCCACCTGGGGGTCTGCTTCCTCAACCTGGGCAGCCTTTTGGCCGGAAAATGCCAGAGCAGGATCCTTGGTAGGGAAAGTCTGCACACGATCTTCAAATCTCCAAAGAGGCAAATCATCCATCGAGGCAGGACTTTCAGCTCTGCAACAGATTGTCAGGAGGGATCTCATTTTTGCAACCACGTATATGCACTCCAACTTGCCACTTAGTTCTGCAATTATAAAATTATATCCACATAACCATCAATGAAACATCAGAGTGCAAGTAATTCAGAATGTAGAGAGGTGTAAGAAGTCCATTGATGTTTTATGCCAAGAAAATGCCATACAGGTAGAGGTGGAATATCAACCCAACCCACCAACTAAAACACACCTGATACAAACCCATTTGACCAATATCCATTGGGTTGGGTTGACGGATTTCTGAAAAATAGTTACTAACTAACCAATTCATGCCTAGCACTTGAGTACCTAAACATTAACATATCCACATGACATAGTTTCTTTATCTGGGTTTCCACAAGCAAGGGCCACAATAAAGCGTGGTGGTTAAACATTTTCAACTCTGACCTAGCACAAACTTGTACCCTCTATATCAAAATATAAAGAGGTCAACTTGCATAAGAAAATATATAATAAAGCAGTTGCCGGAAAATGAATTAGTTTAGGAATCAACAGTCGGTTGTGTTTGCGCATTCATACACTTTCAAGTCTATGAGTAATAAGCTGACCTGATTGGACCTCATATGTCAAGCGTAGCCACTTGTGTGTAACAAGTGACAGAGAAGGAGCACGTTCCACACGTCGACCCTGTCGTCCATCAGTCGATGCTGGTCTTTGAGAATTCATGATAATGAAATTACATTCCGATTGATTAAACTGGAGTTCTAATTGATCGATGTCCACATTCATAGGTAATTGGGACAGAAGTGATACGGTAATTAAGGCAGGCACACCAGGTTTGATTATCTGTTCATGAAAGGCAACTGAAGCGAGCAAGACAACTCGTAGTGGGCTGACAAGATCTATCTCAAGATGGAGAGGACCATTGCAAGCAGTTTGGAGATCCAAATTATCTCCAATTGACACGGATCCAACTTCTCCACTGACAAGAGAGAAAACCTCCTTGTGTATATTTTCTCTCTGAGCAAGACTCGGAGGACCAGCTGGGCCACAATCTTTAGAATCAAAAGATTGGACACTGGTATCAGATGATACGGGTAGTGCAGCCATTTCAAGAGAGTATTCCACAAATTCTTTTACCATACCAGCTCTTCTAGCACACTCCCTGACGTAACCCAGGGCCTCCCACAATAAAGTCACCCATCCTTCCGATCTGTAAAGACTTGCAACATCATCTAGTAACTGTTTTGCATTTGTGAAGTCTGCCACAGTGTAATATTCCTTAGCCATCTGAAATGCACACAGAGAACCCATCCTCTTGGCCTTGATACCGGAGAATGATTCATGAGATTTTTTAAGAAGAGCAATAATTTCAAAGGAATCTTGGAACCTTTTCCCTTCGGCAATGGAGTAACGGGTGTATTCTTCATCAGTGAGACTGCAAAAAGGATGACCATGTAGACAGTGAGCAAACTGGATAAGGTAGAGAGACTGGAACGTTTTAAAGTTTTTCATAACTTACGGTTGCATAGCTAATACATTCTCTTGCTCAAGCAGCCGAGAGAACTGACCAACATAAACTGAAGGCGCTACAGACTCAGCACTGCCATCAATACCACCAGCTGCTTCCTCACTTTGCTGTGCAAGTTCTAACGCATTTCTCTTCTCCTTCAGGTAGTTAGCTGCTAACTGTTTCAACAATAAATGTATGTTATTCAAAAACCTATAGTGCCAACCTAGACGAATGTGTGCAATAACAGCATTGCTTATCACGTGAGACTTCCAACATTTTCTTATTTGATTAACATACATCTTATGAACAATCCGAAGCAGAACACAGATCCGACAGTTCCCTAATCCAATTCTCCACAAATGTGACTCTATCCATGGAAGAGAAAAAGGATAGCTAAGGGTACATCACTATGGAAGAGAATTGCGTCACAAGCAAAATTGTGACCTCAGATAACTACAAAGTAATTCAGTTTGCATGATCTATCTCTCCATGTCACTGAAACTAAATTCTCTCTAGATGGAATTATTGAAAGGATTGAACATTCATTTTGGTTGTTTGTAATCTTTGTTTACGTCATTCGATATGTAGACCCATCAAGTGTACAAAGATCACAAATAAGACAGTATTCATTTTCAAATAAATAGCGAGGACGTAAGCAGCACTAGGGATCTGCCAACCTGATAGTAATAAGCTGGCTGAAACTCCCACTCCGTCAACTTCTCAGCAGTATTTGAAGCAGGACCTGAAATGCTCTGAATGGCCTTTGAGCTTGTCTCTAGCAACTCAGCAAACACAAGAAACTGCCGGCTCATCCACTCCCAATGCATAAACACAACTCCTGGAGGCCCCACTAGATTTCTGTAGGAAGCATTATGCTTGCGGAACCATGCAATCGCATCTGCTATCTTTCCTCCATGGAGTAACAAGGTTGATATTTTGAAATGCAACTGCTCTGCAACAATTTTTATCTCAACCAACCGTTGAATAACAGGTAATCTAGTTGAGGTTGACACCATCTGCATCAATGGGCAAAATCAGGAAAAGGAATAGGTGCCTAAGGTAATAATAAATAGCACAAGTACTTACAAGACAAGATGGAAAGCATGAATTTAGATTAGGGGCATCAAGAAATCACTACAGTAGTGTAAGAACTTCCAAATACCTGCCGCAATAAGTGATATGCATCCTCATAAAACCTCAAAGCTTCAACCCAGTCCCTCCTAAACTCAGCATGGACAGCAACCTGACATTAAATCAATTAACAGTTGACACAAGAGAGTTCATATCCCAGAATCAGCATAGATAAGACCTACACTGGACAAGTCAAAGCCAAAATAAAGAAGAAAACTTTGCAGCTAACTGACCATACCCAAGAGTGGAATGCAGTCCAACACGCAGGGAATTAAAAACGCGAAAGAAATGAAAAGCAATGGTCTTACCTTGAAACAATTACGAATGTTCAACTCAATGGAACTGAAGTTCTTCTTTTCCACACGAGTCTTAATCCTTCGCCCTTCTTCTCTATAATATGTGGTTGCTAATTCAGCAAAAGTACTTCCTAGCCTGCAGGAATAGCGATAAACTCAGCTCAAACACCGGCAAACACAATTCGACTGCTAAACAAGATCAGAATAGTAGGATGTGAGCACAGAAGAGATAGTTACTTGTTAAGGGATTCCTTAAGTTGCAACTCATCACCAGAGTTGAAGAAAACAATGTGCTTAGCATCCAATTCAGCTCGCTTGCGGAGAGCAGCCATTCTATCTTCGCTAATGAGATCATCTGCCATAATATCCACAACCATCATCATCAACACCGTTCTTCATTTGATAAGAGTATATGCAATCCAAATCCACAAGGTTCCCTTACCATTGGAAGAAGCAAAAAATGTAGCTGGCACAACAACAACCACCACCAGCTTGATGTTCTTCGGACGAATCACATTTCTGAAGGCACGCCATAAACGGGAATCAAAACGACTATCAAATCTTCATGAACAATGGACAGAACAAGTTAAATATGAAACGATTACGAACCTGAGATTTTCCAGGTCCGTGCAGACCTGAATCCACTGAGCTGGATCGCCAGAGATCTGTTCAGAATTGAAAAGAGCAGCGAGGACAGCAGGAACCTTAGTGCGATGCTTGAGCAACCAGTCCCTCTTGAGAATGCCGGGGGTGGGAGAGCTGGGATCGGAGGCGGACGCTGCTTTCCCATCGGAGCTTTTGTCGGAGAAAATCACGGAGATCTTTGAGAAGTCCGGCAAGGCGAGTGTATTGATTGGAGGCTGCTCGGAGTGGAGATGCGACGAGATGAGTGCGTGGAGCTCCGGACACCCGACCAGCGATATCAGAGTCACCGGTGGCGTCCGTAGCTCCTCCGGATACTCCTCCATTTTGATTCTTCTTCCTTTCTTCCCTTCGTTCGACGATATTCGCAAGACCGCAATTGATCCAGAGAATGAGAGCTTGAATTCGAATGCAAACGGGAAGTTCAAAGCTCAGTTACAGAGTTGCAGTTACCCCGCCGGAGAGAATTTCTGCTACTCTACCGAGTCGAGAGCAAACTTGGACCCGTGAAAATGGAGACGAACACTAGGATTATTACCGTTTTCATGCCTCAACTCTGTTTTATTCCCAAATCCATCCACAGTGATTTACTTTATTTTGTTTTAGTCATTAATCTTTATTCTACTTATCTTTTGTGGATGTTTACATTGGGCTCATTGTGCGGCCCAAATAGAAAGCTCATGGAAAGGCCCAAATAGCAGGCCGCAGTGAAGGGGAAAAGGCTTCAGGCTTTCCGCTTCTCTTTTTTGCCTTCCACGGTGGTGACGCGCGGCGGCGGGAGATGGTGGAGGTGGAGGGCGAATAACGTCAAAGCTGCGAAGAATGCCTCCGCTGATCTACAAGCCATCTTCCAGCGACTAACTCGAGATTTCAACGCCTCCCCAATTCAGCACTCTCCCAGGTACTACGCGGGTCCTATTGAATTCTCGAGCTTTTCTAAGATCACACATCGCAAAAGGAGGCTGCAGTTTCTCCTAACCAGTTTTCTCAGACTGGTAGTTGAAGGACAGTTCTAATTTGGTCGGTTAATTCGTCGCTTTCTTATCAGTTGCGGATCTGTGGTCAGCTTCCACTTCAGGGCTTTGCGGTGGAAAGACGATTGATTGCTTTTCTTCTCTGGTACTCTCTTACTTGGTAGCTCCTTCATGCTTGATCCCGGTTCCAGCATTGCTGAATTGTTGAGCAGGCGATCATGGTATTGACCATTTGGATTTCTTCCATTATGCGTCCTTCCTGGATTTGTTCGTTATATATACTTGGGTTCAAATGGTTGCTGCGTTTCTGTTGTTCCAGAATTTCCTCATTGGAGCTTTCAAGCCACCCTGCAACATTTCAATCGTTTTTGCTGATAGAAGAACTCGAAAGCAGGTATCTTTCCGGTGCACTAATGTATTGAATTGGTGTTTGTAGTTGGTAGAGAAAATCCTCATCAAGGGAGTAGATTTTGCAATGAAATTGGTAGAGATTTTGTGTCCCGTCATCCACCTTTACTTCTTTTTCCGAGAAGATGGATTTTGAACACAGTCGACGTTCCAGCTCTGAAGCTGCTGTCCTCTGGAATATTTTTTAGTTAGCCATTTGGGCTGATCATTGGTGATACTACAAACTTTTGTTAGGTTGCATTGAAGAAGGAAAATGGCCAGACAGTCATGGTTCCTCTCTACCAGAGTCAAGAAATCATTGCTGGAGAGGTTATTATAATCTGTCATGTTTCTTTCCTTTTTAGTGTGCTGCTAACGACTTCCGCTAGAAGGCTGTTGTGGGGATTCAAACTTTCCTGTTGAATATTGTTATTTGGGGTTTCCAGGTTGTTGTGGAACCTGCGCAAGGGAAGAAGGTTGAACACAATGGGATAAAAATTGAGTTGCTTGGCCAGATAGGTACAACAGTTCTTAGCCCTGATATTTGATGGGTTAATTTTGGCGTAGAAGTCCTCTCAATTTCTAAAGTTATGCATGAAATTTGCCTAAAGCTGTTTGAGGCAGCTCAAACTTTGTTCATCTTTTTCATTTCTGTTCCTTCTCTTCTTCTTTTTCCAATTGTGTATCCATGTTCTTTTCATTCATCGTTTTTCATGTTTCATTGCCTGATCCTCAAGTTACATAATGTGTAATTGTGATTATATCAATGGTGAAGACTCCTTAAGTGATAGGCTAACAACTCAGCTATTGACAGTAACATCTTTTTTTGGTTATCTGCAGAACTATATTTTGACCGTGGAAACTTCTATGACTTTACTTCCCTTGGTGAGTAGTTGTTCCCATACATATCTTGGTAATAATAGACTATTGGATCAGAGCATTTTCAAGTTTTATGTTCCATACCAATAATGGCAGACAAATATGAACTTATATGTCTTTGCTTCTCTTCATTATTCATTATTCGCCGCTATAGCAATGTAACAAGACTTGTAATTCTTAGTCCACATGATATGTTGTTAGCATTGTGAATGATTCAAGTCTTAGCTCCATACTGAGCCAACTCCTTTCATTCTAATGCAGTGCGTGAACTTGACGTCCCTGGCGACTTGTATGAAAAGAAATCATATCCCTTTGAATTTTCAACTGTGGAGATGCCGTATGAGTCTTACAGTGGAGTCAATGTGAGGCTTAGGTACGTATCAGTGTGAACTTAACTGGGTTTTCCATCCGATTTATTATATTCTAGTATGAAATCCTTGACTGATCCTGATTTTAATTACACACGTTTGCATTGATCATTTAGCTTCTGCTGATTGTAGCATTCTTTGGTGAGAAGTTTATTGGGGAAACGGAAAACTTTTTATAACTGTCAAACAAGGTTGCCCCCCCCCCCCCCCCCCCCTCCTTGTCTTAGAACCTATTCGGTTAGCTTATTAAAGTTAATAGGTGGTTCTTTGACAAATAAGCTTTTTCATGTAACCGAACTGTCTACCAGACTTACTTTTGGCCTATCTTTGTAGCTTTTTTCTTTCTGCTATGACTTCATATTAAAACAGGAATAAATTTCTGAAAATTCATGAAACTTGAACTCAGAATTCCGATGAACTTTCAGGTATATATTGAAGGTGACTATCAGTCGAAACTATGTCAACAACATTGTTGAGTACCAGGATTTCGTGGTAAGTTGTTATACATCAGTAAGAAGTAAATTGAAACAACTTCATTGGTATTTTTTTTTTTTTTTTTTTTTTTGATGGGCAATATCAAAAAATTTTATTAAGCACTATGTGCCTCCTCTTTAAAACAGAGGAAGAAACACATCTGGATCTTTACATCAATACTAGAACTTCTACTACCATGCTACTACATATACACAGCTAAAACCAAAACCAAAACTGCCCTATCCACTGCTACTAATGACTAAAAATCATCCTACAATCCATATCCAACGCTGCATTTCCATGCCTAGCCAACTCAACTGTCCTGCGCACTACCCTTATCAGCTCCCCTGATTGCACAGCTGTACTTCCATACAATCTTCCACAGCGCTCCCTCCAAATCAAACTCACCACTAGATTCCAAACCAGACGGCCTATCATGGCCAATGCCTTCTTCCCTTTGAATTGCTTGACTGCCCAGGCCAAGTAATTGTCATAGCCAGTTAGCTGAGGGCACCTCAAATTCAGCATCTGCAGACATCCCTTTAGCACCTGTGAAGTATATTGACATTGGAAATATAAGTGATCCCTGTCCTCTGTATGGGCCAAACAAAGCAAGCAGTTTCCACTTACTATCTTCCCCCAGCTCTGCAATTGCTCTAGAGTTGTAATCCTATTTCTTGTTATAATCCAGCTGAGAAAGCTATGTTTTGGAATCGAGTACTTCCCCCACACCAGCTGATACCAAGTCACCTGAGGCCTAACCGGTTGCAAATCTGCCCAAACCTGCTTCACTGAATAAACCAGCATCCTCTTGTCATTCCAGTACACCTGTGTTCCCCAACAACAAAAGTGTCCTTCTACTTTATCTCTGACCTTTAATAGTCTCTTCCATACCCAGGAGGCAGTACTGCACTTTCCCAATTCCCAGAAAGTAAGATTTTTAATTCGATATAGGTAGTTCCAAGCAACCCACCAGGACCCTTCTTTTGCAAGTAGAGCCCAGATATGCCTTGTTGTACAAGCCACGTTCCATGTTTTAAGGCACCTAATGCCTAATCCCCCTTCTTTTTTTGGGATTGCCAGTAACCCCCAAGCCATTACAGCTTTCTTCCTCATGGAATCTTCAGTTATCCCCCATAGGAAGTTACTACATAACTGTTCTATCTCTTTTATTATGGAAAGGGGTAAAATGAATACATTCATCCAGTAAAATGAAAGGCTGCTCAGCACAGAGTTAATGAGTTGGAGCTTACCTGCATAGCTTAGCAGTCTAGGCTTCCAGCCTGCTATTCTTTTAGTGATCTTCTCTACTAAGGCTCGACAATCAGTTGTAGTTAACTTCCCTGCTATTAGAGGCACACCTAGGTACCGGACAGGTAGCACAGCTTTCTGAAACCCCACCAACTGAGCTAGTCTCTCATGTTCCACCTCTTCAATCCCTGCACAGAACAGTTGACTTTTATCTGGATTAAACCTCAACCCTGAAAGTCTGTAGAATCTGTCCAGCAAACCCTTTACACTCTCCACAGCTCTTGTAGACCCATTTGAAAATAGTAGTAAGTCGTCTGCAAATACCAAGTGAGTAATACCCAGTCTTTTACATCTAGGATGATAAGGGAATTCTCCAGATTCTGCTCCCTTGTTCAATATACAGGACAGTACTTCCATTGCTATTGAGAATAGGAATGGGGACAAGGGATCCCCTTGACGTAATCCTTTCTTTGAAGGAAAGTAACCACATACACCCCCATTTATTCCAACACTGAGCATAGGGGAAGAGACACAAACCTGAATCCATGAAACGAATTGTGAAGGAAGCCCCATAGCTGTCATTACTGTAAACAGAAACTCCCAATCTATGGAGTCAAAGGCCTTCATTAGGTCAATCTTCATAGTACACCTAGGTGAAATATGCTTCTTATTATACCCTGCAACCAGTTCAGATGCCATCAGTATATTATCACTAATACTTCTCCCTTTCACAAAAGCTGACTGACTTTTACTTATTAGCTGTGGAAGAACCGTGGAAAGCCTGTTTGCTAGTATCTTGGCAATGCACTTGTAAAGTACATTACAACAAGAGATAGGTCTAAACTGTTTCATCTGATCTGCCCCTACTACTTTTGGAAGAAGAGCCAGGACTGTAGAGTTTATTTCCCTAGGTAGGAAACCAGTAAGAAAGAACGAACTAATAGCACTAGTAATGTCATCTCCCACTATTGGCCAGGCCCCCTTATAGAATTCAACTGTGTATCCATCCGGGCCAGGTGATTTGTTAGTCCCCATCTCAAACAGGGCAGATTTAATCTCCATTGGTAATTTATGCCCTTCCATCTAATCCATTATTAGAACTTTGTTTCAAAATTCATAGAGAATACTGCTACTGCTATGGTTCCATAGGAAGCCTGTTAAAACATGTAATATCTAGAAATTTTGTTTGCTTGTTCAGCGAGAGAAGTAATATATACTTGTGGGGGGGCAGTCCTTTTGTTTCATATATTTAAAAATCTCAAATAACAGTTACTCGAGTATAACTGCATTGATCTTGTTTTTCTCATTTGCTGGTCGTGAATTGTTAACCTGGAGTAACCATCAACAGCTGATCATGATCTCTTTCTGTCATATTTCTGCATTAGGTCAGGAATTACACTCCACAACCACCAGTCAACAACAGCATAAAGGTCAGCAAAGTTATCAGTCAAGTCCTTTTTGGTGCTTGCTACTGTCTTCAAAGTTGTCAAATCCTTGTGAAAAGTTGGATTGCCTTGGTTGCACAAAAATGTTTGATTTTATTTAAATGACAACTCTTTGGCACGTTGTGGCTATAATTATTTCAGAAAGTTGTCTTTCTCTTTATGTCTTGCGATGTCATCAAAAGGCTTGTATTGTAGACAACTGCTTATCATATCAGGCTTGGATAGGATATTTAATTGCATATTGGTGGTCCTTGTAGATGGAAGTTGGAATCGAGGATTGCCTTCACATAGAATTTGAATACAGCAAGAGCAAGTAAGTAACATGACTCATTCTTAGAGGTTTAGAACATCATTTGGCTCGAGTTTATCCCGATTACACTCCTGACTTGGTTGACTGAAATTTTCACAGGTACCATTTGAAGGATGTAATCCTTGGGAAAATCTATTTTCTTCTTGTGAGAATTAAGATTAAGAATATGGAGCTTGAAATCCGGCGTCGTGAGTCCACAGGATCAGGACCCAACACGTATGTAGAGACAGAGACGCTTGCCAAATATGAGTTGATGGATGGCGCCCCTGTGAGAGGTACATCAATGAAAAAAATTGGTGACAGCCAAATTGGAAGAGCTTTTTTCCTTGATGGTCATCTTAAGTTCCTGTTTTCCCTATTGATAACTTTTCCTTATGCAATTTTGTGATCTTAAAACAGGAGAATCAATTCCGGTCAGGCTGTTCCTAAGTCCATATGAGTTGACCCCAACATACCGAAACATCAACAACAAGTTCAGTGTCAAGTATTACTTGAATCTCGTTCTAGTTGATGAAGAAGATCGACGGTATTTCAAACAGCAAGAGATCACTGTATATCGGCTTCTAGAAACTTCTTGATCCTCACTTATGCCAGGGTGTGTGACTGTGTTGTCACTAGAAGAATGACACGGCCCTACAAACTTGTTTGCAGTCCATGAGATGTCTGAGAAACCTTGACTTGCACAGTAGTCTTGTTGTTCTTTAGTAGTGTTGTTTGTTTGGACACTTTGATTGGGCATGGTCTTTCGCTTGCTGCCATTTCTTAGAATCTGGTGATATGATGAGTTGAGTTTGTACCTGTGATTCTCGACTGTAACATGTTTGTTTATCATTTCTGTATATTGTGCACATTCCCTTGCATTTGCTCATTCCATATGCTGTTATGTTTGAACAATCTGTGTGGATGATCTACGGTACTGACATTGTGTTTCGAAGGTTTGAGATTTCCTTACTTTTCTCACGCTCTGTTATGAATGGAAAGTGGGAAGTGTTATTCATGGAATACCCAATAGTATATGGTTGACCGAGTGTGAAGAGGAGATTAGGAAATAACTTTTCATGTAACTTTTAGTGGTTGGTGTCGAATTGGTTGTGTTCTACTTCAGAGTGAGTCTTCCTCTATGAAGATCATGACTTGTCAAAGTCAGTTTTTGCTTGTTTGCTGAAGATCATGATACTCATTCACTCAGCATTCAAGCATTCAAAAGAAAAACCCCACTAGCTCATCCCTTCTCACATATGGCTGCAGACTATGGAACCATCAAGTAGAAGGTCACCACCAACACTCGACAAGCCGATGACCCTCAACTCACTGCTTCGGTCGATGATGATTCTCGAACCTCGAATTACCATCTCGCTTCCTCGTTCAACATCCCTTCCTCCATAGAAGTTGTTGCATGCAAATTGCTAGAAACTTGAGTCCGAAGATGAAGGTGGCCTTGATATACATGGTGATCATTACATTGCATCACTCTATCTACTTGTCTTGAGAACATTGCTTTGTTCTAGTTTTCTTCACATTGACAGCCACTACGTTGTTGGCTATAGATCATGTGAGCCTATGGATCTGCGAAGATGTCGTGGTGGTGATTGATGATAAGGGGGCTGGAAGTTTCTTTCAATTGTGCAACAGGAGTCACATGAAGGCAATAGGTAGTTTTATGATATCTTTGTTGGGTTTCTGTGATGTTCTTTAATAAAGTTGACAGCCGTTCAACAAACTATTCTTGCCTTACTAAGTTTTGTCAAAGGTGAAAGTTATTGAGCACCCATGAAATTGAAGTAAATTTTTGCATTGACTCGTACTTTGAACTAGACCTAACATACTTCTTTATATCACTAGGGACACACTCATTGCAAACATTGATATACAATTTCACCCTCTCATACTCTTTTTTATTTTGACGAGTCTTTTCTGCTACTTGAGCTTATATTCTTTAATTATTTGAGAGTAGTTTGTAGATAAGAAGTTGATTTCCGACCATTCACAAGCATATATAGTGCTTGTTTATAATAATAATGCTTCACTTCACATTACTCAAAATTAACAAATATGAATTTATAGAATCTCCAACCTAGCCCCTTGGACAATGATTGATTTAAATGCCAATAAAAAAAGTCAAAGGCTACCAAAATACAAGAAAAATCTTTGATTTGTTTATCTCTCATGTTGATTGTAGCTTTTGATTTTGCCCAATACTAAAATTTCACCTCAATACAATCATCAAAGTTGTTTCGTTTTCTTCAATTTCTTGTTTTATTGATGCTAATGTCTAAATCTTTTATGATTAGCATAATTGTCAAATCCAAATTAACTCTCACATAAGAGTCCTAAGTGAAAGGAGTCAAAATTGAATATGACTCTTGTGGAAGCTATTTTAGTTTCCTCCAATTTCTTGTCGTGGTTGATGCTATTAACTAAATAAAAATTCTTAATAAGAAGCACAGTTGTGAAATCGATATCAATCGCATAAGATGTGTTGACGAGGTCTCAACACAGTTTCTTGCACGCATACAAAGCAACTAAATTGATGTGTTGTTTGAACAACCTTGATGGATTTAGTCGAGTCTACTAAAAAGACTCGAAAACCAATTGGTCCGGTCAATTCTACCAAGCTACGAGCCAAAAAAGTTGACTGAGACCATTGTTGCTTGACAAAAGAAACGTGCAAAAAAGTTTGTTTCGTTTGAGCCCTCCTACAATCCTTCTAACACAAACTTTCTTGGTGGTGGATAGGGCAAGCAACACTATATTTGACACATATATAGGGCCAAGACGGCACAAGATTTGTTCAAATGGCTAGCAACATGATAATTCCATGACTAGTCATGTGTTTGTTCAAATGACAAGCCTCGAAATAGAGAATATCATTGATTTTGCACTTCACCACTGACGATTGCTGACACAAACTCATGCGCAAGAATTATAGGTTCATGTGAAATGCTCTGAGAGTAGTACCTCTACACGCGAAATGTACCGAGTAAGAGTAACTTAAGAATAAACCAAATGCGACAAATCCAACATCCTTCACCACTCCAGAATTCGCACAGCCTTTGTTTCACATTAAATCAAATTGATACTTAGGTCGAATCCGATTGAATCTAATATTATTTTATTTTTGAATTAATGGATTCTCTTTTAAAGAGAGAGAAAAGAGTAAACCAAATCAAAGCATAATGGCGTAAAGCTATTTCACATCAAATCAAATGGATCACTGTTGCATCTAAATTTGGATGTACACTTCTACTGTTCTACAACAACTAAAATTGAGGCAATGAATACAAGTTCCAGGCCAACGTTAACTTGACAGTTTGCAGACTATATCCATTGTCAAGATTCGAGAAACCACTTCGAGCGAAACTGCACATGACTTGTCTGCATTTCTTCACCATTGATCAGCAGAAAGGGAGGATGATAGTTTATGCATAACTCACACCTCTCCCATAATCCTTACATCACTTGGACTTGCCTTTGAATATGGCCTGTTTGTAGTACTTGAGTTCATTGATGCTTTCTCTTATATCATCTAGGGCTCGGTGTTTATTCCCCTTGGCAGGGGTTTTCTCATGTTCTGTAGAAGCAAAAGAGACCAAGTTGAGGAGTGAAACAGTCGGACTTCACAGTGCCCACAGTTATTTCTATTTGGTTAAGCACTAAGTGATGGCTGGTTTGCGATTACTTTTGCATTAGACATGAAAGAAGAAAGCACGATTGGTATTACCTTTGGGATACCACCGATAGCACAAAGACCTAACGCTGCTAACATCAACAATAACATGAGAGAAGAGGCTGGCCAGTTCTGGCATATACTTCTGAAAAAAGCACCAAAAAGAGATGGTTCAAGTCAAATCATCAGATGGGAACCATAAGTGTTTGCGCAGTAAACATATGGAATAGCACACTTTTTTGGAAAACCAGAACCAAAGCAGCTATGACAAAAGCAGCTATGACTTCAAGATAAAGATAAGAACAGATGCATATACAGCTCAGCAAGATATAAGTGCAGTCATCAAGCCCCAATGTATACAAGTCACGAAACAGTATGGACAACAGATGGTGACTACAGCTTGTATACATACATACTGCACAAAGTGACTCTCGAGTAACGACAATCATGAAGGAATATTAGTAAGCAATAAATCATACCCTTAGAAATAGTAAATCCATATAGACAGAGTTGCCTGCTATCTGTGGTGTATATGTACCAACATGTTTCTTAACGAATTCTAGAACCTGCACAATTCAACCATCAACCACACAACAGAAGAGGGAAAATGCCAAGAATGATCAACCATACAAAGGAAGATGAAAGAAAGAAACCAACTGAAGAAGGTAAACCTGCAATTCAGCTTCTCTTTCAGTGATAGTACTATGGATCACTCTCTCTGTCAAACCTAAAATCAAACTTTAACCAATCAATAAAAACAAACATGTACAAACTATGATGTCGTAAGTTATGAACTGATTGAACCTTCAAGTGATCAACTATCTTACCACTATCACCATGATGAGTCTGACACCATTCATTCATCCGATCCAAACACTCTCTACTCTGATGGATAACTAACTCAGGACCCTAGTACAGGAGATATCCCATTCAAAAACCAGAAGAAAGATACAAGTACTACTAATAATCCGAGGAAGAACAAAGCTGCAAACATACCTCTATCAATTTCATCATCTTTCCATCAGTAATTATACAAGCAATCTCGATTATTCTATCAACTTCAACATCCAGACCTGCATTCGCGGCAACAAAACCAAAAAGATCCTTACTTTCCTCTGTTCACATTTCCGTGCCTAATCAACACACAAAATCCTTCTTGTCACCATGGAACTACATCACAGAATAAGACTACCCCTGATCAATACAATTACTTCACGGGCAGAAAGTTCATGTTACAGTCTTACATCGAATAACTTCCATTACCAAGTTCAGTAAAAGAACATGAAACTATACCAGTCATCTCCAAATCAATCCAGACAAGGGGCATTTTGTACTCCCCAGAAGGGGTTACCCTCTCTTGCTGATTCTCACCCTCCACCTTCTTCTTCCCATTTCCTGCAGAACAAAGATTAAGAACAGAAACTAAGAACCCTTTAAACTCCAGGGCCGCAGGAATAGAAATGGCAAGAATAGGCACTGAGAAGTGACGACGAAGTGGGGAAATGCCTGAGTTCTTGGTGGATAGGGACACAGAGGCAGCGGCATCGTCCTTTGATTGGTCGCCGTCGACGTCGAGCTCCAGAATCGAAAAGGCATTGGCGAGCCGATCCATGTTCCTCTTCTCCGTCTTCTGCTGCTTCGGATTTCTGGGTTCTGCTCTCGCATGGATGGAAGTGTGACGGGAAAGAGCTGGAAAGACGCTTTCCAATGGAAGGCCTAGCAAGGGAGAAGTCATGCTCGTTTACTCGGACCGATCCTCAAAACACTTGAAAATTCCCGGCATCCGGGGAAAACCGGTTTTAAGTTAAACCGAAATTGATTCTGATCAACTCGAAATCAATCCATGGCCACGGTGGTAACAAGTGTCAGCTCAGCTAGTCACAACAACCTGAAGCAGCCGGCAAAAGTTATAGGATCATGCAATCTCTCAAACCAAAAATTAAATCGACATATAGATCAATGAACCAAATCAAATGTAATGCAATTTTACGATAAAAAAAAAATGTAATGCAATTTGATTTCTTATCCCACAATTCTCAGTCTCAACCATCAAAAAAAAAAAAACAAACGGAACGAAACTAATCAAGTATACTTTCAATTCAGTTGTGGTCCTCAATCTGCTTATGTATTCAATCCAACTCTTTATCTTAAATCGACCCAATTCAGAACAAAATATAACAGGGGATACACTCTAATCAATCCAACACAATCTCGATTCGATCCGGTTAGTGAATCTCAGAACTTAGATTGCACATTGCACTTAGTGAATCTCAGAACTTACAACATCGCCTTAGTGAATTGTCCTGAGAGGACACACTCGAGAAACATTTAAGTATATAGAAAGCTAGCTAAGCAACATCTCTCTTAACTTACAGATGATGCCAAACCCAGGGGGGAAACCATAGATGTCCCTAAACCTTATCAAATTTGGCTAAAGCTAATTATACAAAACCCCAAAAGAAAGAAGAAGGAGGCCAAAAAGAAAAAGAATGAAGATATAGAACGGATGATACAACATAGCTCTTGGTACAATAATGACAGACTAGGGGCAAAGGCAAAAGCAGTGATTATACAGCTCTCTCTCCCTCTGCGCTTCACTTCGCTACTCGCATGTCGTTCTCATTCCTCAGTCTTCCACACCACATCGTCGAGGGATGTCGAGAGGTTCTTGTAGAACTGCAACATGAATGAGACCAAAGCACAGCAGAAACTGTAAGAGTGAGCAATAAAGTGCAATGTAACCCAATGAGATATGCCTGTTGTGGTGTTCAGTTGGCAGAACCAAGTTGATGATTATGATGGTATTACCTTATGGAACTCTAAAGTGTCACCTTTTGCTTTCCGCACTTCCACCATGTGGAGAGAAGGTGCTACCTGGAATATCTGAAGAGAAAAATGGTAACAAGTTAGCTCAATTCCAGGTGACTGAGAGTTGGTCTCCAGGGACTGCTATTATTCCTTTTTTCTTTCCCAGGTAGGTGACATACCTCGGTTGCGATGTTAAGGTTTCCTTTTCGGCCTGCTTTCACATTCTCGAGCCTCATCTGAGATCGAAACATGACAGTAAGAAACTTAAGCATCAATCATTTGCTTCAGCATACATTATCATAACTTGTTGTACAGGGTATATATGAAATGTGTGATTTACCTTGTAGTTTTTCTTCTGGACATCAAAACCGAGAGGCTTCGCTGCTTCTTCAATCTTGTGGATGATCTCATTAGCTGAGCTCGTGGAAGTGAACCTTGTTTCCCTTTTGAACGTCGGCTGCAAGGAAACCAAAGTATATCAGATGACCAGATGGCCCATTAAGCAACTAAAGATGCAGGTTTCCACTTTTCTACGCCCATTTCTCCTGATACAGTAACATTTTCAATATGAGACCATAATCTCCTTATTGGCGAATCCTTCCAATATCTAATAGCCATGAGGAGTGTCAAGCCATAGGACCAGTAATGGTTAGGCAATTTACCCTTAGCTTAGAAATTGAGTCAAACTTCCATTATGCGACTTCAACTTGGACTTAATAACTTGTAGCCTAAACTAATAATGGACATAGAAACATATGCTAAACTTAAAAAGGTGATAGTCAGAAAGGCCTCTGAGAATGCAAACCTGTTCAGTGTCCAGCAAATTCTCAAGATTCAGTCCTCTGGACATGGAAATCAAGTCAAACGCATTCATAACAGTCGGTTGTTCCTCCTTCTTCTCGGTTACATGGTGTTCCTGTTTCAACTTTCTCAAGCTCATTAAGATATGCAAATGTACATAACACTTGTCCAAGAATATTGCAGGTTCTTTTTAGCAGCTTACTTCGGAGTCCTTAAATACAGCTTCAACATCATCCAAGCTGGGTTGCTGCTCTTTCTCCTCGAACACGGGAGGTTGATAATTTTTCCTAAACCATTGATCCTCCAAAATCTCGGATATTGTTATCCGCTGACACCAAGATAATGTACAGTAATATAGTAAGGTAAAGGAATCGCTGACAAGATCATAACCTCAAGCAAATAGAGTCATATATAAGTACTTACAGTAAGTGGGTTTGGATTCAAAATTTTAGCAATTAATTGCATGGCAGGTAAAGACAGCCAAGGCGGGCAAGTAAACTCAGCAGCTGAAATCTGTTGACAAAGACAATCAAAAGTAAGGTCCAGAGACGTTACAAAGAAACGAAAGAATATAGTTCCTTGAGATTTGTTAAAAAATACTCACTTTTTTATACAGGTTCATAAGATTAGAGTCGTCAAAAGGCAAGTAGCCTGCTAGCAATACAAAGAGTATCACGCCACAGGACCACAAATCTGCAGTTGCTCCGTCATATCCTCTATCATTAAGAACCTGAACATCATTACAAGCATGACAGTCAAATGGCACATAACAAAATATTATCAATGGAAAAACATAAAGATGTAAAGACATTTGCACAAAGACATTTCATTCACACCTCAGGAGCTACATAATTTGGTGTCCCACAAGTTGTATGAAGCAAGCCATCGTCCTGCCAAAAACGTTTTACATCAGATATTAGACGTTGAGGTACCGGAGTACACCAACCAAAACATGAAATCTTTTAGTTACCCTGACTTGCTGTGATAGTGCACTTAAACCAAAATCTGACACCTTGAGGTTCCCATATGCATCTAACAGAAGGTTTTCTGGCTGTTCCAGCACGAACAGTTTGAAAGGAGTGAGCTTGCAGAAAAATGATACAATAAAAAGTTGTGGGTGAGAACTAAACTTGCAAAGAGAGAGACGAAAAATTCAAAACACCTTAAGATCTCGGTGAAAGACACCCCTGCTATGACAATAATCAACTGCATTAATAAGTTGCTGGAAGTATCTCCTGGCTTCATCTTCCCTCATACGTCCATGATTCACCTGCATATCAATACTGCATCAGGATACTAATGAAGTGGTATACGAGTTATAAGAACAAAACAAACTTCTAGTTACTGCAGACACTATTTTCCAAACAATATATGATCACGTTTATAAATTGCCATACTAAACAAAAAACTAAAAGTGTATCGACTTGAAACTCAGTGGCCTAGATCTTATCTGTGTTACAGATGAAGAAAAACAGGTATTTGTTAACGTGCAAGTGTTACCAGAAGAAAGACTTACAATTTTGTCGAAAAGCTCTCCTCCGGTCACAAACTCCATAACAATGAATATCTTAGTCTTGCTTCCCATCACCTGGAAACACCATTACAGGATATCTTACATCACAAATGGGAACCAATCAAAACTGCAAAGGACGGAGCTTGCATGAGGAATAACCCATTCCATCACAGTGTTTCCTCTCTCTTTGCCCTATCAATAGCCCTTTCCACTAAACTAAAAGGCTACTAGCAAAATGGGAAATGTTCCATATTGTTGGCATTTGACGATGTAACCGAATCAAATTTGCATTTATCAGGTCAACATACCAATCCAGAAGGGAAATAACAGAGCACCAAGATGGATACAAGTGTCAAACCTCATATAATCTAACCACATTTGGATGCTGTATGAGCTTCATTGTAGCTACCTCCCGCTTGATCTGCAAAAACATGTGCAGAAGAGTAAATGAAATGACTCAAACAGCACACTGTCCTTTGATCACATAGTGAGTGCATGTGTCATGGATGGTTAAACATTAGTCATGGGGTGGTTTCTGTTCTTATTATGAGACCATTCAAACAATTGGAAAGCTGAAGACAATCGAATCAACCTAAAAGCAATGAAAATAGAAAAATTACTACTGAAATTTGACCACCACACCTGTTCAGCCATCTTGTGCTTGAGAACCTTCTCTTTATCAAGTATTTTCAGAGCCACTGGTTCCCCTGTCTCGGAATTCCTTGCGAACTTCACCTTTGCAAATGTTCCTTCACCAATAGTTCTTCCCATTTCATACTTACCCACTCTACGCTTCACTTTAGGCTGATTCATTATGGATGGCCTATTCAGCTTCCTAATGCCTAAAGTATGAAACTCTTAAGAACTTCCTGCCATGTATGTCAAAGTGTAAGTGGCATACAAAACAACTTCTGCTAAAAATTAGTAGTGAGAAAGCATTAGACCGGTTCAATTATAAGGTTCTGCTATCTTTATGTAGCAAAAGCGTAAAGCTTCATAGCTTCCAAATATAGCTCAGAAGAAGAAAGAAGAAACAATATTGAACCCCCTCTCAGTTGAGCTTAAAACAACATAGCCATGATGGATTTATAAGCAAGAAACAAACCGAAGTCATGAGAGAGGTTACTCAAATAAGGCCAGTTCGCACCGGGCAATATTTCATATGACTCAGACATTACTATGCTAGAAGAAGAACCATTGCCATCAGATATCATTCAGGGAAAATAGATAGAAAGTGGAGCAACCAGAAGTAAGCTTGTCCTATATGACTAGCCTATTCAAACTCAGAAGCCAAATTTCTGGCTTAACCAAATATTGCCACAAGAGGAACAGATCAGAGGAAGGCAGATGATCACATTCAAGACCAACCAAGAACCTGCTAAGGGCAAACTTGGGGAAATGAAGAAAAGGGCACATGGAACAATCCCAACTGAAACAGAAAAAGGGAAGGCAACAGAAGAACAAGCACTACTGATGTAGTAGAGCTACATTAACCTTAAATCCAATAGCTGGAGATCAAATCAAATCAAATGAGCCAACTTCCTACAATAGTGGAACTCAAAAGCTTTTCAAGCCAGAAGAGAGAGAGTCTGTAATGAAGCAGATGCTAATCTCTATTTGCTTTTCGTTTTATATCCTCTTTTTTCTTCCACTCAACAGCATCTTCAATCTATCACCTTAAAGGTGCTCATGAAAGAGTTGCAAATCAGGACAGGATTAGGAATAGTGCCAAAGTGAGCTACTTTCTAAAACATACCTACCCTTTCTTCTCCAAACAACCTCCTTCGCTAGGAACCCAAAAAGAGCACCTCTTTATTAATCCCAAAACTCAAAGAACCCGTAATTGAATATGGCAAATCCAGAACCTTTACATATAAGACCAGAGAACCCAGATGGCAACTTTATGCAGAAAAACCAACCACCAAGTTGGAAAGCAACTAGTGAAACTTCCAACAATTATAAAAAAAAGCAGACGAACCCTCTAGAAGAATTAAGGTGAACAAAGTTGAAAGCAACAGTTGAAGAAGAAGAAAGGGCGCAGGACTGAATTAGAGGTCAGCAAGAAAAGAGTAAGAAAACAAATTGTAATTGAACAACTTCCATTGTACGCGTATGCATCACGTGGAAACATAAACTGCCCATTTGATTATTAAACCTCAACAGAATCCTCATAAATTATTATATTCTTAAGAAATTGGGACATACCCTTTAGAGATATGACCATGGGGAAGAAGAAGCAGCCATAGTTAGAGATAAAGATGATTACTTTGAACAGGAAAAGGCAGGGTCCGGCGCGGTTGTTGACGGAAAGAGGAGATATAGATAAGAACAGAGGGAGAAAAGGGAGTGCTGCTGAGTTGCCTGGAATGAATTTGGCGAGACAAAGAAACAGAGTGGGGGAAAATTTGGCCTCTGGATGAGCTAGAAGGATAGGCCTAAAAGGAAAGAAAAGGCTGAGATTCGTACAGTAGATGAAGCAGCTGATGAAGAAGGAGAAATGGAGGGTGATGACATTGAAGGCGGTTATATAAATCTGTTTTACAGGATCAACATTCAACAGAAGGAAAGGAAAAAAAAGAATTGCTTCCCTTTCTCCTCTTGATTTTTTCTTTTGTTTTCTTTTTTCTTTTACAGCAGAGTAGGCAACAGCCAGCAAGCAAGCAGACAAACGTCTACGGCCTGCACCCTGCTTCCACATTTTCATCCAACCTTCCGCTTGTATTGATTGTTGGTACCATTTTTCGTATTGTTGTTGCATTTCAATGATTGTTTATTCTTTGTGTAATGCGGCTAACGGTTGTATGATGCAGCTAATGAACAATTGAAAAATGGTGAATCAAAGTGGAAGCAAACGCACATATCATTTGTCAAATTGAGTTCGTACGTATCCATATTCTATTAGGAATCATAGACTTCTTAGAGCATTTTTGTAATTGTAAGGGATGCAAAAGAACAGGAACAATACCTATAAATAATTGCTACCCAAGAAAAGTTAGGATTCAATAATTTATTATACAGTTTGTTGTGATTGTACAAGCACCTTCATCATTGATGTCTAAATCATTAAGAGAAGGATACATGCAATGAACAATCTAGTTTATTGATTGCAAGTAGGATCTCATGAGAAAATAACATTGATATCGCATAACGGTTCATAATACTCAAATCAGCCTTGTTACTCGTCCAAATTAAAAAAAATATTAACTATACAATTCATAGATAAATTGAGTGTACTTTTGCACCTTTGGTAAGCTCAAGTCCAACTACTTCATAATACATCTATTTTTTTTAGAACCCAGGAACTTCAACCCCACGTTCTGGGGAGAGACTTCGTCTCCAGCACTCGCGGTGCCTCAGGAAACACCAAGTGATAAAGCGGGGTCCGAACCTGAGACCTCACACATCTCAAGCCCGAAAGACCACACTCCCGACCAACTCGGTTGTGTTACCTTTGGCCATAATATATCCATATATGTGAACAATATGTAGGAAATTTTTTGAAATCAGTTACATAATATTCTCATGTGGTCAGATGAGATCACTGTACAAGTCCTACAACTACCATATTCATGTGTGATTCTATATTCATATACAAATTCTTGCACATACTAGCTTCGCTATAGCTCGACTCGATAACAACACTTTAATAAAGGGATCTAAAGATGTCATTTACACTTAGGGTTATAATTTTAACTATCAAAACCTCAGTCTATAAATAAACATTCGGTAACAATCACTCTCCCTCTATTTATTGAACAGTCTCCCATTATATTTGGTTTTACAGAAAAGAACCTCATCATGAATTGAAATTTGCATATTATGTCCAAGTGATGTCGTGTATGGAACAAATAACACTCCCAAATTTAAGACCACAACGTTGTTTATGTATGTATTAGAAGTATAACATTTAATGATAGATAAGGAGATGATCATAGATCATTAGTGAAGGAAAAGGGAATTTCTAACCAACGGGGATATGTTAATTTATGATGATAAAGAAGTAACTTTAGCGAACAAGAATTTGATCCAGCGGTGACACCACCGATCTCGAATCTTAAGATTTTCAGACCTAACGAAGAAACCAAACATATAGCACCTTTATCAAAAGATAAAGATGTAACTTAGTTCACTATTTATATGAAAATTAAGGAAGCTCGTATATAATTAGAGGTGTGCGTGATCTAATTGTATTTGGAATCGAATAATAGTTCGATGAATGCGATTTGAGGACCACAATCAAATTAAAATTATGTCCAATTTTATTTAAATTGGTCCTCCTATTTCGATTTGATATGTCGATTCAATTCTCACGACCCAATGAGATCGAAAGAAAAGAAGAAAAATCACTAAATTTAAGAATCGAAACTAAATTGAATCAAACATCGATTCCATTTGATTTGGTAAGCATGCATGCATCGAATCGTTACCTTCACCTATACATAATTGGTCAAAGTATATATTCCTAACCTAGCTAACTTATCTCATAGGATGCCATCAAAGGGAGAAGAACTCATGAAGAAGACGCAAACCGAAGGATGTTAAATAATAATGTTGGATTATGAATTAGTTGGTTTTGGTTACTAAAAATGGGCATAGATCCAATACGAAGATTTGCAGACGACAAGTCGTACTCTTTGACATGGTGACGAAAGGTGAAAGGATATTCGTTTGATATATCCTTCTTCCACATCTTCCTTTCAATCCTCTCAAATATTCTTCTTCTATGTGCAAATTGCAATATAATGCCAATTTTAACTCTTCTTTTAACCCGTTTTATATTGTCATTTTAAAAGTTCACATTGGTTTTGGCTATAGATCTCGTTGAATCGATTCATCATCATCATCGTTTTGTGAAAGCGTAATTATCATCTCTCATAATCGACTTAATTAACTAGAGATGAGATTAATGATAGTGATATCATCATTATATTGCGGTCGGAGCATGTTAGAGATCAATATTATATATCATCCCCTCCTTTTCCACCTATTGGTATTAAGAGGTAAGTGAAAAGTGATATAAGCTAACACGTGTATGAAAAAACAAGGTGCGAAGATGTCGAGAGCATGCCAAAAGTCACTGGTGGCTCGACCTTTCGAGTCTAAAGACTATTCCTGTCGCACTTGAAGCTCAACCACTATTATTTTCCCTGAGGAAATGTTAAGAGAGAACACAACATCATCGGAAAAAACATAAAGAAAACATCATTCCCCTTTATAACCACAAACCCTTCCGAAACCTACCTATATATCAACCAAGCTCCAGAAATCAAATGACGGTATCTCTAGAACAAGCATCGAAAAAGCTTAACATGTTACTATATAGATCGATGGACAACCCAAGTAACGCCTCGAGGAACAACCCTAAACTCTACACTCAAGAAGGCTAGCTGGAACACTCTTTTAGAACTAGTGAATTAGATGCCACACACTAATTCATATATGGGAGGAGTGGAAAACGGGCCATGAAAACAGAGCAAAGGTACATGAAAACCCCATAAAAACAAATGTGACCAAACAGAATCATCAATATGTAGGGGGGAAGAAGAACTGTATCTTGTGGTTGCACAAGGTCCACCACAGAGAGAGAGAGAAACAGAGGCGCCATAACCATTCATTACTGAAAGAAACAGAGATCGAAGAGAAGAATAATATTGGGAGAGGATTTGGGACCAACCAATGCATCAGTTGAGCTCCAATCATAAATTGGAGTTTACTCGATCCAGTACTTCATCCCTGTCCTTGCGAATCCAAAATCTCAACGAGAAACAAACAAACAACTTTACAAAAGATGGAGTTATATAGTATAATATCTATATGCCACTCAAAACGCCAACAGAGGAAAATGGCTCTGTTTTTCTGTGGCCGGTGCTCTGTGGCCCAGCAAGCTCCATTGCTGTCTGTTATCATGATCTCTCTCTTTAGTCTTTACTTCCATGGCCCAGCTAGCTAGCTAGCTGCTTCAACTGCCGAATATATTATGCAACCTCCTCGTTGCATCTCTACCACACTTCCCCACTGTAACCTGATCGACGTGGATGGCCTCATCGCCACCAGATCTGCTCTGGGATTGTATTAAACAAACGGAATTGACAGGTGAATCATCAAGAGTCTGATGCAACTAAGACAACTAAGTCATTTTTTTTTGCTTCACTCACCACATAGTGAATGGTTCACAATCCACATAAAAACCATCCAATGTTCACCCCGTAGTTACGGGGCTTTGTTGCAAGCAAGCCAACAGAAAATAAAAGCCGCTCAATCGTGAGCTTGTTTGGACTTACAGTGAACTAATCTCGTTTATTCAGAATAAAGGATACCACATTTCGCATTTATCGTTTTCTTGATGCTAAGAACAATCAAGGATCCTTCTTTCCTTACGGCTTCTGACTTGAGCTTTTAGAGAAACACTTTTCAAAAAACAAAAAACAGTTGTATGTTTGGCTGCAAAGGCGAAAGCCAGTAAAGAGAAATTCCTCCGCATCATAAGACGAATCCGAAGAATCTGAGACCAAAGATGCTTGACCGAACCGAAGGAATAGGAACTTTCTTAGGTACGAGACTAAAAGGTTTGAAGCGGCTAGCAGATAGATCAGCTAGTTCAGTAGCAGAAATTCTTTCACAAAACTATTAGAAGTGCTTTTTAATATAAGAGGTTGTGTAAAATGACTATAAAGGACTTATAATATAAAATATGAATAAAAAATTTTAGAGAATAAAAAGTAGTCAAAATGGATCTTGTTAGATTTATTTTATATTAAATCATATAATTTTATAATTTATTTTACTTTTAAAATAATATAAATGAAATAAAATTATATTTTTTTGAAATAAAATTATATTTTTTAAAATAAAATTAAAATATGGTAAGCATATAATCTTGTATTTTCAAAACAGCTTTTTCGCAAAATCTCCGAATCGGAGCTTCTGCCTTTACTTCATACAAAAAGCGCTTTTTGACTTTTCAAAAGCCGAACTTTTAGAGGTGTTTGGCCCTGCTTCAGCCTTTGAAACCGAAAAGCACTTCTAAAAACCCGGTCCAAACATAGGCAATGACTTTTTTTTCCATTATCCGTGCTAAACCGGACTAAAACGGTCACACCATTAACCGTCCACCCCACTTACTCGATCGGACCAACGGTTTAAACCGGTTGACAACCAACCAAGTAACAAAAGTAACGCAACGATCCCTACTACAAAATACAAATCACTTACTATAAGATTTACACCATCACACGGCGATCGCCGACGCAACTATCCTTCAACTGGTCTCGATCTCTCTCCGCCCCATGACGATCGAGAACTGCACCATCTCGGATATGGATCCGACGCTTATAACCGAATCATTCCGTCAGAGTTCTCCGATCAGCAAGCTCGCAGACGATCTTCTTCAACAGATTCTGATACGCCTCCCAAACCCTAGAGTCGCCTGCCTGTGCAAACTCGTCTGCAAGCCGTGGAGCTCCCTGATCTCCGGCCCTCGCTTCAACCGCCTCTTCGTTTCTCACCACAAAAGCATGAGCCACGCGCCTATGCCGGACGATCCATTCGAGCTTCAGTCGACGATCTGCAGCTTCCTCCCTCCCGTGCCCACAACGGTTCGAAACAGTCTCCGAGTTTTGGATTGCAACAAGGACTTGGTTCTATGCGGGTTCTGGGATCTCGATTCCCGGAGCGGCGAAAGCAGCAGGTCGTACTTGGTCTGCAATCCGTTCACGAAGCAGTGGATCGCCCTTCCTTTGGCGCCCATGAGGCATTACCCTCATTACGAATCGAGGGTTTCGAGGTTAGTTTGCGAACCCCGTATCTCCGTCGGTCTCGATCTAGGAGATCGTGACCGAACATTTACGTACACCGAGCATCGATTCCGTGTGGTGTGTTTGTATCAAGGCCATAGTGGGGCCATCACGCTAGACGTGTTTTGTTCCGAGTCTGGAGAATGGACCAAAGATGCATTTTTCTGGGGCACGTGTGATAGAATCAGACCGAGAAGTGTAGTTTCGTGCAACGGGGAGTTGTTTTTGAAGTATTTGAAGTATGCTGATGATAAGGTGGATGGGTTCAATCCTTTCCGCCTCGATATGCCTCCCGTTTCCATCGATGTTTCCGCGTTCCTCGCGAAACACCGATGGTTTATTTCCAACTCACGAGGCGGTGCGTTGCACGTGATCGCACTCGAGAGCGAAACACCGATGCTTCCCGCTCGTGCGAGCGTCTGGAGGTTGGGAGAAGACCGTAAATCTTGGAGGAAACAATGCGAGGGGTTGATGATGATGTCATCGAACTATGAATTAGCCGAGGAGGGATGTTTCGAGCCTTTTCTCCATCCGCACAAGCCGGAACTTGTGTTCTTCAGCCGGGTTGCTCATCGTGACTACATGAATGACATGATGTGCTGCGATCTGGGAAGGGAATCATCAGAGGTCGAGTTGTTTGCTGCGCTAGAACGGTGGGATGATGTCCGTCACCTTCAGGTGTTCCAGCCTAGGGTTTCTTGTTGTTGGGCTACTCCATTGATAATCCCAAGGTGCAAGCAGCAGCCGTTTCAAGGCGTGTGCGGTACTGGAAGTGGCGGCTTTTGGGCTGATGAGAGCATGTGCTGCAGCAGTGAAGCTGCTGCAGAATGTCCATCCCTCCACTTCCTCAATAATTGGTGATTCTTGCTTGCTTCCTTGCTTCTCTGCCTCTAAAAATTCAGACTTTCTTTTAGCTGCTTTTGCCTGCCTGTCTGCCTGTAATATAGGTGCTGCATGCTTTAAAGCATTAATCTTTAGTTGTTGTACAACTTTACAACTTGAAGTTGTACCACAACATAAATGTTATGGTACAACTTTAAGTTGTATTAGCCATACCCCGTTCGCTTCGCTTCGCGAATAAGTGGAATACATATTTTGATGCATCTATTTGGTAAGGATTAAGGAAGGTAGAATCTGAAATTAAAGTAATTTGAGGAAGAATAGATAGTTTTCTTCAACAGAAACATCATACATTAAATGAAAGTCCTGAACAGCTGGTACTTTTTTTTGGGTAGAAACTGTATAGTTGATAGTAAGTAGTCTATTCTTAGTAGTAACAAAGTGGATCGCATAACGTGATATCTGAAGAGTCGGGAGTAAGTCATCTTTCCTCATGATTGGCTGGACCTCCACAGTAAATTTTTTTGTCTCGTACAGATGCTATGTGAGCAAGTCTTGTCTCATTTGTCATATTGGAAAATTCTTTAGGAGAACATTTCAATAGTGCAGTTGCTGCATTGTGCTCAAAGAGAAAACTGGATTTTGTGAATCGGTCCTCGCACAAAATTTGTAAAAATCGAGTTAAAATCGCTTTAACCGGACCGAATACTGTCACGGACCAACTCTTGGCCGTGCGGCACTTAGCACTCAAGTCTCGTTAGAGCGCTAAGTCAGCCTTGCTCGTATTCACTCAAACTCACAAGTGTTGGAGAAAACTTTATAGATGGAAATCTCTCAATTTCTGGATGAATAAAAAATGAGGGAGAGAGATGCTTATATAGGCATCCTCTCCACTAAGTACAATGCATGTAGGCCATCATTAATGAATGAACCTAGATAGTCCCCTCATACATGAACTAGCCTCATACATGAATGATACTTAATAATATGAATGTATGTTCACCCATACATGAATCGTAATAAATAGGGAGGATGCATGTGCGCTAGTGCATGAATCTAGAGATACATGCACGCACCTACATCCTTCTAGAGTCTTCTAGAATTTCCTCCGTGACATTCTCCCCCACCAAATTCACGACGTCCTCGTCGTGACACCATCTTCGCATCAGCGTCATTGTTGGTGTGGTTATGATGTGCTTTATGGCGAGCAAGGGTGGCCCTGGCCCTTGCACAAGTTCCACTCCTCGAAGATGTCGTGCTCTCCTTGCCCTCGCTCTCTTGCGCTGAGACCTTGAACATTTCATCCGCATCTGCGTCATCTTGGTCGTTGTCCTTGTCACCTTGGCTTGCTTGTTCAAGCAAGCTTTCGAAGCCTTGGGTGTCGTTATCACTAGTGACACCTTGTCCTGTTTCGCTCTCCTCTTCACGTGTTGAATGCCTAGCCTCCACACTTTGCCCGCAACGAGAAGGTCTTCACAAGCCTTACCCCATATCAAGGCTTTTGTTGTCCCTTCATCGAGCCTCGCTCTATCGAAGCATCGACCACCATATACATGAGGAGGGTCTTCTATCTCCTTTGTTGTTTCCGACTCCCCTTGGTGGACCACGTTAGAAGGATGGCTCTCCCCAACTTGAGCCTCCTCATCTTCTCTTGTCGAGTGCTCGACTCTGTAACCACATGTCCTCTCATCCATAACAGAGTGTTGCTCGTAGCTCCCAACATTGTTGTTGTCAGACGCACCAAACTCTTCTGACGCAACATCGCTTTCGGATGCCTCTTGCTCCTTAGGCTGAAAAGCTTCGGCCTTAAACGCACCAAACATGCTAGGTTGTGCTACGGACGCACCAAACTCTTGCGTATCCCTCGTTGGGAGAATCACCTCTCCCTTGAGCTTCGCAACCTCCATTTGCATGCTCTCAAACTTGGCCACTAGTGTCTCCTTCAATGACTCGGCCCATCTTTCCAGAAGGTCATCAAATAGAGACGTGTTCCTCTTGGCCTTGCTCATACGCTCGTCACCACGAACGGATCCAGAAGCCATCTCATAGAAGTTCTTCCTCACTTGTTGAGCTACGACCTTGGCTCTGATACCACTTGTCACGGACCAACTCTTGGCCGTGCGGCACTTAGCACTCAAGTCTCGTTAGAGCGCTAAGTCGGCCTTGCTCGTATTCACTCAAACTCACAAGTGTTGGAGAAAACTCTATAGATGGAAATCTCTCAATTTCTGGATGAATAAAAAATGAGGGAGAGAGATGCTTATATAGGCATCCTCTCCACTAAGTACAATGGATGTAGGCCATCATTAATGAATGAACCTAGATAGTCCCCTCATACATGAACTAGCCTCATACATGAATGATACTTAATAATATGAATGTATGTTCACCCATACATGAATCGTAATAAATAGGGAGGATGCATGTGCGCTAGTGCATGAATCTAGAGATACATGCACGCACCTACATCCTTCTAGAGTCTTCTAGAATTTCCTCCGTGACAATACCCATTGATTTGGACATTGATTCAAGCTTAATGTTATAATTTAATTGCTTGGAAACTTAATGGTATAAAGACTCCTCAAAGCTTTGGTTAGTAGGAGTCTAGTAATTAGTAGGAGGACTAAATAATCAACTTTTGCCTCCCATTGATTTGACACTAAAAATATAGGAGTCTAGTAATTAGTAGTAGGACTAAACAATCAACTTTTGCCTCCCATTGATTTGACACTAATGAACAGTAAAATTCTTATTTGTTCTTTTAAAGAACTAACTAACTAACTAATAACTTTAAAGCACAGTAGAATGCTCATTTGTTCTCTCTTTTTTTTTTTTGGATCAGCATCGATCGCGTCGCGAAATCGTCATTGTACAAGGAATACATAGATGGTGTGATTTCAGAGGCAACTCTGGCGTTGCTGCCTGAAATCATCGAGGGCAGGAAGGGCGAAGTCAACAAGATTATTAGACGACGGCGGGTTTCTAGTTCTCCTCCAAATTATGACAATGAATGGGATGTGCTGTTAGCTGCGATGAATGATGTTACAGTTGATATAGATGCTATTACCCGGCAGAAAGAACAGCTGAAGCATGCAGTTGTGCGCCAAATGGCTGCAGACCTTCCTTATCCTCCTCCAGGTTAATTATAACAAGCTTAGCTTAATTTGGACTAACAATAATGGATTAATATGATTCTGTTGTCATTCATTCATATCCTTTTTTAATTAATTTCCAGGCCGTATGAAAAGTATCTTCTGGCGGGAGCCTTATCGTGGCGGGGGACTGAAGTCTCTTAAAAGCGTACACCAAGGTGATCGGAGAAGTACCTATACGACGTCGTTTTCGACCGAATAATTCGCTTAGCGTCTGGTCCAAATCCGAGATACATGAGTTCTCGATCGCCATGGCGTGAAGAACTACCGATTGAAAGGATAATAATAAGTTAATAACGTCGGCGGCGGAGGAGAAAGGATTCGGCGGCAGGCGTCTTTTTTTACGACGGAGAATGCCCAATAGGTTTAATTTATACGTACGGCGGCTGTTCCGTGGTCGTAAAGGAAGGGTTTTCCATTTAACTCTTTTTTTAATTTTACCTGTTTCATTTTTAAAAAATTATATTGGTGTTGGCCATAGATATCGTTGAATCGATTCATCATCATCGTTTTGTGGAAGCGTGTATATCATCTTGCTCATACTCGACTTAATTGGAGTAGAGACTAATGATAGCGATAACATCATTATATTTACGGTCGGAGCAGGTTAGGGATGATCAATATTGTATTTGTTTTAGAACTGGTCCCAATTTCCACCCCTAATACTTCCCATTGTTTCAACTTTCAACTTCTTTAGTCTTATTACTCCGAGTGGCTTCCTTACCCACTTTCTCCTCCTGCTTCAATTACCTATACATGCTAATTTTGACAAACGTTTATCTAGAAAAGTTAACTAGATAAGAAATCGTAAATATGCAACATAAGATAAGACTTATTAACATTGAATTATTTTATTATTAATGAGGCAAATTGTCATTACAAATAGTTAATTATCACAAAACTAATAGTCAAATAGTACAGTAAATCATTGACAATGTCTGGTATGAAGTCTTTTTCTTCCATTTTTTGTGTCGTTCTTTATCATGTTTTGTTTCCATGGATGGTGATTTGACACTTTGGTTGTTCTTTGTTCTGGTTGTTCGAATCGAAAGGTGACGCAATTGATGCTCAACCTCGATCTAGGATGAGCAGCAAGGATTGTTGTGGGTGCAATGTGTCATTTTTCGGTAGATTGATTAGCTATCAGTCGTCGAATTTTCATATTTCATTCATTACATAATTGTAAGCATACTGTATTGTACACCGATCTATGGTAAAAAAAAAAAATATGTCATGCAGATCACCGCAATGTTATTTTAAAAGGTTTTAGCGGGTTGCGCTTGGCTGTGGAATTCGGGAAAGTACGAGATTTAAGTACAAATATGACATTGTACGAAATAAAAATGTTCTTCAAAACATCAATGTCCCCCCACTCCTTACTCTTTGCCTGCAAAATCACAAAAACAAACAACCAAGCATGAAGAAATTAACCCTCGATACATATGATATCCCATGTTGATCGATCTTCCGTTCAAAATCACAGTTGAGAACCAGCACGCAGATGAAAAACCAATTTCTAAATATTCGTAATCAATAAATCACATCGATTGATACGTCATGAATTTTTAAATGCAAGTACAATTAAATTGTCCAACTCAAATCCTAAATTTATGTATAGCTTTGAATAAATCAATGTGCAGTATATAATTTTACAAAAACATTGCGATTTTTTTTTTATGTGTCATGCATCATTTATACATTTATTATCAATATAAATATTACTAGGATGAAGTCAGGTGATATCAGTTGGCCGGCGTTCTTTAGCATGACGGTTTGGTGCCTGTGGAAGAACAGGTGTACGGCCTCCCTCCAAGGAAGAGCTGCCGCCCTTACTGCCCCCTCTCTGGAGCACTCCATCATGACCAAGACGAAGCTTTGGCACGACGCCTGGCAGGCTCCGTCTCTTATGCCGGACAACCGACTGCGACCAGCGGAGCGCCAATGGGCTAACATCTGTTGGTCTCCCCCTCCGGTCGGTTGGGTCACTCTGAACGTTGACGGGGCTTCCAACGGTAATCCGGGCCCGGCAGGGGCTGGCGGTGCAGTCAGAGACTCTACGGGGAAGTGGTTGGGAGGCTTTGTTGCCAACATTGGAGAAACTACTGCTGCTCATGCGGAGATTTGGGGGATTGATCATGGCCTGAATCTTGCCTGGAACCTTGGCTACAGAACTGTCAGAGTGGAGTCCGACTCCCAGCTTGCTCTGAGCCTCATCCAGAACAGAGAGGACCCCATCCACCCTTATGCTACTCTTCTGGCTAGTATTCGCAGGAAATTAGGACGGGATTGGTTGGTAAGCATCACTCATGTGTACCGAGAAGGGAATAGAGTCGCGGACTGGCTCTCGAAGCACAGTCTCGTCTATCCCTACGGTGCTCATGAGCTTGTTAACCCTCCTCCCGGCCTAGTGAGTATCCTTAGAGATGATGCCCATGGCACGACTTTTGAGCGCCGCATTGCGGTCCGCCCTCCTCCTCCTTCTTAACCCCCTGTAATGCTCTTCTTTTTCTAGGCCTCGGCCTCCCAGTAATGCAAAAAAAAAAAATATATAATAAGGTCTCACCTTCGCATTTAAGAGAAGGTATAATACTTCTGATGACTGGCAGAATAAGGTCAAGTCTCCCACCACAATAACGCTCCCGCCAGAAGATGCTTTTCATAGCGCCTGGAAAATTAATTAAAGGATATGAATATGAAATGATAACAGAATCATATTAATCCACTATTAGTCCAACTTTAATTATGTTTAATTTACCTGGTGGAGGATAATTAGGAAGCTGATCATCTGTCGCCGCCATTTCATGCACAACTGCCTCCAACAGCTCTGCTCCCTGCCTCTTAGTAGCATTTCCATCATCACCAGTAAGAACACGACAAGCAGCTTGCAGTGCATCGTATTCACTGTCCAAATCTGGAGAATCAATCTTTTTGATCTCCCTCTGCTTGTGGTTAATCATTCGAATCAGTAATGGCACGGTTGCTTCTGAAATGGCATGATGTATATAATCCTTGTACATGGTTGATTTCACAACAGGATCCACACTGAAAAAAAAAAACAAATGCATAAACCTTACGGGACCTCCTACCATGCCTTGAAATTACTATAACTTGACGTTTTTTTACCTGATATAGCAGGTTTTATAGGTCGCGTTACGTAAAACTAATGTTTATTACGTAACAATTACGTAATGCTTGTTAGTCTTACGTAACAGTTAAAATAGAAGCGTTAAGGAAGGTTTCCGTAACGACTTAACATTTTACGTAACGCTAGATTAATATTCATTACGTAAAAAGCATCGTCTATTACATAAGGCTTCCGTAATGACATTTTAAAACTGTTACATAAAATACATGCTCATTAGGTAAAGGTTACGTAACGAAGGTTATTTCTTACGTAACAGTTAAATTAGAAGTGTTACGTAAGACTTCCGTAATGACTTACCACATTACGTAACTTGATTAATATCATTACGTAAAAGGACCATCCATTACGTAAGGCTTCCGTAATGCCACTTTACAGTTGTTACGTAAAATATGCATCTATTACGTAAAGGTTACGTGACAATAGTTATTTCTTACGTAACAGTTAAATTAGAAGTGTTACGTAAGCCTTTCGTAATGATTCAACAGATTACGTAACGAAATGTTAATATTCATTACGTAAAATGAGTGTCTGTTACGTAAGGTTTCCGTAATGACATTTTTCAACCATTACGTAAGATAAACACACATTACGTAACCATTACGTAATGCCTATTGTATTTTACGTAATGCGACTTGTGAAACCTGTTATAGCAGGTCAAAAACATCAAGTTACCATAACTTCAAGGTATTGTAGGAATTTCCTAAACCTTAAATTATCATCAACATAGAAATTAATTAAACCTAGGGTTTCAAGCATTCACCAATTTCTTAGGATGTGGAGGGATGGACATTCTGCAGCTGCTTCACTACTACTTCCACCGCCTTGCAACTGCGGAATCGGAGTAGGCCAACAAGAAACCCTAGGCACGAACACCTGAAGGTGATGGATATCAGACTTCCGTTTTAGTCTAGCAAACAACGCCGGCGCTGCTGCTTCTTCTTCTTCTTCTTCTTCCCTTCCCAAATCGCAGCACATCAAAGCATTCCGCGGGCCGTGCTTGTTTCTCAAATAAGAAATCTCATACTCATCAGCAACCCGACTGAAGAACACACGTTCCGGCTTGTGTGGATGCAGAAAAGGTTCAAAACATCCCTCATCTTCATGTCTACAATACATTGATGTCCTGTTCACCAACCCCTCGCACTGTTTCCTCCAAGATTTACGGTCTTCTCCCAGCCTCCACACGCTCGCGCGAGTGGGTAGGGTTTCGCTTCCCGCGAGTGCAATCAAGTGCAACGCGCCTTGCGAGTTGGAAATAAACCACGGGGACTCCGCGGGGAACGGAGAAGAAACGTCGATGAAAGCGACAGGCGTGTCGAGGCGGAAAGGATTAAACACAGCCACCAAATTAGGGATGTAGTTGGCATCGTGACTTGCTGCACAGTACTTGAAAAACAACTCCCCGTTGCACGAAACCACACTTCTCGGTCCGATTCTGTCCCAGTTTTCGAAGGCGAGAGCATCCTTGGTCCATTCTCCAGACTCCGAACAAAACACGTCCAGCTTGATCACTTGATGGGCTTGATGATATACACACACCACCCGAAAGCGATGCTCCGAATAAACAAAAGATCGATCGTCGTCTCCGAGATCAAGTTCGATACGGGGTTCGCAAACCAACCTTGCAGCCGGCGAGTCGTAATGCGCGTACCTCCTCGGCGCTAAAGGAAGGGCGATCCACTGCTTCGAAAACGGATTGCAGACCAAGTACGACCTGCTAGTCTCGTCACTCATACGACGAGCTAGATCTCGAAACCCGCATAAAACCAAGTCCTTGTTGCAATCCAAAACTCGGAGCCTGTTTCGAACTGTTGTGGGCATGGGAGGGAGGAAGCTGCCGATGATCGATAGAAGCTCGTATGGATCGTCCGGCATAGGACCGTGGTTGAGGCTCATGCTTTTGTGGTGAGAAAGGAAAAGGCGGTTGAAGCGAGGGCTGGAGATCAGGGAGTTCCACGGCTTGCAGACGAGTTTGCACAGGCAGGCGACTCTAGGGCTTGGGAGGCGTATCAGAATCTCTTGGAGAAGATCGTCGCCGAGCTTGCTGATCGGAGAAGTAGAACCGATGCGGCGGCGTTTTCGAGGGAATAATTCGCTTAGCGTCTGGTCCAAATCCGAGATACGTGAGTTCTCGATCGCCATGGCGGAGGAGAGACGGATTTCGATCGGTGGCGTAGTGTACGAATGGCCAATAGGTTTTATTCGTTTTATTTATTTATACGGCCGCTGCTGCGGCTATGCCGGAAACAAGTCAAATTCGGTGGTAATAATTTAAGATTTTAATAATCTGAATGTAATTTGATAGGTATCTCATCTGACCCTAAAAGTTTCATATATATAATTCGGTTTTTCGAGAAAAGCATCTGTGAGAGGGTCAAAACGCAACATTATGTCTAAGAGTCGGAAACAAGTCGATCCGGTCAGATCGTCGCTTTTGAAAATTTTGGCCGGCTATCGATTTGAAGGCAAATTGACTTTGTGGAGATCGTTCTTTGGGACGGTCTCCGGTCGGACCTGGTCCAATCGGCCGGCTTGACAACACTCATAAAAACCATCAGATTGTATATATCTCATGGTCAACAAAAGGCTCACCTCATCGAAGTAAACCCTACCCTAACCCTTATATATATAAAGTACTACTAATACTAAAACAATAAAGATACGCAAGTCCAATAATTATTCCATTTGTTATGATGGTTTGATTCTCGTAAGAGGAGGTGAATTAGGCGCCAAACCATCACCATTCCTATTGGAACAGTTCAAGGGAGGGAAACAACATAGATTCTCCCTCCCGGGAGAACCTTTCTGGGTTATGAAATCACATGGCAGTCAAAATGTCACCGGGAATGAAATAGTCGTCAAAACATCGTATAATAACGTGATATTTATATATATATATATGTCGCGAAATCTCGTCAATTTCAATTTAGCGGCAGATTATCGTGTTTCGGTCTTGGTTTTGGAACCCGAAACGTGTTGGGTTTTCGCCAGCCGTTCCGCGTTTCCCAGTTGTTTTAATGGCTTTTTCGGTTTTTCCGAAGGACGTGCTCTGACTGTACATGGGCGCTGGGCCGTGCTTGGGCCGGCACGACACGGGCATGCTTCGGGCCCATTTATTTTGTGTCATGCTTGGCACGGCCCGTCAATTTTCATGTCGTGCCAAGCAAGCCCATTTATTAATTTTGATAGGCCTGGCTCAGGCCCGGGCACGGTTCAAATCGTGTCGTTCCTATTCGTGCTTGTGTCATGCCCGTATTCGTGTTTGATGAAAAGGACGAAAACAAAAGAGAGAATGAAAAAGAAGGTGGAAATTGGACGGGGGAAGATAGTATTAACCGATAATGTTTGAGAAAAGTAACAAATAAGGGGGGAAAAGAAAATTGGAAGTATAGCGAGTGTGATTGATTTTGTTTAATTCTTTAATTTGTCCATTTTTACTTATGTTAGTAATTACGTATATATCTTTATGACAATTCTAACAACAACAAATAATTATTTTTCTACTTGTGTTTTGTAATATTTGAACCTATAATTCTTTTTATATTTATTTTCTATCAAATAAATATCATTTACGTGCCATGTCCGGTCTTATACTCAATAAAGTCTCAAAAGTATTAGGTCCGACACAACCCACTTATATACCGTGTGCTCATGAAGTTTAGACCCGGCACGACTCATAAATTATTCGTGCTCGTACCGAGCTGGCCCATTTATTTCGTGCCCGTGCTCGTCCGTGGGCGGTACGGCCCCGTGCCCACGTACAGCTCTGACCCAATATTTAAATGGGCTTAAACTGCTAGCCCACCAGGTAACTTTGAATCAGCCAGATCCAGATGACCAAGCCCATCCTGAGCTTTCTGGCCTGATGCCAGATTCTGGCCAGTTAAGACAGGCCCAACTATGCCACCCCAGGCCCTAAAGCGGGGGAAGCTGTAGAAACGTGTGATCGAGAATTGAAACGGCCGGCGGGAGAAACGCACGAAAAAATAAATGTTTCGGCTCCTCAGAACGAAAATCAAAACACGGTAAGTTGACGAGAAAGATATATTGACGACGGTATACGATATATTATGATATATCGTGATAATTTATGATATTTTTTATATAATATTTTTGGAATATATTGACACCATGGTGAAAACAAATCTTCAAAACAATAGGAAAATATGCCTGAAAATTGAGCAAAAAAGGTAGGAATATTTGACCTTCACTATGTACCTTTCGTCCTGTGCTGAAAAAGCAGTTTGCATAGGAGAAATCGGAGCAAGAGAGCGGAAGAACGGTTTCTATTTGGGCTCTCATCGTAAGATCGATCTCTGATGATAAAAATCCTGTTTGAAACTAATGTGAACTCTATGTCATTAGAAGACAATATTATGCAAGCCAATCAATGACTCAAAGGAACTCAAGGAGAAATCAATTTTCTAATCTACACTACTTATAATACATTTTAAAAAGTTCTGATAATGGAAGGAAAAATTATGAAACAAATCAATCATAAACATATGATAAAAATTAACTTAACAAACAATGTTACCAGTCATTTTTGAATAACTATAATACTGTGTCATTAAGTTTATTATGAGTTGATATTCCTTCCATGAGTCCTATAATTTTAACTTCAACCAGAATCTCAGAATCTGCATATATAAAAGACAATGATTACAAAGTAATAATATGTATGATGAATGCTCATTTTCTACTTTCTCAACAAATGAATAATTTGACTTTCTTAATGGCCAACTATATTGGTATTTTCAAAAATTGATAGAATTACTTTTTAATTCGCATGGAATTAACATATAATCATGACACGAATCTAAAAGAAGAGAATATCACTAAAATTTAATTTGGAACATTTGTGTTCTACGATTATCGATCATATTGCAACCGACCAACGGGCCGGGGTACGATCTAGTTTTAGTGAAGTATATTACTCTATTTCCCTTTGGGTTTATATATTTAATTGTTGTCACCCCATTTAAAACTTGATAAAATCTTAAAATAAGTTTGAAAAGATGATAAATGTTAATTATTTTATAAATACCTCTTGGAATGATCTATGCCCAAGTTATCGAAATCTTGTGGCCCGATACAACGATCGGGATACAACTCGATACTTGTCCGATATATGTTGGTTCTAAAGGAGCACATGTCTCATATCACAAGTCAAGTATAAGGCAAGGCGTATCGGCTGCCCTCGAACAAGGCGAAGGCATATACTTGTGCTCCAAACGTGTATAGAGTAGGAGGAAGGCGTTTCGTGACATCTTCATATCACTACTCGATATTTGTCTGACCTATTGGTTCTCAAGGAGCACATGTCTCACACCTCATATAGTTAAGGGACACTACGAGAGCAGGTGTCTCGAAGTCCAGGATCATAGCAACAACGATCATAGAGTTAAGGCGCCAAGTTGTTCCGACCATGATCCTTCGACAGAAGGTTCATCTGACCATTGGAACCATCAAAGCCTCGCATTCGGAAAGACAACTTAGCAAAGCTCCATCACAGTCAGTTTTGCAATGATCTAGCAGGAGATTGATGCAGTAGATGCAAGCCGTAAAACCATTTCAATGAAACTATCCAGCCAACTAAGAGCTCTTACATAGGATCCCTTCCTTTCAAAGAAGCAGCCACAATGTTTCACTAAATGCAAGTTGCTCAGGAAGAAAGGATCAAGTGATATAAGTTCGCAGGTCATGTACTGAAGTAAAACATAGCTTAAATGGACTAACTGCCTCAGGAGGCCACTAAAAGGATTTCAGTTGCTTTTCGACAAGGGAGATCAAGGTGGAATCTGGACAATGACGATTCGGGGTGCCCTGATTGATTTCCCAATGATCCTTTAACCGATGTCAACGGGTGTTTAATCAGCATCCATTTCTTCAAGTGCAGTCCTAGCAGCAGACTTGGCCTCCTCTAGTAGCTGATCTGGAACCTGAATACCAAAGTAAAATTGGCATCGCATACAAGCATCAGCCAGCAGCATACACAAAAAAACACATACAACCATGCATTTCCTTTATGTTTCCAGATTCATGGGCTATCAAGCAATTTATTCTATACCCTGAGGTTTCTTCATTACTCAGAATTGAAGAGATAGACAACCTCTGGTAAAAAAATTAGGATTCATGAGCATGAAGAGTCTAGGTCGAGAAATACCTTCTGATGTAATCTGTTTGACTCGTCACAAACCCAGCTCAGTTCGAGTTCGAAGGCCTTATCCTTTGCTTCATCATGTACCTTGTAAATGCTGCATAACATTAAATCACATAACTGATCTTTACTTTTCAGATAAGAGATGGGAATGAAGAAATTTCAAAGTTCCTGGGAAAATCAGGAATGGCTGTAGGCAGATATCAAGGAGTTTTAATTGGATGATAAACCATGCACAACGCTAAGAAAGAATGTCAAGGTTGGAACCACTTGAAGGTATTGAGACTTGAGTCATTAGTAAAAGACTCCAAACTCGCCAAAGAAGTCCACTAAATGAATTCAATGCAACAAAACCTCACATTTTGGCTACTTCAAGAACCCCTTCACGGCATGTCATTTCTGAAAGCTTTAACTTCTCGATTTCCCTGCACCATCCATTGCATCATTGCCAAGATGAACAAATATCAAAATCATTATGTACATGACACCTTCAATTGGTGCAATTAGCAATACTATGCACCACACTAACTATTGAAATGCAAAAGCAAAAAGACTTACGTTTTAGCTGCCTGCTTGCCCTTTCCAATTGCAGCACCAAAATACCTCTACAAAGGCGAGAATCAGAATTACTGTAAGCATTCCAAACAGCAGCAGTTTGTGAAATCCAAGTAACATCCAGAGTGAAGCTTCATCAAGTTCAAAATAAAGCAACTCCAGGCAGGTAAGAAAAGGTTACTTACATAAGATATTCCAGAGGGTTCAATCATGTACAACTGTGGTCCATCTCTGTCATAACCACCAAGAATGACACCACAACCGAAGGGCCTGCAATGCAAAAAATGTATATAAACTTTTTTCCTTTCCTATTCCTTTCAAGCACTTCCAAGGAAACTACGTACTAAGACAACAAAGTGCATCCATTTATACAGAAGCAAAGGATCAGTTCTTACCTAAGCCACCAATAGAGAGTACATAGGTGCACATAGCTAGCAACACGTTCAGCAAGTTCTTTGACAGGGATCGGTTCACCATAGGTACTGCAACATGAGAACAGAGTGGCCACATCCTTAGCACTTGTATCACTCTGAATTTTAAATAGCAAGCATTGTAAGAACAAGCAAAGCAGCCATTTTGATGATAGCAGATAATCTATTAGAAAAACTCACAGTCTACCAAAATACTCGTGTGCCTAAACCAGAGCACATTGAAAACATACATGTATCAGAAGGAAAAGAACAAGGGGCAGGCTTATTCTAAAGAGAAAAGACAGTCATACTTGACCAAATTATACAACTAACAATCCTTGTCCACATTTGTACAAAGAGGCGTCAAAATCACTACACGGGGATTTGCTCTATTCACCAGTAATGAACTCAGTAATGAACGGGAATAACTACCAGATATCACACTTTTCATTCCTCTGTTAGCAACCTAGTAGATATAAGAATAAAAACAGCATTTGAAACTACAAGGAAGGGCAGAAGAAGATAACAAACTTGTCATAATTGGTTGCCTCGGACTTTCCTCGTGCAACAATCTGTCTACCATCAGCAGCTAAGCCAGCCACAGCCTGATAAGGAAGAGAAAAAATAAGTACAGGCATAAGCAGTTTGTTGAGATAGCAAGTGAGAGTTGAAGTCATAAAAACTGCACATGAAATATCAGATGGAGCATACTTGATGCTTGACAGAATGCACTTCTGATGGAAAAATCATTACTTACTACATATGACTACAAACTAACAGTCTCTTGACCAAAAAATTAACCTTTAACCACTACTCCCTTAATTTTGCAGTAAGGCGACCACTTCCTCACCTACAATTGAAGTCCAAGAGATTGCTAATCTTTCATAGAACTTCTTACCAAAGGAATGTCCGGATGACATCTTAGGATCGATTAACTACTGCCCATGAGAGGAAATAAAAGAGGCGACCTACCAAGTTTAACTTCATCCATGACAACCGTGGGGACATCATTAATCAGCAGTCAAGATAGCAATGTGGGGGAAAATATCAACAAGTTCATTGGGTAACCACATAAGCCAAGAGAGTTGAAAGGTTTGAGATCCATCAAAGCGAAAGTGAGAGGGATGAAAGAGGAGTACCATTCCAGTATGCCTATGAACTGAATGGATCCTTCTATTGGAACCGGGCAACATCATCTTAGAAGCTATGAGCTTCTCCACACCCTAAATTTCGAAACAACACAAAGGAAACAGTATAAGCCCATCAAATTCTAGTGAAAAGCACTGAACCAACGCCACCAAAATTGAATAACTACAGAAAGCGAGGGCCAAAGTGAAAGAAGTGCGCATTTACCATAACAATGCCATCTTTGCACTTGAGTCCGACAACAGTCCTGCCCAATCCAACAACAATCTCACATCAGAACAACCCCAAAATCCTGAAGCAAAAAAACCCTAAAGCTAGACTGGGAGAAGCGAAGGCTCGCAATCTGAAGCCGCCGAGAAGAATGGGCGTTCTCCAATTCCCCCGCCCATCCCATCTTTCTTCCCTTCCGTCAAAATTTCTCAGCACACAAAGGAACGTAAAGTAGAAGACGGGGAGATGTACAGGGCAGCTTACCCGCTGTTGTCCACGGCCTTGGCGGCGTATTCGATCTGGAAAACGCGGCCGTCGGGGGAGAAAGTCGTGACGGAGAGATCATAACCGGTGCCGATGCTACTCATCCTTGTTCGTCGTTGCGGATTTCAGCTCGAATTCTGATATCGAAAGACGAAAGCTTTCTTCGGTCTACTTTCTTCGTCTGGTTTTCTGGTGTGTGCAACTGTGCATACGACTATACGAGGGCAGAAGAGGAAGTAGAAGAAAGCGAGTTTTCTTCGATCTCAAGACAGAACACTTGGACTGCTTCGGCCTTTGGCTATTTGGTTCTTGCTCCTTTATGCTTGGGCCATAGCCCATAAGTTATGATTGGGCTCGTGGATCTTCATCTCCTCAATTTTTTCCCTTTTTTTTTTTTTTAATAATTTTCCCCCATTTTACATTTCTCTTTGTATCTCTAATTTCCACTAATTAGGGGTGGGCATTGGGTGGGTCGGGTGGATTTTGACCATAAAATGCATCCACCCGCGCTTAAACGGATTGATAATTTTTAACCCACCACCCACCCACATTTAGTCTCGGGTTGGGTCGGGCGGATGGTGGATGATGCGGGTGGGTTTGTGGGTTCACCCACATCACAATGTATATAATATAAAGGAGTCAACTTGACATGATAATAGGTGAAGAGAATCATCGAGGGAAACAAGAAGTTGAAATAGGGCGAAAAATGTCGAATTAGTTCTTAAATTGGATAGAAATTCTATTATGAAAGAATTTTTACAGATTGAGACGATTATTAGGTGCAAGGAACTAAGGAAAATAATTCAACAAAGGAAAGAGCGGTGATCTAGGCACAAGAATTAGAGGAAAAATAAAGAGAAGAAGAGGGGATATCTAATTGGAAGGTTGGCTTTGAGGTTCAAACTCCAGGAGCAGTCCGAGTTTATATCTAATGTCTCCACTCTCCTCTCTCTAGCGCCAACGACTTTGATCTTTTTGCTGTTGGGTTGAGCGGGTCACCCGCACACTCACCCACAACCCACCCACCACCCGGCGGATGGCTCCCAGCGCAACCCGTCACCCACCCACAGACCCACCCACTTAACGAAATTCGGGTCAAATGCGGGTGGGTCGACCCAAACCCGCGGATGATCCGCTCACATGCCCAGCCCTACCACTAATGGCGTTCTAATTTTTTGTTTTATTTGAAGATTGTGATTTTACAAGGTTGGTGATTTAAATAATGCATACACGCTTTAAAATTTATCATTTTTTTTTAAGTTTTATGACCCGCATGTATTTAAATGGCGAAACGAGAGTTACAATCGTTTCTAATTACTCGCATGCCAGTTGTACCATCTGTGGTTAGTTAAGTAAATCATATAGAACCTCTATCATACAAGGACTTGAGTGTTGAGTCTTAAAATCCTCCAAAGTGAGAAAATCAAAATCTTACTCTATCCAACAAGAGTTGAAAATCAAAATCCTTCAAAATGAAAGTCTCGTAAATCTTACTTTTCATAAGAGATTTGAAATAACTTGCTTCAAATAATGTTTCTTTTCCGGCCTTCCTTCCATACAACACATTCTTTAAACCTTCCATACAACACATTCTTTAAACGAACTAATTTATAAAAATCACTCTCTCCAAATCAACACATTCCTCAAATCCCTCTGTTTTAGAATCACAACCTCCAAGTGAGGCATAGAACTATATGGTTTGGCTCTTTTATAATCCAACGTGTAGCAAGCTCATACCAGTAGTCCTTCATCAGGGATTTTTCAGACGAAGATCCTGTGTGATAGCTCCAACAACCTAATAGGATCAAATGCCTATCAGCACAAACTCATCTCAGCAGTTCCCACAACTAAGGCAGTCTCCAAAGAGCTGCAACGAAACACGAAAAGCTCGACTGAACTAGTGCGCCATGGATGACAAAGAAGTAAGAAACAAACCCAGATTCAGGCAGTATAAGAGGACCTACATGCTTATAGGCACAAACTCATTTCAGTAATTCCCACAACTCAGGCAGTCTCCATGGAGCTGCACCAGTACGAAAGGCGAAAAGCACGACTCAACTAGTACAACATAGATGACTAAGAAGCCAGAAACAAACCCAGGTTCAGGGAATAATGGTACACACAGTCGCACATCAGCTTCCCATTATGTGTAATCCTTATCAAGAGTTGTATGATACAACATATCATCAATTGGTTTTGATGATCAACTTAACCAGTGTCATGAAACAGGAATGTGGATCGACATCATGGGAAGAACTGAAATGGGGGAAATGGGGCACATTGAGAAGGAATTTCCCACAATGGGAGAAAGGCAGCACACACAGAGAGAGTGTGTCTGCATGCCAACCGATCTCTAGATCCAGCCAGTCAGCCCTAACCTATCAGCAAGATTGTACATTACTAGCTTATCCCACACCGGACCGAAGAGCTGTTCTCCACCGATGGCGAATGTCAATGCCCATGAGCAGAGGAGACTTGTGAATACTGAGAACCCAACAGCTGATTTCATCACATCTGCAGAAACATGAAACAAAAACCAGTCATGCTTCATATGCCAACAGACAATCCAGATCAGAAGAAGCTCAAGAGAGTGGTTTAGCAGTGATGGAGAGTGAAAAAGTAAACAAGCATTTGGCTTCTTTTTTACTCAGGAACAAGATTCAGTGGGACTTGAAACCACCATGAAAAGAACAGATAAGGGTCGTTTGGATGTGGGAATTCTTGATTCAGTGGAATAATGCAAGCAAATCACAATCATATCGAACAAGCAACCATTTTCCATCTTGAATGACTAATACAACGATCCCAAAAACCAAATTCCAACGTCAATTGATTGGTTAATCTCATCCAATTTCCAACCACCACGAATCGGCTTCATATCATATAGCATTGTTCGTAAAGATCCCACCTTTTGCATTGCATTCTACACTAAAGCTACACTTTTGATTCAAACCCAAACGAAAATCGATCAAAATACGGCTGCCCAAGATTCCCAAGATCACGAATTTTTCAGATACAATCAAATCAATCTTGTTAAACGGAGAGAAAAAGGGGCGGAGAAATTACAGGGGCGAATGACGGGGAACGAACGGGAGTGGCGGAGGACGGGCCAGAAGTAGAAGCAATTCACGGCCCACAGCCACGGCAGGAGCGCGTAGCCGAAGCCGTAGAACCGGCGGGCGTAGCTCAGCGATTCTTCCTCCGTCAGGCCCAGAGGGCCGTCGATGGTGGGCCAGACGGGCGCCGACGACAGAATGGAATTGCTGTTGCGGTTGGGGTTCGGTGCCGGAGTCGCCGCGGAGGAGGAAGGGTTGGAATTGGATTGCGAGGCTTCCATCGGAGAGCCGGCCGGCAGGAGTGGCGGCGGAATTGCTTGCAGCGGCGGAGGCGAGAGAAGGTGAGGGGGCGTTGGAAATGATTACCGGACGGGAAATGAAGTCGATCTGAGTTCGGTTTAGTTAGGTCGACTCGGGCAGTCGCTGCTTCGGTTGACACGTGTCACGCTGTGGTAAATTTTGGGGGGAATTAATTAACCACCGAGGGAAGAGTTGTCAATATTAGGAGGATGGTAAAACGTCCCGACGGTTGAAGTCAAAACTAAAATCGTTTATTGATTGATAGGTTCGGTTTAACCAACACTAATATATTTAAGGGTTATAAGTATAATATGTCTCTTTATTACGACGTTTTATCAAACATGTATCTCTATTATTTTTTACATCAAACATGTCCCTGTACTTTGGAAAACTTATCAAACATATACCCTTTTGTTAAAATTTCCATCAAAAAACCGTTAACCAAGACCGAACTTTGGTTTGGGCGACCCAAATATCTAAAATATCCCTAATAATTTCACTTTAGAGTTTTTTTTGTTCTTTTGTATAGCCAAATAATTCTAATAATTTCACTTTAATTAGGTTTATTGTTTAATAAATTTTAGGGTTAATACCTTAATTTGGTCCCAATTATAGACAAACTTTCTACTTTGATCCGTGGTGGCGGAAATTGCTATACTGGCCTGAACTATGTAGCATACTTCCTTATTTGGTCCGGAGACGGGTTTTACCGTCAAATTAGATGGTCAACCGAGTTAACCGTTAATCAAAGTCCAGCTCACTTGCCACGTCAGCTAGTAGGGAATAATTTTTTTTTTAATTTCTGTATTTTGTCTACTTTCTAATAATAAAAAATAATATTTTTTTATCATACAGATTTTTTTTTGTGGTGGTGTGGAAGATGTGATCGACACTGATCATATATAATTATTTTAAAATATTAATTTTTTTATTATTAGAAAGTAAACAAAATACATAAATTTTTTTATAAGGAAACAAAATACAGAAATTTTAAAAAATAATTTTTTATTCCCTGCTAGCTGACGTGACAAGTGAGTTGGACTTTACTAATGGTCAACTCGGTTGACTGTCCAATTTGACGGTCAAACTCGCCCCGGGCCAAATAAGGAAGTATGCTACATAGTTCAGGCAAGAATAGTAATTTTTTATATCACGGACCAAAGTAAAAAATTTGTCTATAGTTCGGGCCAAACTAAGATATTAACCCTAAGTTTTACCCTCATTTAGATTTTTATAAGGAGTTTTGTATTCATAGTATTTTAAGGATATAATGAAGATTTTCTATATCGTAACTTTTCGAGTAGGTTTATCGGTCATGTTCATGTACCTCAATCTATTGTACAAATTCTTCACACTTGGCTTATGTACTCGATATATATTTCTTGTCACCCTTGATTTATGGATTCTCAACTATTTACCTTATACTAGCTTTTTACCCGACCTTTGACTGGGAAATTTTTATTTATTATTTCATAAAATATTCTTTTGGCCAAAAATTTCATAAAATAGTTATTGGAATTATAAGTAATCTTATTTTGCTCATTAATGAGAAAACTCAATAACATTTTTTGAATAATTTTTATAAGGGGTGAGAACAGACTATGTTTATTATTACATACTACCGAACATATTCGAATTTGTGACCTTCAAGTTGAAGATTAGTGATATATTTGCTCGACCAAGTTTTGATTCGTCCCTATATATTCATATATATTTTCTTGCTTTGACGTAGAAAAGAGGAAAAATAAGATGTTTTTAGAAAGAAATTAATATAAATATTGTAGAACATACTAAAATTTTGAAGAAAATGAAAATTATGTTCAAAAATTTATCATGGAATGAAATGAAAGTCTGGTTTACAAAAGGAAAATAAATGTAGCAATCACTTTTAGTCTTTTACCGAGGAAATTGGAATAAAAAATTCCCCAATACAGGAGAAAACCAAAAGGAGACCATAAAAAAAGGAAAACGTTATGTATAAGACTCAATAGAGAAAGAGAATATAGAGGAAGAATTTTAAGAAAACCTTATTTGGCATTTATTTTCTCGTTGGGATTGTACCTGGTTTTTCTGCTATTTTGGTCGTTCTTTGCGCTCTTGTTGGGATGCAGGGGCCTCTCGGTGGACTTAGCTTCCTTGTTGCATCTGTTTGGGCTTTTGCGATCACTTCTTGTGCTGCTATGCCTCTCTTTGCTTGTTTTGTTCCAGTTTTGCTCCAGTTTTGCTCCTTTTGACCTTGTTTCTGGACTCGTGTTTTTTTTATCACCGCTATAAAAACAATTGTCTTAAGTTCCCCTTTCTTTTTTTATGATAGGCTCTTATTTTACTTCTCTAATTTGATTATTTATCTATTAAACAAAAAGAAAAAGAAAATTATTCGTCTTTTCATGATCTATCCACCCGTTGGTTGTTCACACACTTCTCAACGCACACAATCTGGATGACAACAAATAATGTTGTAACATAAAGCCTAGGAAGTCTATATAGGATATATATGCCTTTAGTATTAAATAAACCAAAACATAGGAAATTCAATTCATTTTATAAGAGTTCGACAAAAATATAATTAGAAGGAAGAAGATCGTAGAAATTTGAAAGAAGACTAATTACTAAATCTAGTGAGACACATTTTCTTAATCTTAATCTTTTGTTAGGACAAACTCATTTGTAGTCTCAAGTAATTCATTATGAAAAATACTCTAGTTTCCCTTTTGTTTGCTCGCTCAAAATTCAATTTGTTAAAACAGCCTTCCCTTGAAGCTCAATTCTCTCCAATTAATCTTAGTTGTATTTCATGTTTCATGGGTGTGCATAATTCTTTTTCTCACGGTAAGATGCCTTCCATGATTTAACTTATTAATCCTTTTTGAAAAAGAAATTTAATAATCCACAAAAAAGAACGCAAGTGAAAGAAAGAAAGAAACAAACAAAGAAGAAAACTAACCTCAATGACAATGAAATCAGAACTGGTGTACTCCTCACTGGAAACATTAGCAAGAAAATTCATCTACTCCTTCAGAAGATCAGCAGAAGTTTCCCCATACAGCTGATACGCCAATGGCAAATTATGATTAATTAGAGCCGTCTCTTTAGGACTGATGTCATGGTCGATTAGTCTCTGCTCCATCCACCATATCCTCGATCTTACATCAGCAATTCTAGTTCCAAGTCTTTTAACACGTTCCGTGTTTTGTTCATCCATCCTAAAAACATAATGGAAGACGATGATCAACAGAAGAAGAAAAAACACGAATAACCAAAATAATTGAATAATGCAATAGTAGTTGGAAATGCTGAGAATACGTGTATCAAACTAATTTGACACCATACATACACATTCAAACAAAAAAAAACATCTACCTAGGCCGAAAATTACCTCCTCTAATCATGCATATAGATTAAGTGACATCTACGCCCGATGGAGAATCAACAATTATTAAAACGAAACCAGATCTAAAGAATTATCGAATGCGAAAGAACACTTGAAAACCCGAATCATAAAAGAGTGTAAAACACTAAATCGACTAACCTGGCATCGACACCGCAGTTTACACTATGATCACAAGGGCGGTGACGGTTTAATCGATCAGACACAAATAACCAGATCTAACATTATTACAACAATTCAAATCACATCTTATCATTGGTTTGTCAACTTCAACAACAGAGTTCTCCACAGAAGTAGTAACAAGAGTATTGCCAGACATAGACACTGGTCCAAGGGTAAGATGTACTGGCACCTACATAAACAAGCAGAATAGTTACTAAGTTGCAAAGCCACGATAATAATAGACATCAAGTTAACAGAAAATACAGTGATACAAATCATATCTTACCATTGGATTGACATATTCAAGAACAGAGACCTCCACAGCCTTACCAGTACTGTCAAGAGACTTGTCTTGCACAGACTTAGTAACAAGAGAGCTGTCAGACACAGTCTCTAGTCCAAGGGTACCAATTGCTGGCGCCTACATATACATACTAAGAATAGTTACTAATAGGAAAACCTAGATAATCATAGACTGCAAGTTAATACAAACCTACAACAATACAAATCATATTTTACTTTTCTCTTAGTCAGATCAGACATCAGGGTACTGATAGCTTTATCAACAGAAACCACACCACGCCCATCAGTATTATCAAAAGGCTTTTCTTGAACAAGATTATTCATAGGCGCAGAAGAGATATCATACGGAAATCCTGCCAAGCTACCATACACCTCATTCCTGAGTTTGATTAATTCAGTAGTAAGTTTACCTAACTCAAAAAATGCAAGAGGTAATTCCCTGGTAATGTGTTGAATTTCCTACTCAGGTAGGTCAGAAACTCCCAGCCTAGCTTGCATCCATTTAATATTCGTTTTCACAAGTTCTTCAGCAGCAACATGCTTCTGAAGGAGGTCAATACGAGGTTTTGTTGGGAGATCCATCGTAGCAGTTCAATCAAATCATGAAATAAACGAAATAAACCTAGTGAGACGCATTTTCTTAATCTTAATCTTGTGTTAGGACAAACTCATTTGTAGTCTCAAGTATTCATTATGAAAAATACTCTAGTTTCCCTTTTGTTTGCTCGCTCAAAATTCAATTTGTTAAAACAACCTTCTCTTGAAGCTCAATTCTCTCCATTTAATCTTAGTTGTATTTCATGTTTCATGGGTGTGCATAATTCTTTTTCTCACTGTAAGATGCCTTCTATGATTTAACTTATTAATCCTTTTCGGAAAAAAGTTAATAATCCACTAAAAAGAACGTAAGTGAAAGAAAGAAACAAACAAACAAACAGAGAAGAAAACTAACCTCAGAGACAGTGAAATCAGAACCGGTGTACTCCTCACTGGAAATAGTAGCAAGAAAATTCATCTACTCCTTCGAAAGATCAGCTGAAGTTTCCCCATACAACTTATACGCTAATGACAAATTATGATTAATTAGAGCCTTCTCTTTCGGACTGATGTCATGGTCGATTAGTCTCTGCTCCATCCACCATATCCTCGATCTTACATCAGCAATTCTAGTTCAAAGTCTTTTAACACGTTCCGTGGTTTGTTCATCCATCCTAGAAA